TTCGATCAGCCATTGAATCTAAGTTTTTAGGAGTTTGGATTGAGATAATTTGAAATGAAAGATTGATTTAGGAATTGAAAGAATGAAATTGAAACTCTTAATTTATAAAGTCATGTAGGGGAAAAATGATCTTTTGGTATTAAATTAGGGCGCTCAAGGAAAATTTTTAGGGCGTTTAGTAGCCTCCCAGATTATTGAAAGATAACAACAGTAAATTATTAATTAAAAGTATCAATAAAAGTAGCATGTCTATCTTCTAGAATCTAGCATATTTGTATAGTCCACATATATTCGAAAGAAAACCTTCCATGTCTATGATTCTGTACCATTTTCACAGCAGTAAGTTTTCTTAAGTGCTCTCTCAATCAATGTTAAGTTTTCCTTTGACCAAATTCTCTGCACAACTGACGGTTTGCTTAACTTTTTAACGAATCTTTAATTCTATGATTCATTCTTACATATATTATACAATGTAAAACATGAATGTTTTTTGACGCATTGAGAGTTGTACAACAGTGTAAATGGTTGTACTCGAAAGACATACTGTGAACTGAACATAGTAATTTGTGTAAGGTTCTGTTTGGTTGCATTGAATTGGGACCAACAATTGAAATTGGAGCTCTTTAATTCCAATTCTTGTGTTAGGTTGGTAAAAATAGAGGTCCAAGAATTGGAATTATAATTCAAGATGGGGCTCAATTATTTATTTTCAATTCTTTTGTGGGAGCAAATAATTGGAATCCAAATTCAAGGACTTAAAAAAAATACGCGGGTCATAACCGGGTCGTTTTCGGGTTATAATCTAAACGGGTCACCCTCTCAATTTTTGTCTTTTGGCCTTTTATATATATATATATATATATATATATATATATATATATATATATACTAGTGATGTCTAGTCGCGCAATGCGCGACCCTGGCCCAGTATATCTGTAGATCTTAGAAATGTTTGTATTTGAAAAAAAAATATTTTGCATTTCGCCCGATATATTTTAGAAATGTTTGAAGAATTTAGAAATGTTTTAAGAGTGTGATCATAGAAATGTTTGTATTTGGCAAAAAAACGAAAGTGTATTTGGCCTCGTACGTTTTAGAAATGTTTGAATATTTTAGAAATGTTTTATAAGTGTTACTTATTAAATATAAATAAACTTGATCAAGTATATCTCTTGAAGTGAATGTTAGACAAAATATAAAAGTATCCTAATAAGTTTAAATATTAGTAAGATGATTTATTGATGTTCTCCATTTGTCGTGCCAAATCAATACTTGGTTTTGGAGATTTATAATAGCTTTGTAGTAAGCTTCCTCCGAAGGTTATACGTTTAATTGTTGAGACTGTTTCTTCCAAAGGCTTATAGCTAGTAAAATATCAAAAATATGATTTTAAAACTGATTAATTGTTGAAACTGGTTGATCACAAATATGAGAATGAAAATTAATGTAAACTTGCATAGGTTTCAAGTTATAGCAAAAAAGAACTCACCTCACCATGGCAAATAAAAAAAAATAAGTAAAAGAGTCCATTAAAAATTGAGAAATTTTTTTTCCTGTAGGTAAAAATGATGTAAACACAAATAAACGTAGAAACATCATTCCTTCCCTCTCCACCTCAAATTCATAAAAGGCTTTCCCATAAATTAGTTAGAAGAAGCGACCTAAACCATTTATATGATGAGTAATTAAAAAAATCCAAAAATCAAATCCAAAAAAGTATATTCTTGAAAGTCCAAACAAAAAAAAACGCGCTTCATTTGCAAAAATAATAATAATAATAATAATAATAATAATAATAATAATAATAATAATAATTGGTCAACTGGGAGTATGAAACAAAATCAAAAGCAATTAAACAAAGAAAAAACACAATTCATAACTGACCATATACGAAAAAAAACTGAGACTCCATAATTAAAAAAAGGAAAACCACTCTAAATGAATAAAACATAAAAAAAATTAAAAAACCACACTATGTGCTAAAAATCCAATTGATCAATTCAATTCAAACAGAACTAAAATCATACAAAAATTCTAAGCTGACTAACCATATAAAAAATCACATCATATTACCTGGCGACGGCTACGGTAGCTGTAGTGGACGCATAAAAATAATAGTAATAACACTATTCTTGAACGGGAAAAACAACAAATCATAAAAGACGTACAAATGATCTGTGGAAATAAAATCATTTAAATTTTAATATCTGTAATGGCACAACCACAACGGCCGAAAGCAACATCAATGAGAATTTTTTTTTCCCTTTGTGTTTATATAGAGAGGTAAAGAGAATATTTTTTGAAATCGAAATTTTTTCTAATTAGGATGTAGTTGATCATCACTAATGAAAAGATTGAACATGCTAATAAAAAAGAAGTATATTTCACCACATATTCTCAATTGATGATTGATGAGGAATTTGTTTTTTTTTTTATTATGGAGAAGGGATTGATTAGGGGGTCGATTGTCGTGGAGATGGAGATGAAGATTTGTGTTTTTTTGTGAAGCCGTATTTTTTTTTTTTTTTGGCGAAAATAGGAGGTGGTGGTGGATTTGGACTGCATTTGCCTTTTAAGTCTAGGAAACCAATGTGTAAATAAAAATTTATTTTAAAAATATGATATGAAAATGCCACATGGCAAATGGTGGCGCTTTCTCTTAAATGTGGTTTTTGTTTCTAATATAGTAAGATATTATTTTAATTTTATTGTTTTTCAGTTTTTTTCTTTTTCTTTTTTAGCTTTCATCGCTTTATTCTTTTCTTTGTTTTTCTTTTTTTGGGCTGTTTGTCTCATCATCATAATCATCATCATCATCATTATTATTATTATTATTATTATTATTGTTATTATTATTATTATTATAATTATTATTGTCATATATATATATAATTTTAATAATTATCAACGAAATTAATCAAAAATTAACATTGTATCTTTTTTTTTAAAAAAAAAAATTAAAAGTATAGCTGTACTCAAAAAATAATTAATACCTAAATATTTTTGTTTTGGGTTAAATTTTTATTATATTATGACATAGCAAACAACATAACATTTTCAATTTTTTTTTTATTGAAATTGTTCCATGTATACACCTATATTATAATACATACATATATATATATATATATTAAACTATTCATGGCATCTTTTCACTAAAAATTATGTAAGTTGAGTTTTAAGTATCTATTATTTTATATATAATTATATACTAGAATAAAAATATTAAGTATTTATTATATACTAAAGTTAATCTATGTATAAATGAACCTCAATATTCAGAAATTGAATTTACAATGTTATATAGTAAAATTTTTTAAATTTTTTATATAAATCAAAACATAAAAAATTAAAAATTTTGAAAAATAATGAAAGAGAGGAAAACAAGGATGTTTTACATGTTACTTGTTTGTGTATTAAGTGAGAATTTTAAATATCATATTAATAATTCTTATACATAATAATATTTCTTTTGTTACTAACAAAAATGTGTGTACATAATAAATTACAAAATTGATATAGAAAATTAATTAAAAATAATAATTTGTTTTAACAAAAAAAAGTAAAAATTGTATTAGTTAAAAAACCACAAAGTAGTCAAATGTACATGTACATAATGAATTTATTTATTTTTTTGTTATACATATCTATAATAAAATAAGTTTTTTTTTTTTTTTTTTTTGTTTTTGACAAGAAGTATAAATTGTACTAGTATTAGTTATACAATAACAAACTAATTTCAATTCTAAAGTATCTAAATTTTTATGCATCCAAACACAAGAATTGGAATTAGAACCTTAATTCTTGTAAATATTTAAGATCTCCCAAACAAAAGAAATTGAGATTGAATTACAATATTAATATCTCGTTTTCAATTCAATAGTATTATAATTCTAATTCAATTGCAATTCAATCTAACCAAACGGAGCCTAACAGTATTTTAGTAACACCCTGAGTTGGAAATTGATGGTGCCACCAAATGAAAATTTCTATTTATCTAGTGAAACACTTTAAGTGTATCATCAATTTGTATGTGTTTGAAAGGTATATATGGACATATCTCATAAGCATGCGTAACAAAACTAGTAATTAGTCACATGATTCATGAGATAAAGTGCACGTAATAAAAACACAGAATCGATTTACAGTTAAAACCATCGATTTTAGTTATAACATGAAATACGTCAAACGTCTCACTATTACATCACACTAACCCCGATCCTCTACGTAGTTCAACTAACTAGTACTCCCTCCGTCCCATGATTATTGTCCAGTTTTACTAAAATGAAAGATTTTATTTTTGGTCAAACTTAACTATATTTTACCTTAAATAACCGGATATACCCCTACATAAGTAATTGTTTAACCACTAAGATTTTATAGATAATGTTTTTTACTAAGGACAAATGTGTAACTTGATCCATAAAAAGTCAAATTGGACAATAATTTTGGGACAAAATTTTTTGGCCAAAGTGGACAATAATTATGGGACAGAGAGAGTACATGAATATGTGTAACTTATCTATAACTAATTTATGATAAAGTGACAATATATTGTTGGGAATTGAATGACAGTCTAGTGGTTAGGGTTCAATTTCTTGGTAATAAACTATGAAATGATATATTGTTATCTTTCTTGATAATAAACCAGGGTTCAATTTCCTACGAGGGATTTGTAATGAGATTTACCCACGTCTAAGAGAAGTTTACTAGGGTGAATTTTTTTTTTTTAAAAAAAAGTGACAACATATTGCTTGGGTAGCTGGGGTTTTTAAGAATTGAAGCCTTTCTTTTTTTTTTTTGTTTTGGTGTGAAATCAAAGCCTGAATCAGTCAGTATTCAACCATAGAAGAAAGAAGTAACGCCTAGTTTGGTTTGAATTGGGCTTATGGGCCATGAACAAGGCCCATGTGTAGTCAGCCCATCTGATAGATTTTCTAGCACGTGAGCTTTTACAAAAAGCTTTGCGGCTTCAATAAAAGCAGCCATCTGACATGTAATGCGGAAGATTCCTGCAGAAAGGGGCAAGGGCAAATCTGGTAAAACGTTGAATAAAAGCCTCAAAAGTCGAGAAAATTGCTTTCGTTTCACCGTTTAACTCGTTGCATCACCACCGTCACGACCAACAACGAATTCCCAAAATTATCCCCGATCCATTTACCCAAGTCTTCTCCCATCCGTTTAATTCAGTCGCCTTCTCCCACACTCAATCGTCTTTTCCACCTAACAAACTAAAAACTTCCGATTAAGTCAAATATTTATTCCGATTAAGACGTCAAAAACCAGCCTCGAAATGGTGTCGGACTCGGAGCTGATACAACGACTGAGGGAGTTCCTCAGCGCGTCGGACTTGAACCAGACGACGACGGCGATTGTTCGCCGGAAGCTGGAGGAGGATTTCGGAATCGATTTGTCGGATAGAAAAGCCTTTGTTAGAGAACAAGTCGATATTTACTTGGAAGAAGCCCAAGGAAATGAGGATAATCAAGCAGAGGAGGATGAAGGAGGAAGCGGTGCTGCTGAAGAAGAGGAGGAAGAAGAAGAAGTAGAAGACGAAGAAGAGGATGAATCAGGAGAAGCAGCTGATGAAAAAATTCCAGCTAAGAAAAGGTAAATTTCATTTTTTTTTTTTAATTTTTAAATTTACGTTTCTTCCTTGTGCACGGAATGTTGCTGATGGAAGGTCAAATGAAAAATGTTGAGACAATTTGGATTATTATAATCTTGTGCACGTAATCCGTCCTTGTCTGTCTTTTTTTTTTTTTTTCAGATGTTAGTTTTATTGGTCAAGTTTTGACTCATGCATGTTGCCTCTGATAGAACCGTAATCCAGAACTTAGTGCTTTTTTTGTAATCACTGCATTTGAGATAGTCTTCACAGAAATTTCATTGGGTTCTGGGTACTGAATCTTATGTAAAAATGTCAATCGTGTGTACGGAGGGACTTGAACCTTGAATGCCAAGTGGCAAATATTTTTTAGCGTTTCTTTGGCTATATGCTTAGGTTTGGTTATAATGAAAGAGTGCAGCTGTAATTGAGTGTCCAAATAAGAAACAATGCTCAGAACAAGGAAGTTGTCTTTGCCCATTCTGTGATGGATGTTATGGTTCTTGCACCTTTTAGCTTGTTATAAATGACACCTCTAGTGAGAATAGTGGATATCGTGATACAGTTGACTTCGTTTTTTTATGCATGTCTAAGAACATGATTAATAGGGATGTTGAGTTTGCTAACTAAATTGAAGACTGCCAGTTTGTTCAATAATTTCAAGGGTGCATTTATAGAGTTTCTAATGCTTATCTTATTGTTAAATCTCAAGGGGATGGTTAAAGAATAGTGCTACTGATGTTGACCTTATTATTTTAAACTGGTTTTAACTTTTCTGTAATTGCTGATGATAAGCAGATGCTTTGCTAAATTTGGCTGTTATAATTAAAGTTACACTTCCTCGCGAAGCGAGGATCCTTTTGGCACCGGGGATTGATTATGAATATGTGGCTTTGAGTTCACCTGCAGTTTTAACAGTCCCTGGTATGAGAATTTGCCCAGTCGTCGGATGATCACCTCTTCTGTGTTCCTTTTTCATTAACAAAAGTCCACAAGTCGATTTGCTAAGCTTAGTAAACTGGATCTTTTAGTAACCAATGGGCTTATGATGTTCGTGCTCCCAGTTTGTTTTCTTCATTTTTCCATGTTCGTTCAATACAGCATGCATCATCACCAACAGAAAGCATATTGTTTCCTACAAGAAGCCGGAACGAGGAGGCTGAATTTCTTTTAAATGATGTAGGATTTGATTGACTTTCAAATATTAAAATGTCAGTTGAAAATAGGAAATATCATTTCTGAAATGCTGCCGCTTTCAAAGCATCTGCATTGTGGCAGGTCAAAAAAGAAGAATGAAGAGGTCAAGAAAAGAGGCGGTGGGTTTACCAAGATTTGCAGCCTTTCTCCGCAGCTTCAAAAATTTACTGGGGTACCTGAATTACCAAGAACAGAGGTATAATATTTCAAGGTGTTGCTTTTCGTCATTTCATGGTTTATTATTGCTGTGAACAACACCTGTCTTAAAAGCATTCTCCTATCATGGGGTCTTAGGTTGTGAAGCAATTGTGGAGCTATATTCGAGAGAACAATTTGCAAGACCCAAGCAATAGGAAGAACATAATTTGTGATGTTACCTTAAGGGAACTTTTTGATGTGGATTCCATAGACATGTTCCAAATGACCAAGGCCTTGGCAAAGCACATCTGGCCGCTAGGAGCTAGTGAGCGTAATTCTTCATCCTTGTTTCTCATCTTTCCTTCTACGGTGATCTGTTTTGTGGATTCAACTTATGCTGTAGAGACTTACTTTGCAATTTCTGTATCTGTTTTTTCTTCATAATGTCTGCTACTTTGACTTCAACTTGGTTGGGAATACACTGGGTATGTTGATGATGATGTGTGCTACTTTGAACACTGGATGATAAAGGAAGTAATTAGTTTCACATCATTGAGGAGGCTGATTCATGTTTGGTGGATTGCTTGTCCGAATCAAAAGGTTATCCATTACTTTCAGAATCTAAGAAACATAATTGTTATTAAGGTCTAATAAAAATCAGTATTGGCGGCTGTTTGAGTATATTTCCACTTCCAACTTCATAGGGTGTGATGATTTTCACCGCATAAGGGTAAAGGGTTCCAGCTAAAAGTTAGCTATAAAAATCTTTTTTGCTGGCTTATTTCAACTTCTTAGGGAGTGATGATTTTCTCTGCATAAGGGTTCCAGCTAAAACTTCTTGTATGACTAAGATCTAGTTGTCAGACTTTTTGCTGTCTTAATGGCGTTGGGAACAATGTGCTTATTTAAAAAGCTTTGGGGCATGGACTATCTGGAAGGAGAGATAAGTAGTATTCCTCTTTGTATTGTAAACAATATGGGTTGTTGTGGCACTTACGTGTGATGATTCGTTTCTCTAACCCCACCTTTGGGTAAATTGTGGGTTATGCTTACCCTGAATTGTCACCATCATCTCAGGGTTCACATATTCAACATTATGTTTTTATTTTCATGACATTATTTATCCTTGCACATGTTTTTTCTGACTTACTTGTATGACATCAATTTTCCGCCAGTATGTTTCTTATTTTTTGGTAGGTCTTTCGGATAATGGATTAGCTCATCATGTTGCATATCTCCTAGATAATTAATTTATGTTTAATCATTTTGATAATTTGATATTAACCCAGTGTGAAACGTGATTCCCTGTTAAAAATGTATATTTGGTGTTCTTTTCTATAATCTCCAACATTACTACCATTCAACCAATAACACCTTTGCAATGTGGATTTAGTGTTAATTTCTATGACTACTTGACACCTTGGTTTTTGTTTGGTTCAGCACCTCCAGTAGCCTCTACAACAAAAGATAAGCAGCGGAAGCAAGATCGAGAAGAAGGTATCAATTGTTTTCAAGCTACCAGAAATTCGCTGCATTGGTGTGGAAGTTACACATTTGATAATGTTGTTGCAAAAGCACCATCCCAATATATTAATATAGTATTTCTTTTGGCACCAATATGGCAATTGTGCAAGGAATTTGGGCTCTCATGCTGCCTGTGATGTTCATAAAGGAATTCTGATTATTTGTGATGACATTTTCTCAATTTCTCTGCTCTAACAATACAGAACCTGATGAACCAAAGAGAAAGGCAAAAAGGCAAAAGGGTGCCAATTCAGCATTTCTTGCTTCACTTCCTCTTTCTGATGCACTTGTGAAGTTCCTCAACACAGGAGAGAATGCATTACCGCGTTCTGATGTTATCAAAAGAATCTGGGATTACATCAAGCAAAACAACCTGCAGGTAGTTAATTAAATCATTCAAGGGAATATGTTATATCTGTACTTCTTCAGTTCCTATTTACACTTTATGTATCTCGATCTATTGTTTCTCCGCACTGTTTGACTTGTTATTGCTATGTACAGGATCCGTCAGATAGGAGGATGATATTATGTGATGACAAGCTGAAAGAACTCTTTGAAGTTGATACATTCCAAGGATTCACGGTATCAAAACTTCTTAAAAACCATTTCATAAAGCCAGAACAATGAGTTTACTGGGAGTGGCTAGTCCCGAGCTGGATCCCAATAAGGGTGGGAAATTTTGCGTAGAGTTCATATGAACTACTGTTTAGCTTCTTTATTATTATTTTTTTTGTTGGGTCTTCCACCCTTCCTAGCTTGTGCATCTTTTTGTTAGCTCAAGGAGCGAGCTGTTAGGGAAAAGAGTGTGAAGACTTACTGTTACAATAATATCATTGTTAGCTCAAAAGGAGCCTCTCTTTCTTTTTTTTCTCCATTGCTCTCTTTATACTAATGTATTCCTTTCCTGAGAAATGCGTTTTTTTTTTTTTGTTCTTTTTTTCTTTTTTTTGCTTTCAAATCTGACTTTTGTAATTCTATGAGAACTACTGGGAAGGATTTGGAAAAATAAGCTGTTTTCTTTGGAAGTGCCTTCTAGAATTTGGAAAAATAAGTTCTGTCACTAGATTATACCGTAAGTCCGTAACAGGTATAAACTGTGTAGTAGTCTCGTGACAGAATTAAATTGGGAAGAAGCATAGAAAAGCCACGTTGGGGGATTATCAACAATGATGCAATCCCACCAAGGAGGTATTGATTGGTTTTGTGATATGGTTTTGTGGCGAATGGATGTTGTAAGTGGAATCCTTGGCATATCTCAGTTATGGAATCGTTTTCAACAAAAAGTTGCCTTTCGTGTTGATTGCCTAGTGGCTCTATCCTTATACTCCTTCCGGATCTTAATATAAAATATTTTTATTTGTCTTAAATTTCAATTAGGATATATTTTTAATTGACAAAAAAATCTTAAAATTATATCATAACAATCAAGAGAACACAAAGAATGTGAAAATATATCTGTAAAATTTTTTGGTCAATAAAAAATACATACTATAAATTAAAATATCTTATATTAAGGACCAGAGGGAGGGAGTACATGAATGTGAAGTTGAGAATCATTTTGAACAATTTCTTTCAGAAAACATGAAAGGTCAACAAATGAATTTGCACCATCCGTAGTTGGGAGTTGGATTAAATTCTATATTTCCAGGCTTTCTCTCTTCTTCCTTTTTTTTTCCCCTCCCTTTCTCTGATATATGGATGTTTCAAGTTAGACAAACATATCATGTTATCACTGTTTATCTTTCTTGATTTGTTTGGGTTGGTTTGCTCGCATACAAACTACAATCTCCGTCCTAAAAAAAATAATCCACATTAAATTTTTAAATTAGTATTAAAAATAATACAAAACTAAAAATTCAATGTGGACTATTTTTGTACGACGGAAAGAGTATAAAATAATGTTTGGGGCGGAAAAGGTAATATTTTGTATTTTTGCTATATTATTCAGAACGATTATTGATTCAAAATTTAGAGGAAAAAATATGCAAGAAGTTATTCCTGATGACTAGATTGATCAGGGGAAGCCATTAGTAGAGAGAATCAAGTATGAAATGATGGTTGCTGGAGAAGAACTTTTGTCCTGTTCTTTTTCTTGTACCAGATGCCATCTTTTCTATAGTATCAAACTTATCTATCAGCATCATTGTCCTAATCTTAAACTGATAATTATCTAACCTAATGTCCAATTTGTCCTGTTTTGTTTTTGTGCCTTCTCACCTCCTCTACACTCCATTCAGCACTAAAGGAGAAGAATCCTTCTTCCCGTACATCCATTTTATTAATTCTCACTCTTTTCTCTTAGTCTCGTAATCATACTCATGCTAGAATTTAGAAAAACAATATTTTTGCTATACAAGAAATAAAAATAATGTAAGTACCAACATTTTAACAAATTAAGTTTCTTACTCCATCCAGTTCTTATTAGAAGGCATTTTGACTTTTCCTACGTTTCATCTAGTACATATTTTGCTATTAATCACAACAACCGTGCTGAGTTTGTAATAAAAATAAATCCTTTGTTTTGCTATTACTCACAAGATTCACAAACGGGTCAAAAGTACTGTAGTAATTATGAATATTTTAAAATTTTGTTTGTTTTCATCGAATCTTTCGAGTGACAAATGTATACCCTGAATTGTGCACAAGTGCCTTTCTTTGATCACTATTGATAATAGACTCATGTGATGTTTTTTATTGAGAACAAAACTTATGATAAAAACAAACGTACATATCAGAAATTATTGTGCAAGTTTTATGAAATTGTAATAACAAAACCCTTTTTTTTTCCCTCATGTCAGATACAATTTTCCGAATTTCGTCTGGGTGAGTGTGTTTTTTTTTTTTTTTTCCTTTTTCTTTTCTGGCAGTGATAATGTTGAAGGCTTGAAGCAAAGTTATGCCATAAAATCCAATTGTATGGTTCAAACCTATTGTTTCCTCTCTCTTGCATATACAACAGCCTAATCATATTACATAATTAAACAATTCCTAATGTCTACAATAATATGATTTGTAAATTATTACACTAGAATAGGTCTAAATTTATAATTCTCCGATGTAATTCTCGATGTTATAAATATATATATATATTTTAAAAAAGAATCTATGATAGTGCTAAATCACGTAAATTATCTTTCATTCTTTTTCAAGAAAATGCTGGAATTATATTGTTGACTGCGACTTCATTCAAAGAGGTCGTTAAGAGTTGAATCACAAAAACGTACGGAATCTGATTGCATTAATTAAAACAAAGCAAAGTCTCAAAAGTCCAAAAACTTGATGAGGGTACCATTGACAAATTATGGCCACTTTTCCATGCTTATCAACACGAACCAGCTCCACCAAGACAAACACTTTCTCCACAAATTTATTATTTTTTTTCGCCCAATTTAATAGAACAAAAAATCAACGATTCAATTATTTACTTTCCTTTATCCAAAGAATATATGAAAACAAATCAAAACAATTAACTAAACAAATTGTTCAAAAAAAATATTTCGTGCCATTTTCGTGTTATATTTTCTAAGATAAAATTTAACATTTACTTTTTGTTAATATTAATTATAAAAACACATGCCCAACCTGCAGATACATAGATATAAAGGCAAAAGATCAAACTACAAACAATATAACGGAAGTGTAACGATAAAAGTGTCCAGTACATTACGGATTTTCCTCATTTTAAGAACAAGATAAATTACCGAAAAATTTCTCAGAAAGGTAAAATCTACACAATTATTCCTCAAAACAAATCAAAACAATTAACTAAACAATTTGTTCGAAAAAAAATATTTCGTGCCATTTTCGTGTTAATTTTCTTAGATAAAATTTAACATTTAATTTTTGTTAATATTAATTATAAATATACACGACAACCTGTAGATTTATAAAATAAAGGTAAAAGGGTCAAATTATAAAGAATATAACGCAAGTATAATGATAAAAGTATACGATCTATTATGAATTTTCCTCATTGAGAATAAGTTAAATTACTAAGAAATTCCTCAAAAAGGTCAAATCAACGCAATTATTTACTTAATTTTACTCCAATTGGCTAAAGAAATTATTACCGAAAAAATAGTACAGTGCGAATTTCGTGTTACACTTCGTAAAGTAAAATTCAAAGAATTTGATATCTATATATATTAATTATAAAGATACGTCACAAACTGTCGAAAGTGTAACACACGAAAGTATGGCAAAAAAAAAAAATGTAAAAAAGAAAAAAATCAAAGTAACACAAGTGTAACGATAAAAGTATCACACATTAATGTGACCGATTCGGAATAAATGAACAGCTTTAAAAATAAGTTAAATGAGTGAGAAATTTCTTAAAAGGGTCCAACAAAAGAAGCCTTTTCTAACACGAAAATTTAAGACAAAGGAGCCCAACAACGTTAACCGTGTTTTCTCGCTTTGCTTTATCGTTCCATCACCCGCTCACAAATATGCGACACCCCGAACGTGAAAAAAAAAAAACGGAATCTATTTTTTTGGTTCCTAACGCACAAATGCTGAACAGACTTTTTTAATTTTCCATCAATGCCCCCCTCCTTTCCATTTCTTACATAATCTGATTCTTTTCCACCGGTGTGTGCTATATATACTAATCAATCCATCATATCCTCTTTTTCCATGCATTTTCATTCCAATTTCCATCTGGGCATTCGTTTGACTTTGATTTTTGGGAAATCGAAAAATTAATTCTTTGGGAAGTTAGGAATTAACGAGATAAAGGATGGGTTTGGATTCGAAGGAGCTGGGAATTGACCTCAATTGCAGATTTTCTTGTGCAAATTCCTTTTCAGATGTGCTGAGCGAGATTTCGGTGATTGAGGATAAAGATGTGAAATCGATTGCACTGAATGAGTACGTTTATCATTTGGAGGAAGAACTCAGAAAAGTTGACGGTTTCAAACGTGAACTCCCTCTCAGCGTGAACCTCCTGACTGATGGTATATCTTTGCACAACTATTTTTTTTACAAATGAAATCGATTTTGAAATGATGATTTTGATTGATTTATTTATGGGGTTTTTTCTTTTTTTGAAGCTATTTTGAGATTGAAAGAGGAAGTGTTGGAGCTGAATAGGAGGGATGTGGTGGTGAAGGAAAAAATCGCGCCTTTGAAGGGCAATTCTGGTGAAAAAGGTGTGCAAGAAGTGTGGGATGATAAGAAGGATTGGATGAGCTCTGTTCAGTTATGGAGTGTTCCTGTTCAAATGGAAAACACCGCTGATGCTGCCAGAATTCCTGATTCCAAATTGCTCCCTCAAGCAGTAAGATTGATTTTATCCAAACATAAATCAGCACCCCGGCAAAACAAAACATAAAAGATTGATTCTTTTTTAATTATTTGTGAAGGAATTTGGTGGGGTTTTGTAAATGATTTGGATGATTATTAATTCGATTTCAGGGAAAGGAAGCTGGGAAAAGGGACAGGACTAATCCACTGGTGGAGGAGAAATGGAGCAAGAAAGGAGCAATCAATGTGGAGGTGAAGGAGGAATTGGTGATGGATGGAAATCTATCTCTGTCAATTCCAGTGTCTCTGAAGGAATCCAACACTGAGAAGAACTCTGTGAAGCCCGAAATGGTGCTGGGTTCATCACAGCAACAGAACAAGAAACAGAGGCGTTGTTGGTCGGAAGAGTTGCACCGGAGCTTTGTGAATGCACTCATGAACCTTGGAGGTCCTGAAGGTGAAAAGACAGATTCTTGATTTTGTTGCTTTGTGTGTGTTTTTTTGTTTCTTGATAAAAATCTGTTTATCCATTCGTTTCGTGATTGACACGTATGTATGATGATATTTGGTACGATGTTTAAAAGATAGTGGCAAAAAAAATTCCTTCATTTCGGGTTATCTCTGTCAGAATCCGATTAATTATGGAATTGAGAATTAGTTTTAGCAAATGAAAATTTGACCGTTTGTTCTGGCGGTAAAAGTTAACAATTGGCATTTAGATTGAATCTCCCTCTGCTCTCTTTGACATTTAGGAGACATCCAATTTGAGAGAATAGTTTCGTTTGTAAACATCCTATGTTATAGTCTTAATTTTAGACTAACCGTAGAATTGTGCCACATCATATACTCTTCTAGCTCTATTCTAGGATCTTTGTCAATAATTAAAAAAGACAACAGTTATTTTGAAATGGTGGGACTAATGTTTTTTTTTTTATTTTTTTATTTTTTTATCATTGTACCGATTTATTATTGATTTTGTTCAACTAAATTGTAGTAGCCACGCCAAAGCAGATTCGAGAAATCATGCAAGTGGATGGCCTAACCAACGATGAGGTCAAAAGCCATCTCCAGGTTGTTACTAACACTTGCATTTGCTGTTTCACATAGCATTCTTTAGTTAAGCCTATTTTTATCTATTCCGAAATAATTATTCTGTTTGTTATACTTAATCGTTTCGAGACAAAGGAAATATAATAAAAATTTATAATTTGCAAATTGCGAAGTCACCATTGACAAAACTTTCTATTCTTTTCTTTCTTTTCAGAAATACAGGCTTCACATTAGCAAGGTGAAATCAGCTAGATCAAGCTCATCAGGTGAAATGCCAAATACGGGGCCTTGGTTGAAAAGGTACAAAAGCAGCAAGACCATGGCAATGGCACCAAGTTCTGGTTCGCCGGAAGGCCCTTTACATTCAGGTGGCTCCGCAAAAGGGCTGTCGCTTACCGTCGGCGAAGAAGAGGATACCAAATCAGAAAGCCTCAGCTGGAATGGTCATTTCCTCAAGCCATGCTAAAAAGTTTGAAACTGCAGTAGTCCTAGTCTAGGCATCATGATAAGAGTAGATAAATTTTGCAGGTACAAGATTTCAACTTAGGATGAATCAATCTGCGGAAGATTCAATTTAGTGTCACCCCGTAAGGCCATTAACCTATGGGGAGGGAAAAAAAAAAAAACACGCAGGGATTTGGAAAATCTTTTTTAACATTTTTTGACGACGATTATATGCTTCATAGACGTATTGCTTTACGTTATTAGCCTATCATTGCAACAGGTTTTGATAACAGACCATTTCTGGTTGGATTCTTATAATGGACTCCATTTATTGTTGTCTTTGGTGATTTTCTGGTTTGGAATATATAGTTTGCATTTTATCCTCAAATTTTCACATCTAAGTCTATTCTTGAGTCTGCAGTGAGTGAGTGCAGTCCATGAGAATATGGATGCACATGGTGCTGTGTGTGAAAAAAGGTTTTGTGCGGTGGTATCTTGAAATATAACCCTCCCAATTGTTTTTGGAGATTAAAAGTTTTTACTCTATTTATTTTTCTTTTTTTTTCACTTGATTGCCAAAATATATTTTAAAATTTTGATTTTGTACCTTCCGCAATAATCATTAATTTTGATATTCGTTATTACATCTAACGGAATTTTTTTAATCAAAATAGAAAATCAGGAGAATGTTATGTCTCAAAGTTTACAACCCGTGAGAAGGCATAAACAGACACAAAATTTTTGTGGTTAACTCAATAGCCTCCTCAACTTGACCAATAACCTCGAGTTAGGTTATAATTAAATAATGTATATTTAGAATAACACTCTTACCTAAAATTGGGATAAAATATTAAGCGTTGTCTGTCCCAACAAAAAATGGATTTTTTTTTTTAAAAAAAATAATGAGGTAGCGTGAAGGCTTGATTACAATTTACAACACAAAATATGGAGTTAAACTGGTACTATATTGTTTAGTAGATGAAATTTTTTGTTCAAGCCCAAATGAAAGGCCCAAGTATTGTATATTCAGTTTCACAATTTACGGTGACCTGTAACATCATGGCAAAATTCATTTTGTTCAGCCACCGCAACCATCACCACCACCGTCAGTCAGTCTACCGCCGAGTTGGATCCCGGTCAACATTCAACCAATTTGGTGGGAAGCAATTGACGGTAATCGTCAGGTTGCTGTTGTTGGTCTGAAAATTTCAAATATTAAAAGTATACCCGTACAAGTTTTCTAACTTGAACCAATTTCTGAAGTCTGAAATGAAGATCCATTCAAAACACTATTAAGGGTGAGCTTATTTTGCATAAATGAGTGACAAAGTAATGGCAATTTCTTTATCTGTTTATGAAGTAACAATCGTTAAATGGAATTTTATATTCCTTTACTCTCGGGCTTTGGAAAATTTTACACTCCCATTCACACACTTCATTACTTTGTTTAATGTACATGATAATTTTGTAAACTAGTATATATACTCCTGAGAGGAATGACTCACCTCTTCATTTTGAAAGGATGTTGCAATAATATTACCACCTGTTAGAAGCTCTCCAATTCTTAAATACAAACGTTTTTCCTCATATGTTGCAATAATATTTTTCCTTTTTAATATTAACGGCAATGGGACGAAAAAGAAACTATTTAAATTGAATGAATAAAAGTAAGACGGAGGAACAAGACAAGAGTAGTAATCCTAGTAGTAGAAAAGAAAGAATAGGGCACTAACAAAAATCATCACAAACAGAGTGAAGCCGATTATAGGAAAGCTGGTCAGTCAAACCCAAACTAGTTTTGTTCCAGGAAGGAAATTGGCGGATAACACAATCATTGTCCAGGAAGTTATCCACTCAACGAAGACAAAAAAAAAAAGGGAAGCAAGGGCTGGATGGCAATCAAAATCAATCTTGAGAAGGCTTATGACAGATTGAAATGAGAATTCAGTGAGCTGACCCTATTGAAAGCTAGCCTTTCACAGGAGATGGTTAACAGGATCATGAAGTGTGTCTCAACATCCAACATGAGGATTATGTGGAATGGTGGGGTGACAGATGACTTCAAATCTTTTTCTCAAAAAATACACCCCGTCAAATGAAAACCTCGGTAAGTCAAGCGTTTGTTTGGCTACGGAAAAACCAAATAATCTGGGGAAATACTTGGGGTCTCCGGTGTTGCATGGTAGAGTGACTAAGGATACTTACTAGGAGTTATTGGATAAAGTGCGAGTAAAACTTTCAGGTTGGAAAGCGAATCAATTATCTATGGCTGGACGCATTACATTAGCTCAGTCTGTTCTACAGAGTATTCCTATGTTCCAGATGCATTCAACTAAGCTGCCACTTCACATTTGTGATAAAGCAGTTAGGGGCTTTGTTTGGGGATCTATAACGAGATAAAAAGAAATTGCACTTGGTAAACTGGGATACTGTGTGTGACAGGAAGGAAAAAGATGGATTGGGGCTGCGAATAGCCAGGAAAACAACATGGTATTTCTTATGAAAATCGCTTGGGAACTGATAGCAAAAGGGGATGAGCTATGGGTCCAGGTCCTCAGAGCAGCAAAGTACTGCAAGGAGGATCATAACAGAATCACTTTAAAAAGAAAATAAAACTCATCCCCAACATGGAAAGGGGTTTGTGATGTCTTTCACTTGGAAAAAGGATTGACTTGGTTAGTGGGGGACGGTAAATCTGTTAAAATTTTTTGTAGACAGATGGTTGGAAGCTATGTTACCCGGACTCTTCTATTTAGGGAGAATACCCGTATCGTGTCGTGCCAACACTGGTGTGGGTATGAGTGTCGGGTGTGGCATTTTAGCCTAAAATGTTTAAGATTTCTAAAATATTGACGAGTCGAATACTCAGATCCCCGCACCAGATAGGACACCCGTATCGGAGTCCAGGTAACATAGGTTGGAAGGATATGAGCCACTCTCTATAATCATCTCACCGCGCCCATAATGGAGACTGAAAAATACAAAACCGTTTCTGGTTTTGTCTTGAGAGATGGAAGTTGGGATATCCATGTGCTTAAAAAGATACTACCTCAGGAGATTGTGGAGAAAATCTCAAGCCTACCACCGCCAATGGATGCTTTGGGGCCTGATCAACCACGATGGGCTATTCAATAAAGCTGGTAAGTTTTCTGTCAAATCAGCGTATTTTTGGGCTATTGATAACTCTATTTTGCAGGATGATCCTTGTTGGAAAATTGCATGGAAATGGAGAGGTCCCCAGCGGATAAAGACATTTCTTTGGTTGGCCTTCCATGGGAGACTTGCGACAAATGAGGTTGTGCCGAAACAGGGGGTGCTGCAGACCGAGAATTGCAGCATTTGTAATGCAGCAGCTGAGTCGACGATGCACGCAATTAGAGATTGCCCTGAAGTGAAAGCCATCTGGGAGCAATTAGTCCCAAATTCCAAACGCCACACCTTCTTCCAACAACCCCTTAGGGAGTGGCTTAATTCAAACTTGACAGGTAATGATGACAAATGGATCAACAGATTTGGAGTTGCATATTGGTTTCTGTGGAATAGGCGAAACAACAGGATCTTCAATGGAGAAGCCATGGGAAGGAATGAGACAGTCAGAACAATTCTGCAAAAGTCTGAAGAAATACAACGCAGCCAAGTCATCTTAAAATGGAAACAAATGGGACGACGAAATGAAAGATTTGATCATTGGAAACCCCCACCAGAGAATGTCTTGAAAATCAATTGTGATGCTGCAGTTAACATGGCTGCAAATCGAGCCGCAGTAGGTGGTGTTATACGAAATAATGAGGGTGAATTTGTGAAGGCCTTTTGTGAGAATATTGACCCATCCTCAGTAGAAACTGCAGAGATCGTTGCAATTAGACCAAGCCTTGAAGCTGCAGTGCACTATGGGTTCAACAAGATTATTGTTGAATTTGATTCTCCAGCAGCCTTGAATTTTATAGAAAATCTAGGTCAATAAGTGAATCTGGACCCTGATCTAAAGAGCATCCAGTTTCTTTCGCGGAGAAACATGTCTGTTCAATTTTCCCATACGGATAAGGAATATAATACATGTGTTGACGCCCTAGCAAAAAATGCATTAGGTAAAAACCGTGGACTGTATTCTTTTGATGTTGCCCCTTCTTGTATAGGGTTACTATTGGAGCAGGAAAGGACATTCCCTGAATTATGTAATAGCTAAGGGAGATAGCAGTATGCCTGCTTTGTTTTGTTAGCCAAAAAAAAAGAAAAGAAAAGAAAGAATAACTGGACTTGAGAAAAGAGACAATAATACTTAAAACAAATCACACGATCATCAATGAGATCATAGCATGAAAAAACCCAAACCCAAACTTCCTTTACAGAGACGATTTCACGAGTATTTGAGCATGGAAGTCTACCAGAGTTTCATCGTTTTCAGTTCTCAGCCATATTGCAATAAATTAAAGGGACCGGTGAAATTCTAATAACTCGTCCTATTGAATCAGCGGCTAAACATCAATATTTTACGCCTAAGGAAGTACTCCATGTTTGAATAGTTGTCGACAAAACCCATGTTTGGATGCAAATAAACAAAACTACTAATATATAGTATAAGATTCTTAAGAAGATCTAATGAAGTCCCCCTGACCAGCCACCATCCAAAAGAATAATTTTCTTTACCCGCTTCACACATTTGCAAATGTAACACCGACATTTGCAATACCCAAAAAAAAATAAAAAATAAAAATAAGCAGCCAACTTCATAAGAAAAGGCAATAATCTGAATTCCTACAACGAACAGAAGTTATTTCCATTGTAAATTCGTACGGAGCAACATTTACCAGCAGCTATATATATAACTAGAGGTCCTGAACCATCGTTTCTACTGTGCAATATTACTAGGAGGTAGGAATGAATGAATTTGCGAGTGAAAAAGAATGTATCCAAAACTAAATAGATAGAGAATCAGAATCTGATTTCCTGTAAATCTGTACTACTGCTTAATTTCCCGAACTCATTAGTGCAAAAGCTTCAACCTTTCTCCAGCAGGCCAACTGGAAGAAGAGGATATAATACTTAAATTTAACGGACGGAATTTAAACTCTACTCCAACAATGTTGTCTGATCTGATGCTGCTTCTTCTGGAAATTGTGCTTGTTCACTCCTTAATCTCTTGTTTTAAAACTTTCAGTGAAAGGACACCAATATAATTATAGGGGGTTCATCTGAAAACCAAAATAGGATATTACGTATCAATTAGTTGTTATGGCTTGGACTCATCAAACTCGCGGATCTCTCCCTCTGAATCCACTCCACTCTCCAGATTCGTGCTTAGTGAAATATCCGTCAAGCTAGTAAATTGCAAGAAATTACCTGCACAATCACAGAGATAGTAGAAAAATGAATTGTACAAGGACTGGAAACTTATGTTAAACTACATTTTCATCAAAGAAATATTATCATGGTACCCACGTCAGAATAACAATTTACAATGAGGAGAATAACAAGAGTAAAGAAGTCAGTCACGTACGGAACAGGTTACTAGAATTAGACAAAATATATGCAAGAGCAGGATTTAAAATGAACATGCATTGTTATTCCCAAAACCTTGGTTGTTATAATACTATAACTTTGCAATGAAAAAAGGTCAATGGGAATAGGAATATAGTTGGCAGAAGCTGCTGAAATAATAAAACGTAACATGATGACTTTATGCAACTTTACAGTGTAGATATATATCGTCCCTTAGTCCTCAATGTACCGATCCCAATTTTCATTTCAGTTTTGCACGTTACTCTAACCAGTTTCTTCACGCCATTTCATTTCATTATTAAGATAAAATAAAAAGGTCAGATCTTTAAAAAGAACTATGATTATTGATTACCAAATGGGAGTGTATCATTGACTCACTCTATGGTCAAACATATCATCTGCGCAAATCCAAAATGCATCCACGTACTTGACTTCTTTAACTAATACTATTTCTTCTTCTTCTGTCCTAAAAAGATTGTCTAATTTTAGACTATGACACATAACAAACATGAGAACAGACTATACAAATATTAAGCTTATAAAAACCTTGTATTTTAAACTTTTTAAATAATTTTACAACAATATTCCTTGTGCAAAAGAAGAAGCAGAAAAGATTCAGATAATTCAACACAACCCCACTACAGAACCCCAATAAAGACTGCAAATTTGTGTCAAAAACTCAAAAAATGCAACTTTATGAATGCAAGTCATCGTTAATGGCAGCAATTTCAAAGGAGACAGCCAAGTATATACACAAAAACGGAAATGAGACGGAAACGAGGACAGAAACAGAGGGACAGAGAAATTACCAAGATAAAAATCAAAATTGTCTCAAGAACCCCAAAAAAACTCAGATAGCATTTGGATGCATTTTGTAATATTAACAAGAAGGACAGGCGCTCCTACCCTCCTCACTCTTGGCCCTCTGTCCTTGTTCCTCAATCGTTTGAGGTTGAAATTGTGACTGCATTTGCTGCAACTGTGGCTGAACCGCAGCCGCCGGCTGCTGCTGAGACTGTTGTTGGAGCATTCTTTGTGACTGAATCTGAAACTGGTGATACTGCTGTTGTTGCTGGGTAGATTGGGAATGTTCTTGAGCTGGCTGCTGCTGCTGCTGGGCTGGAATCTGATAAGGCACCCCTTCATAAGTCCCACCCAATGCCAAAGATGGAGACATAGCTGCAGCATTGATGGGCTGATTATAGGCCGTGGCAGCATTAACTTGACCCGCTCCATCGAACCCGGCATTATACTTGATATCCTGTGTCAATTGCTGCTGTTGGAGTTGAGATTGCTGTGGCTGCTGCTGCTGCTGATGTTCATAGGCTCTGTACATTTCCTGTTGCTGCTGTTCCCGGGCTGCCACCGCCGCGGCATACTGTTGAGCCGCCTGTGCCTCATACAGTTGCTGTGGTGGTTGTTGTTGTGGTTCCCGGATCATCAATTGAGCACCACCGTGTGGAGGAGGCACACCACCAGCACCCGCCGCCGGCAATCCCATCATGGGCTGATGCATATTATAAGGCATTACCCCGGGAGCGCCTGAGGGATTGTTAGAATATGGTTGCTGTGGCAGGAAACCTGGATGCTGGAAGATTGGTAAAAAAGCAGAGGGACCAATGTAGGTAGCCAATTCTTTCTTTGCTGCTGCAACATCCATTTGGTATTGCTTCAGCTTGTGTTGGAGGATGGAAATTAGGCCTACACAGCCATAGACAGGGTCCCGGAGCCGGTAATCGGCTTCATAAGCCAGTGAAGTGACTGCATCTTCTCTCTGGGCGGCGTTGAGTTCGTTCAGGAGTTTGGCTACATTACTAGCCCCAAACACTTTGTGAACATTGATGAATTTCTGAGGCTGGTCCGGTGGGAAATAAGGTGCAAACACACATTCTTGGGTGCATTTTCGCCTCAAACATTTGCAGGCAGCACAAGGAGAATTTGATGATGACATGATCTTTTGCCTCTTCTTCTTCTGCCTAAACGAATCAAAATCCGTCATTAACATCTCTAACAATCTCCAAAGTCCAAACCCAGTTTCAGAAACTCACAACAGAACCAAAGCTTAAACACAATTATTTACTGAATAAAGAATCACATAAATGGGAAACTGGGAACTGGAAGCTCTGACTGTTTTAATTTCAAGAAGTATACTAATACATTAAAGAACATGGGATTTCTCGGAAAGAAGGTTCATAGTAAATGAAAGGGCATCTAAATTAACAAGCATCATAGAAGTCAAAACATATTTATTAGGGCCTCTTATCACGAGACAATGCACACGAGAAGGAATCATGTAAGCAGTAATAGCCATTAATACCACTTGTAATCAAACAGCAAAACAATCAATATCATTCTAGTATCAATCAAGAATAACTACAACATAAAAAGCTAGCCCTTTTTGTTTCCCACTACTCTTTCTCAAGAAGGTGTCATTTTTCTTTTAAAAAGATTCAGTAGGAGAAAAACACATTCTTATTTATCCATCAAAAGTAAAAAATGCTTCCTTTCTGCAATTTCGGGAAAAGGGCAGAAAAAAAAAAAAATTGCGTCTTAAGAAAGAGTCCTTAAAAGGGTCATTCTCCAGTAGGACAAGGAAACCATCCTCATCCCCTTCAACCCATTTCGGCCTATGAAATTATTAGCCCAAAAATCAACACCGTCAAAAGGTTTCTTGGAGAAAAATCCAAACGTAAAGAACCCTTTTTTCACCCATTGATGATCAAATAAAAACCACAGCGAAAACAAAGAAAGTTGAAAATAATGGAAAAGAATCTCACCAATGATAGATTGAAAACAACCCAAAAATCAAACAAGAACAAAAGACTCGGCTGAGTTTTTTTTTTTTTTGTTTTTTGTTTTGTTTTTGAGAATCACTTCTTCTATTCAACCCTTCTCCCTCTCCTCAGAAATCATACCATCTGCCCACTAAGAACAAATGTTACAAAATTTGGAATAAACACAAAAGGACCAAAAAAAAAAAAAAGGGATTTCCGCGTTTTTAATCGCGTTGCGTTTCAAAAAATTTAACCTGGAATCATCAGAAGAGGGGGTAGAGACGGTGTTTCCTTAATATTGGACTGCAAAAGCCCACTCTTCAACTTCCACGATCCCAATCATCCAGCAAATTTACGCAAGAAAAATTAAAAATTAAAATATTACACCCAACAAATTCTACTGTGGCTATCTTTTATATATATATATATATATATATATATATATATATATATATATGACGTCGTAGTAGAACTAGGAGCTGGAAAATAAAAAAAGAAAAAAAATTAAATTAGATGATAAAATGAAATTAATAAAATGATAGAGGTCGTTAAGACTCAATAGTAATCTTCTCTTCTTCTTCTAATAAAGGTAAAGATGTGTGAATTGAATAATGATTTTTAATGATGTGATGTGCTTGAAAGTCAAACCACGGCCCACATGACTTCTCACTTTGGATGAATTACACGACAGATAATGACTGATCCGAGGGCTGACATGCGACCACGACAGCCACAGTAAAATTGGGAAATGATCCTGTAAGAAAAATTACTAGTAGTAACTGCATTGACCGACTTTTCCGCCAAATTTTTAGCATCCCACTCGAACATTTTTATTTTAATTACGTGTTCTAATTATGGAAATATGGCACTTTTCCATTTTCATACTAACTTTTTAACCTACCCAAATCGTATCTAATGGATGTTAACGGATTTGAAACAAATTCCTGCTCCTGCACTAGTCTTGTTACATGAAACTCCTCCCCCGATCGTATCTTCTCTGACCAATTTAGCATTGAAATGTGTCACGCTCATACGTATACTAGATGCTTGTCCTGGGCGAATATTCGGGATGCCGCTTGTATTTTTAAATCGATTAAATAAAAAATACGAATCATTCTTAAAAAAATAAAAAAAATAGAAGAATAAAAAATCGATTGGAAGGACAGAAAGTGAGTTATTACACGTAAATCTATGCCCAGATTTACAACATTTAATTTACAACAGTTAATTTATGCATGTGTTTACATAAATCATAAACCAATATCTATAACAGAAGAATAAAAAAAAATTATCCTTACAAAATCAAATTTCTTTCATGACAGCTTATTTTTCCTCTGTTGTAGAAAGAGATGGATTGATAATTGATGTCAGATTTTAAGTAATTGATTTAAAGACCTGGGGGTGAGAGAGGAGCGGAATGGAAGAAATTCTTTAAAATTGGGGATTGGAAAGACATTACTGGTGTTTCACTTGATTTAAGGGAATTTCCTTACATGTGATTTTATCAACTAAATATTATTGTTTTAAGGGATTAATATAAACCTATAATTAAGAGATTTTTATATAGCTATAATTAAGGGATTTATGTATTTATCTATTCCATTTTTTTTCTGATTAGTTAGAGTGCCACATGTCAAAAATGATTTTGTACTGAAAATAGCTTTTGACGGGAAAATTTACATTGTGGTGCTGACATGTGTCCTTTTTGTTTGCTGCTTTAATTAACTACTATAAATATATCCATATTTAATATTTGATTATTTCGGAACGAAAAAAAGAACAGTACAATGACATTCTAACATAATTGAAATGGGAAAAATGTATCTTAAATCAATGTGATATAGTAATTTTGACGAACATTCTGCAAGTAACTAATCCATTTTGATATTACGTGTCCAATTAATTTCGTGATTATGTTTTACTTCATGATTGAATGCATTTAATTACGCGAATTAAATCAAATCAGATCAGTGGATGACCGTATATTGTACGGTTAAAGAACTGTTGACGTCATTCCTTCGTCTCAATGTGCCAACTTCCCCAAATGAAAGAATAAGTCAATATGCCAACAGGTATTTGAAAATGATTTATTTAAACCCATTCGTGTATATTATTTTCTTGGTGATTTGCTTATAATTTATCGTTATAGAGAGATGTTGTTCGATTTTTTTAAGATTTATGTAAGGGCATGTTTGATAAATTTAGTGTTTCACTCTCAATTCTCAACTAGATACTTGGTCCGCGTAGATGCCCGTGCGTCCTTCTCTTTTAATTTTGTGTTAATAGATAAATGAAGTCTTGATTTAGAAAAAATAAAATAGCTATAAATTTAGTTTTTTTCCTTTTTTAGCCAAAAATAAAAATAAAAATAAAAAAATCATCTGCCGAAGGAAAAAATTATTGAAAAGTACAACGATGCATAAATCATACAAAAGAATGTAGAGTAATAAAGGGGATAACTTTATGGGCAAATTTAAATGCTATTTTAATTTGATTGATAAATGATAAATGTTAGGAGTTAAAATTGTGTAACTATTTTTGTAAAGTAGTTTTTGTTTTTTCATATAAATTTTTTTTTTCTTTTAAAAAGGGATAATACGTGGCAGAATGGTATGGTGCATTTAGAGCAAAAAAATTTTAATAAAAAGTTGCCACAGTAACATCTTATATTCTGTTTTAATAGGGTAAAAGGGATTCCAAAACCATTTACAACTTTTTACATGCTAAATTGTTCATAATAATTTGGGCAAAATTCTGTTTTGTATAATGGAGTTGAAGATTAAACAAGTGTACAAGTTAGTTTTGGGTCAAAAATGGATAAACCCAGATGAGCAATAAGGTTGTCATTTTTAACTAGTTGGTGTTTGATACCAGATCAAAGTTTTGAAGTATGGTAAATATTTTTTCCCAACGTGTGATAGATAACATCAGATTCCAGCAAACTACGGTATACAGCTAAAATGACTACTGCATATCTTTTTTTTAAAAAAAAATATGACCAAAGGATTGGCACAAACATTTTTAAAAAGTGAAGTTTTTTTTTTTTTTTTTTTTTTTGCCTTTAATAGGAAATGTCATATAAAAAGTTGTTGCTGGGGGTTTTGGACTTTGATCAAGTGTTTTTTTATATATAAATTTTAAAAAAAACTTTAAATACCTTTGAAAAAATTGTAAACATATGCGCTGTATTAACGAGTTAAAGCATGAGCTAAAACATACCAAACATATGCGATTTTTTTTTTTAAAAAAAAACTACGTGCATTTCCGCGTTTTTTTAGAAAATATATAACTTGAACATTTCTAAGCCCATTTAAGAGAATAGATAGCTTCGGATAATTCAAGCCCATTTCTTGTCAAAACAGTGAGTTCTATTTGAAGAAGAAACAAAGCCCAAGTTTAAACCCCTGAAGGCTAAATGCCTAAACTTATTGCAGAAACTTACCACCGCCGAAACCCTATACTCCACCACCGCCGAGCATACCCCTTTACCGTCGAAGAATGTCGAAGTGGTGGCGCGCTGCCGGCGGCGGTCTCAGAAGAGCGATCGAGGATCCCAAACTCCGATCTTACCATACTATTCAAGCCATTCCGAGAGAGTATACTGGGCACAGAGTATCAGTTAGAGACAGAGGGCAAGGTCGAATCCCAACTATCGTATTTTCCCAGAACTATGTAGAAAAGAAACCCGGCGATCCTAATTCTATCGCTGCCGAACCATCGGTTTCAAGGAAACTCTTCCTTACGACCGAGAAAAGACAGATTAAAGCCATATTGAATTCTGTGGAATTACCGTTTTTTTGCTCCACCACATTTCCTCTCCAAATACGAGCCGGGTCGGGTTCATCTACTTTGATTGAATCCGGACGAGTGCTACCCATCAAGGCAAGTAAACTCCTTTTATTTATTTATTGATTGGATTTTTGTTTTGTTGTTTGCATTTGTAGCTTAGGTTGTTTTATCTTATTAATTTTTTTTTATTGGTACAGATTCATAGAAATGAAGAGACTGGGGAGATACTGAATTTGGTACTTGCGTGGGCCGAGGACGGGAAGAAATTTGTGGTGGATGTACCTATTGTTTTTAAAGGAGAAGATGTCTGCCCTGGAATTCAGAAAGGTTGGTCCCTGAGAATCGTTTTTACTTATGAGATGTGTTCTTTTGTGTGCATTTCCATCAGTTTTCCCCTACTTGGATTGTTTATGTGTTTGGAACTTGTTAAAGTTGTCATCTGGATGTTGGTGTGTTTCTTTTGTTTTTGTCTATTATGCACTGGAAGACGTTCAATCTATTGAAAAGGAATTTGCAGAGCATGAATGGTTTCTTAATATCAGATTGTAAGTTAGGAAGTAAGAGGAAGATGTATAATGTTCATGTACATTGGTGTTTTGAAGTGATGGAGTCTGTACTGTTCTTTAGCTTTTCAAGGCATTTTCCATCTCTCATGGATACTTTCTGGACTTTGCTGGTACCTTGTTCTTTGTCCTCTTTGTGACTTGGTTGTATATACATGGTGAGCGATGACAGTTCCCCTTTTTTAGTGAACAACTGGTGGAAAACGTATTTCTGACGCCTCCATTGATAGAGACACTGTAGTGTTCCTTTGCAATAACAACTGATAGATGCACATCTGTTGGATGTTCTGAAGAGTAGCCTTTATAAATACCTGTCTCATGGGTGCAATCTGCTAATAATCACACAATTTTATCTGCTTTTGACTAGGGAAAGGCAAATTTTTTTCTTCAGCTGCTTTATAAGCCTTCTTTCTTACAAAATGACGTGCAGTTTAGTATCATAGTGCTGCTTAATCTCTGTGTAATCAGTCATTAGATTTTCCCGTAATGATTCTGATTCTAAATATCACCTCTGGTCTTTAGTTTAACTGAAGTAGACGTTCCCTTGCGTTTAAGTTTTAACTGAAGCTGACATATAAATACTCTAATAATATGAACATTTCTCGTTTATCTTTTTCTGCAGGAGGATACTTGAATAAGGTGCGGAAATATCTAAGATATTTATGTCCCGCTGAGCACATTCCTCAGAAGATTGAGGTGGATATTAGTAAATTAGATATTGGAGACAAGTTGCAGTTAGATGATATAAAGGTTCATCCTAGCTTGAAGCTTGTAAGTAAGAATGATGTCATGCCTGTTTGCAAGATTATGGCCGCCAAAGATGAACATTCAAAAGATGCAACCTCAGGAGGCGAACAGTGATATTTATGGGTCACCATGTGATTGCTGCTCAAAGTTTTAAAATGAACAGAAATTCTTTGCTGCAATTCTTACTAGGGAATGTTTTGGTGCTTCCGGCACGGGGCGTCTGAACTTCGTGAATTACTCTGTGTAATACTTCAGTGGACAGTAAACTTGAGAGCCTTTCTCTTTTAACTGCCAGTGGATTTTGGCTTTCATCTAATGGAAAAGCGTCCTCTAAATTCTGAATTGATCAGCCTAAAAAACAATTGTGTGTGTAATCTATGAGGCTCTAATAACTTGTAGCAATGTCAACTGTGATGATCCTTTATCCCTACTTTGGTTCTTGCAAGATCAATAAATTAGCCATCGTTGACTTGTTATTCATATCATGAGAATGTTTAATGTTTCAATTATGTGCATTTGGCTAAATATCTCTATCAAATCTGAATGGAGGAAGTATAAAAAGGGTAGAAAACCAGAAGTGGGTCATTCCCGGATTCAATTTCATTTTTATCTGGTAACTGTTGCTTGCGTGCTTGACATGTAGTGAACAGTGTTTTTAAAGGCCATCTCTAGAAAATAGAATGACCGGCGGCCAGTCTCCTGACGCTAGCGCTAATTGAATCAGTAAACATCTTAGTCTGACCGTAGCTTTAAGACTGAGAAAGATAACGGTGAACTGAATTATTTGCATGTCCAAAACGAAATAATGAGGACAAGAACTTGCAAAACGTTGTGGACCATGTATGATTTGATTTGTTTGTATATGGATCGGGAAGCAACCTTTCTCTCCATCATTGTAGCTGAGGTCATCATGTAAATGATACGAGGCTCGCGGCTAAACCTGAGATTCTAATTGCTGACTTTCTCGCCGCCGGCGACTGTTTGCGGCCCAACTATAATGGCTGGGGCATTTAATTGGACAGCGGCGATTGAAGTTCTACTGTGAAATCCAAAGTTCGTCTGTAATGTTTGAATTTCTTTATGTGCTTAACGGAAAAAAGTTCTGTTGACGTTCCAACTTCCAAGGGCATCATGCATAATCTACAGAATTCAAATAACTACCGCAAAGGTCCACAGAAATCATTTTCTTCTTGAAGGATCATATCGTATTAAACGCAGAAAACGATGTTTACTCCCAGCAAGAAACATACCGAAGACGGTATCCACCAGCAATGTTTCCTTTTTCGATTTTGCTTTTAAAGTTTGAAGATTATGATTCTCCTTCTACTTCAAAATAATATTACTGCTTTTATCTCGAACAATACTATCATATTTTGACACACTAAGAATACAAATGAAGTTTATAACCCTCTTAATTTTTAGAGGAATTATTGAAGTTTGTGTAGTAACTATCATATCTGTATTATTAATATCCGTATTTTAATTTTAGCTTTTGAAACTTTAAACAAAGTCAAAATCGAAATTAAAATGCTGTAGTGTAATCTAAGGATGCGAACGAAGTAATAATGAATTTGTTACAAATTACAGATTCGATTTTCTTAAACGAAAAAAAAAAAAACAACAACAAACAAACTAGATAAAGTGCCAACTTTTAGTTCGTTAAGAATGGATCCTTTAATGAAATGGCATTTCACATTTGCCTCCTCAAACGGTTCCAACTGCCAAATAAGACTAGAAAAATTATACGACTGAGTCCGGGATTGACATCTGGCGACCACGTTGACTATGCATTTGAAAGTCTCACAATCACAGTACCAAAAAAGAAAACAACTTGACAAATGAATTTTAATGCAAACATATTGTTCTCTAAACACTCATAATTGGAATAGGAGATAAAATTATAACGACAGTGCAATTATCCAATAAAATTATTCAAATATACATTAAAGTTTTGTTTTGTTTTGGTTGCGTATCTATAATTGATGAGAAATTCACCGATGGTTATTTGCGCCATCAAATGATTAATTAAATTGTCTATGCTCTGTGTATTATGAATCCATCATGAATTGTAAGAAAATATATCATATGAGAAATTATAAAAAATAAAAAATCGTAGATTTGATCGAATAATCCACCAACAAACCAATAAAATTAATTTATGTTGACGTTAAAATCAAGTGGGAGCGTGACATCATTATTTTATCAGGTTTTATATTTAAATGTCACAAGTTATGATAACTAGATTTTGTGTAAAAGGAAAAAAAAAAAAACGAACTTAAAAAGCTATGTTCACAAACAAAAGATTAACATGATACTACTAGTTTACCAAAAGAAAAAAAAAAATTAACATTATAGAGCGTTGACTAAAAGTAACTCAAGAGTCCATACCCAACAAAAAGTTTTTGGGTAGTTTAAAAAAACAAAATCGACGTGGAAGGGGATTTTTTTTTTTTTTTTTGAGCTGGATTTCTGGAGTTGGACAGCCTCCATCTTTTCATTTCTTTTTCTTTTTTTTTCGATTTATATTACTCCCTCCCGTCCCTCTCCTTTTCCTCCATTGTCGGAGCTTCGTTACCGCGTTTCCCAATTTGTTTTTTTTTCCCTTCCAATTTCACCATCTTCTAATTCTTCATGCATTAATCATATGCTTTAATTCTTGATTATCAGAAACAGTTTTCTGGTTTGAAATTCCCCGCTTCATTTTCCTCCTTTCTGAAAAAAAAAAGAAAAGAAACGATGATGAGGAGGAAGAATTGTCGTTTATGATCACCGCCTCCGGCGAAGCTACATTGCCGTAAAATGTGCCGGCGTCACGGCCTCATCCTCACCGAATAATGAAAAAGCAAAGTTCCCACTGGTGGCAGAACGCTTTTTCATTTTCTTCCTCTAAATCAACTTCCGACGATATCTCCGTCGGGTCCCGCTACTCCCGGAGACCGTCTTTCTTTTCCAGCCGCGGCGGTCGGGTCGGCCGGCACATCTCTCGAGGCAAAAAGGTTCGCCATTCGATCGATTCTGACTCCGAAGGCTGGCGCAACCCGACTTCTTCTTCCTCCGATATCTCCTCTGCTAGGTTTGGTTCCTCTTGTCTTCCCGAAGCGCCGCCGCAGCCGCAGCCGCTTCCCTTGCCGGAATTGCAGACGCTGCTCCGCCGTGATGCTAAATCCGCTTCCGTCAATTCTGATTCTAATTACACCAATGTCCTGCTGCCGTCACCGAGGGATTCGATTCCTAAATTTCCCGCCACCGAGGAGAAGGAAAAGGAGAAAACCAGCGCTTCCAATCGTGTAGTTCATAATGACGGAGCCACAACCGCCGGCAATTCGGTTGCCAGGTAACTAAAATATTTATGTATTATCATTTCGAGTTTCATTCCAATACGAATTGCACGTCTGATTCTCGTTGAATTTGAGGAATTAAACCAGTTGCACTTGAATGATCAAAATGGACGCATTGACTGATTTGTTTCAGAGTTTTGGTCTATTTGTGTGTATGTTTTCTGCCTTCATGTTTCATATTTTGTGTATTTTATGAGCCAGTTGACAATAATGATGGGAAACCAATGCTGTTATCTTGGTACTTTAAAACATGTTTCTAGTTGCCTGCATTTGAATTGTCCATTTGTCCTACTGAGAAGCTGTTTTGCATTCTTGTTTTTCCTTTTTTTACTATTTTGTTCCCCCTCAGAGGGAACTCTTTGGGTAGTTGTTCAAGGTTTTAAATATGTTTGACCAGTCGGCCAAGCTTCTAAACAAGTCAAAAGCTGAATTATTAGGGATTTTTTCTTTCTCTGACCCCTGGCAATGATTCAAGATTGAGATCTTCTTGTGGAATCTCTGTTGGAATAAAATATATGTTTTAGATTTGTTTAAGTCAAATATTGACCTGATGATAAGTCAAATATGAGAGGATTAACAACTATGGGTTTAGGCTATTGATGATCCACATTCAGATAATGAATTGTTGATTCAATCTCCTACCTTTACTCAATAGCGCTGATCCTTTCGAAGTAATTTATGGATAAATGATATCATTTCAACGTTGGCTTTACAAACATCCGGGATACTTTCATTCTTAATCACTCGGAAGCAATATTTGGAATTTCGCTTCTTATGTAAAGTATGCAGTCGTGATAAGAAATAAAGTAGTGGAAGGTCTATATGGCTCAAGTTTAAGCATTTATTGAGTATGGAAATGTGATCGCACTGTGCACGAATCATGATGATAGTTAGCAGTTGAAACCTTTGAGCTGTCACTGCACCATTTTCTTTTATTGTATTACTGAATTGTTGTCTTCTGTTTTCCTCTCTGGAAACTGGAAAGGCTTGACCTTGCACCTCTTTGCAGGTTAAGCCAAGATGCCCAGAGAAATTTAGAACAATCTGATGCTTGGTCATCTAGAAGGTCACCGCCAAAACTGAATGGGATAGGTAGAGCTCCAGATAATAGGACATATAACATTCCTGTTAGTGCTCCTACTAGCCCTTATTCAAGTCCTGCACTCAGTCCTCATATAAACAATGGGGATGCTTTGACACCTCCTCAATACGTGACTCCTCCAAGCTTTTTTCAAGTTTGGTCTGCTCCAGAGATGCCAACATCTGATCCAATACTGGGACCTACTTTCATCTATCCAGTGTCCTCTGAGGTAGCTGCATTCAGTGCGGATAATACTCCCCTGCCCAGTCCAAGTTGGAGCTACTCCAAAAGTCCCAATGGGCCTGCTTCCCCGTTGTCTAACAAGTTAGCTATGGAGGCCTCAATAGGACGGCGTGATAACACGGCTCAAGTGAATGTCCATCCGTTACCTTTGCCCCCGGTGCTGCTATTCCTTCTCAGCCTACAGTTCTTCCCCAACCAATAGCTAAAGTGGATGTAGTTCCAATAAAAAGTCAATGGCAGAAAGGAAAGCTCATTGGGCGCGGGACTTTTGGAAGTGTTTACGTAGCCTCCAACAAGTATGGTAGTTCTTAATATAAGCTTTAGTTTTTCTTTCCCTTTTTTTTTTTTCCCAAAAAACCAATCTTCGTTTCCTTACAAGAAAGAAGACTAGAAGATCATTTTTTTTTTTTCCTTTTTTGCAGAAAGACTGGAGCTTTATGTGCATTGAAAGAGGTTGAAATGTTACCAGATGACCCAAAATCTGCAGAGAGTATAAGGCAACTAGAACAGGTAAGTTTCTCCAATAGCTTGTTGTTCTGTGGTGCTTTCATTTCTGAAGCTCAATCCTACTTTCTGAAGTCTTCCTTCTATGTTTCCACTTATATGCTAGCTAACCAATGCATTGCTCTGCATTAGGAAATTAAAGTTCTCAGGCATCTCAAGCATCCGAACATTGTTCAGTATTACGGCAGCGAAATTGTGAGTATTTTTACTCGGATTTTCAATGTGCTTCTTTGTCCTCATGAATTCAATATGCACTACAATTCAATTTCTCGTTCTGCAGGTTGGTGACAGGTTTTATATATATTTAGAATATGTTCATCCTGGTTCAATCAATAAATTTATCCGCGATCACTTTGGAGGAATCACGGAATCTGTCGTTCGCAACTTCACTCGACATATACTCTGTGGACTGGCTTACTTGCATAGCAAAAAAACTATTCACAGGTAATTGGAGTCGTTTAGTTTTTTATTATAGAATTTGTTAGCCTTGTGAAAGTAGAAAGCAGATTTAAGTTCAGTCAATTGTTGCTCTGCCTCGATAGTTTAACTTTCAAAGGCCACGCCTCCAGCGTCTTCCCACTTTTCTGTGAATTTTGTTACCTTTTTTTTTTTTTCCCCCTTCTAAGATGTGCATTTGTGAGAAATATCGCCCAATGAGTTTCTCTTATCTCCTGAAGTATTAAGTGAATCACCTGCTGACAGTTACCATCTTGACATAATTTTTTAAGGGATATCAAGGGGGCAAATTTACTTGTGGATGCTTATGGGGTTGTGAAGCTTGCTGATTTTGGGATGGCCAAACATGTGAGTAATAATTCTACAATTTTGATATAAGTCACCACGGCGGGAAAATATAAAGAAGTTTGTTAAATGTAACCTTGTTTGAATATGATCAGTGTTTTTCCCGTTCTTGGTTTAACTCTCCTGTTAACTTGACATGGGAGGTGATGAAATCTTGTCGGATTCCAATGGGTATTTCATGTAAACTTTATAACAGATTGTATACTTCACTGCGGTATTATTTCAGCTGTGCATTAATTTTGAACCAAATAGATGCTTCTCAAGTCTAAACGTAATCTTCTGATAAGATTCGAAATATTGCTGCAAAATGAATTCTCAGCCATCATATACTACCTAATTGAGAATTACTTATCATATCATATAAGTTATATTTTTAATACATGATCTTTTTAATCTAACTTACATTTTTTCTTATGCAGCTTAATGGCCATGCAGCTAATCTTTCTCTGAAGGGGAGCCCATATTGGATGGCCCCAGAGGTATCATCTTCTTCGAAATTGTCAACCTTTTGAAAGAAAATTTCCTCACTTCTGCTACTGAATGTTGAATGTTTTGTGCAGCTCTTGCAATCCGTAATGCAGCAGGATTCTAATGCTGATCTGGCATTGGCTGTTGATATATGGAGTTTAGGTTGCACTATTATTGAGATGTTCTCTGGGAAACCTCCTTGGAGTGAGTATGAAGGGGTGAGCTCTCAATTATATTGCTGATAGCGACTTCTATTTGATGTGGCTAATAAGTAGCTTTGCTTGAAACTTACGACGCACTCATAACTTCAACAAATTAGCATTAACGCAAAGTCATTCTTGATTTGTTACAAATTGATTAACAATGTTTTGGTATGGTGTTCCCGGATAACACACCCGCCCCCGGGTTACTCCTCCCTAATAAATTTTCTCTCACAAACAAAGTGTTGCTGATTATCTGATTCTTGTTTTTTTTTTCCCCCATGCCTCCCATCACAAACAAGTAGATTTCGTTTTTCTTCTCCCCTCGTTTTCCTTTGTTGTTGGTGTCTCATAATTAATTATCATGGGGAGGATTTCTTGATCTGCCTGGGGATCTTTTCTGTAGATTATACAATTTATCAGATCAGCCATAGCCTGCAGAGAGAATTTTTCATTCTCATTAAAAATTTTAAATTGCAGGCTGCAGCTATGTTTAAGGTGCTAAAAGAAACTCCGCCGATACCTGAAAATCTGTCAGCAGAAGGGAAAGATTTTTTGTCTTGTTGCTTCCGAAGAAATCCAGCCGAGAGGGCATCTGCTAGCATGTTACTGGAACACCCTTTTGTTAGGAACTCTCATCCTTCAGATGCTGTATCCAGAGCACTTTCTCCCACTGCATTTAAATCAAGGGTATATCCTTTCACCAAATTGTTCTCCTACTTCCTTCCAGTTAACAATTCGTGGTTAGTTATGCCATTTTATTTTCAACAGGACATTACAAGGGAGCACTTAAGGTTGAAGCTTGATCAAGTTCCTGTATACACAGATGCTGTATCCAGAGCACAGTCTCCTACTGTGAATAAATTAAGGGTATATCCTTTCACCAGTCTTCTCCTACTTTCTTCCCGTTTACAGTTTGTGTTTATATATGCCATCTTATTTTCAACAGGACTGTACAACGGAGAACTTAAAGTTGAAGCTTGACGAAGTCCCTGTACATGCAGATATGCATATGGCCCGAGGAAAAATGAATGACAAGTAAGAGTCGTTCATACATTAGCATTATCCTGTCGTACATGTACACATGCTGCGTATCCAATTCTGCTTGTAAACTGAAAGTTTGTTGTCAAATGCATGATACTATTATTTGTTTGAATTCCCGTGCTTACATGAGCTCTATGTAACATACTGTAACAATCACAAGCATCAAATGGAATAATTTCATAAAATCTGTTTGTCTCAGCCTTCTGAACGCTTCTCTTTCGCAAATGAGATTGGCAAACGACGTCAGCACAAAGCTTTGAGTTCACGGTGTCAGTCTCCGCATTCAACAGTTCGAGCCCCTCTCCACTGCACTACATGGATTGTGTGAGGTCTGCTTAAAATCATCTGATATGGTGAGCAAGGTGCTAAATGAAATGGATTTGCCACTTGATTTTTGATGTGGTACCCAAACCAAAGAGCTTAATATGCATGAAATTGGAGATGGATTTGCTGAAATGGATGGCTTACCGCCAAGGGGAGGAGCAGCACATACGGTCTGTTGTAACATTTGGAAAAGAAGAGGGTGTTTAACAAATTAAAGAAAATCCTACCATTCTAACAGGATCTGATGAGTATTCTGAAGTAGGACTTGCGCATTTCGGCAGAGGTAGAAGCACACTGTAGCAGCGGCAACCAAAGCAAAAAAATGTGACTCAGTTGTAGTTGTAGAATTCAAGGACGTCCATGTCCCTGATTACTGATATGGAAGAAGTTGAGAAGGGTTGTATATATGTAACATCATTTAATCGATCGGTGTAGTTTTGAAGGGGTGAATTTTGAGTTCATCCTGTTTCTGACCACCTATTATTGCCTCTTAAAACTGCACCGTAGCACCCGTTCAATAAACGTGGCAATCATTTTAAGTTCCAACACTAAACTAGTATGAAACCGATATTGAAATTGAGAACTGAAAATATTCCAACTTGGATTCGGGAATGAACATCAGTTTTGTTATGCGGTGCCAACGCCCGATCAGAGCAATGTCCAAGCAATTAGTACTGTGTCAAAATCCCTGTTTAAGGAATCGAAACGGAAAAGGCGGACCGACTAAGAATAATTATAATATTCGGGGTAATTTAATTCACAAATTAACAAATATACTGAAAAGAAAAAAAGCAATGAAACTTTTTGAGCCACTGGGTCATTGTCGACCCAATAAGAGGAAGAAGTCCACCACCATAGCCACACTCACTCTAAAGTGAGCTCGTGAGCCCATTCCGTCCCCGCATGTGCCTGCCCCACAAATCCATTCTCCACGCTTCGTTCTTCTTCTTTCCATCTATAAAGAAACCCCCCACAAATCAACGCAACCGTTTCGTCTTAATTGAGAAAACCAGAAAGAAACAAGGCAAAATTGAGAGAAGAGATTTTGTTGAAGGTTTTTCAAGATGGAACCGCCACAATCCCAATCCATACAGAGCAACTATCCCCCCATGGAAGATGATCAGGACAAAGTTATCGACGGATGGTAAAACTTCCCCTGCTTCTTTTTTTTTTTCCTTAATTTGGGTTACTGTTACTGCGATGTATGTCTGAGTATGATTTTCCGGGGTCCCTTTTTTTTGGGTTTGGTTTGTTGTGATGCAGTTGTTCTTGCTGCTATGACTGCTGGAATGACTGCTGGAGTAGCTTACTAGACTACCTATGCTGTGGCGACTCCTGTTAGAGATGACGGCTCCGCAGCAGAGACATAATTAATCAACTTTCTTTCTAGTATTAGTACTACTTCTTTATTGAAAAATCGAACTATAATCTTTTCAATGTTATAAACCCAATCCCAGGAGACATCGTTGCTTATTACCAACTCAGCAGTAGTACATCATTTTAGTGCTATAGTATATACATATATAATCCCTTCTGTTGGCTATTTTGTTCTTTTTGTTTCTCTGTGGGATTGTGATTGCAATTGTCGTTGTTTCAAAACTTGTCAACTTTCAAATCTTGGATCCCAGTCACATTCGCTGGTTGTCTATTCCTTGATTTCGACAATTGTCATTAAAAACTTGCATAGATTCCGGGTTACCGCCGATCCGGAGTTTGTCGGGAAGGTTCTGTTCTGGCTAATGGCTATAGTGTGCAATCACTAATTTATTAATGGCTTTGTGGTAAGAATCTTGTCACGTGAAAGTTGGATGAAGGGAAATCCTCGGTAATTAAGGCTATGTTTGGTTACTTTTTTCACTCATTTTTTCAGAATTTTTAATTAATATTTATTCCATTCTAACATACCTTTTTACATTCTCAATACACCTTTTTATATTTCCAATATACGTTTTTACATTCCCAATAAAAAAAACACATTCAAAAAACCTTCTAAACATAGCCTTAGCTTAGGCAGGAATAGGATACAATGTACTTTACTAACATTTTGATTTTAAACGTAATCTTCTGTCCAACTTTTTAACTTCTTTTTTTTATTAGTCTCACTTAAAAATTCTTCCATTTAATCCCATGGAAATCAAAAAATAAGAACAAAATCACGGTAAAAATTCGTTAAGAATATTCCAGATTTCATTCCTCAAAACAACTAGCCAAAACTAATTAGTCTTTGATCATTTTTATATCGTATCATTACCAAGCTTACGCGAATACTATCTTTTCTTCTTCTTTTTTTTTTTTTTTGAAAAAAATAAAATTTTCCTTTTCTTTTTGGAGAACAAAATTTAGTACTAGTATCTTGCATTTATAAAATTGTTATAAGAAGTCAAGTCATCCGATACCAAGTAATTAATGAATGTTATTGCCATCCCCCGAAAGTTATTGCTAGAGTATTGACTTTAAAGTTCATCTTTTTGTACGTCTAATTAAAATTTTCAAAGAGTGTTAGAGAATTCGTTTGAAACCACTTTCTTACTCAAGGATTACATAATAAACTCAATTTTTTTTTATATGTAACTAGTTTCTTCTGTGTCACGCGTTGCGCGACCATTTTGTATTTTGATTGTATTATAAATAAATTTTAACATTAACAATTTTATAATAGAATATTTTTTTGTATTAATGTTTGAGATTAATAAATAACAAAAAAAAATATTATTATTGCGTCTCAGGTTAAAAGATCTTTTCGTATACTACATTTATTTTGCTTGTTTTTAAGGACTCTATTTTTTCTATTAAAAGAACCAATTTAAATTCATTTTATTTTTCTCCTCCCGGTAAACCCCTTCTTCCTCCTTCTGTCTTTTGTATTTGACCATAATTCTGCCAATATTTATTTGTTCTTTGCTTTGTCTTCTTGACCATAATCACTTAATAGTCTGAATATGAATTCATTGAATAGGATCTAACATTTGAATAATCACTTAACATTGGGCTTCCGAAATTAGACTAATTTGAAATTTTGATTGAGTACCCTGTTCAACTACGTTTTTGGCGAGTACCAAAAGGGGTTCTACTGTGAAATTCATGGTGAGCGACAATATGATCGAATCAAGAGCCCTCCATTGACAACAAACAAGCGAAAAAGTTCAATTAAAATCAAGAGGTGTTGGAATTGCATAATTCAAACCTGGAGCTGGTTAAACCGTGGAATCAATGTGTCATATTGCTCCAAAACGGACAAGTTGTGCTTGTTTGGACGTCATTTTACATTTTATTTTGTCAGTTAAAGTAGAAAGTGTTTCAAGTTGAAAACTAAATGGGAAATAAAAATATTGTTTGGATGGTATTTTGAGCAAAAATTTATTTGGATGTTGGTTTTGAAAAAAATATTTTGAACTATATTTTTGAAATATTAAGTACGAATCATCACTAAACAATTAAATACTGTCAATTATAGTCATTTTAAAAAAGAACTTCTCGAAAAATAATCACTAAACAACGGAAACCTGACAAATTTGTCACTCTAAGATTTTCCTCTGTTAGAATTCGTCACTGAACTACTTCTTTTTTAAAAATGGTCATTACACTAACAAAAAGTGTTTCAAGTTGGAATTTAAAATGTAAATCAGAAAGCTGTTTGGATGATATTTTCTTTTCCATTAGATTTTGTGTTTAAGAGGTAAAATGAATTAAAATGTAAAACGAGTTGACACATCAGATGCTTCACATTGGTGAAGCATTCTTTGGCAGCCCTCCCTATTTACATGAGGGGAGTTTCCAAACTACCTCAATCCATCAACAAGCAGATCGATGCAATCATAGCCCACTTTATATGGAATGGGGACAAAGAAGGCAGGGGTTTGCACTGGAAATCATGGAACTTTATCTGCAAATCCAAATTTTATGGTGGCTTAGGTCTGCGCTCTGCCATGGAAACTAATCAAGCCCTTCTGGCAAAATTGGCATGGCGCATACTCTCACAACCAAACTCGTTGTTCGCCAGATTCTTCACCAAGAAGTATGCATCCAAGAGAAACTTTTTACAATGTGACAGTAATAACACTAAATCGTGGGGTTGGAGAAGTATTCTCGGGGGAGGATTTGCTGCAAAAAGGGCTCAAGTGGAAAGTGATCAATGGGAAAGATATCAAAGGGGAGGAAGAATGGATTCCTGAGCTATCGAACCCGTTAAGAGATCATCCTCCTTTTCAAGGATCACTCACTCTGAAGGTTAGTGATCTGCTTGACAATAACCAGAGGTGGAGACAGGACCTTCTAAACATGTTTTTCCCCAACGACGTGATAGATCACATCAAATCCATTTACATCCCAATTCATTCAGTGGGACAAAAGGATTACATGTATTGGTCTAAAACGACAACTGGGGAATATACCTCCAAGAAGAGTGGATACCATGAGGCACAACCATACTCGGCAGCATTTAGCAGTGTCGTCGAACAGCTCATTCGGATTGTGTAAAAGTGCGTGGAAGAAGTTTTGGAGCCTCAAGATCCCAGGAAAGCTTCAGTGGTTATTGTGGAGGGCAATCAACAATGCACTTCCTTCCTTGTGCTCTTTACGACGACGAGGTATGCAACTAGCAACTACATGCACGCGTTGTGCTCTTTTTTGATCGTGAACATTCGAAGCACAGATTAAAAACAAGAGAAAAATGAGTATTGCTAAACGAGACTTAATTTTATTTTACGAAACTTAATTTTAATTCGCACAGCTTTATAAGGGTATTTTAGTTTATTTTACAAACTGCAGGAAGTAAAAGTAATTTACATCTAGCAACACCCTTAAATAAAATATGGACAAAACACATTTTTGGTCCATGAACTATAGGGAATCACAATTTTTGGTTATCATTAATTTTTTACTGACAAAATTAATCACCACCTTTTTATTTATTCAACAATTTTAGTCAATTTAACGATCAACTAAGGGTAAACTTTTTTTTCGTTAAGTTTTTTATTTTTTATTATTTTTTTACTGAATTAGGACCCGCAATGTATTTTCAAACAACAAAATCAGTCCCCAAATATCTTTTATTTCAACAGTTTTAGTCACTTTAACAGAATTTTTAAAAATTTAATTTCCCAATTCAATTTTCCTTTAAACCTTTATTTTTTATTGATTACTTAATGGATTGTGGGTCTTATAAATCTTTGATCAGATTTTTTTTCTAAAAAAATAAATTAAAAGAATAATAGAAGTATTTCCGACCAGCTTTCTAAACTCCAATAAAGATTGAAGGAAAATTAAACTGGGCTATTAAATTTTTAAAAATTCTGTGAAGTGACTAAAATTATTGAAAAAAAAAGATATTTGAGAACTGATTTTGTTGTTTGAAAATATATTGCGGGTCCCAATTTAGTAAAAATTAATAAAAAATAAAAAAACTTAACGGAGAAAAGAGTTGACCATTAGTTGTTTGTTAAATTAACTAAAATTGTTGAATAAACGAAAAGATAGTGACTAATTTTGTCAGTAAAAAACGACCCCCTCCCATAATTCAGTGACCAAAAGTGTGTTTTGTCCATAAAATATTGAAACCTGACTTTCGTATCTAACTTTTAAACAATGATCCCACCGTTTCCCCTCTCCCCTTCGTTTATAGTTGTAAATCCATAGGTAAAAAGAATTATGAGATCTTGTTCTAACATGTCAAATAGAAATGGGCTACAGTTCCTTAATTATCATGTTTCATGACAGTAACCCGTTTAGAGATTCAGAGTAGAAACATTCCCATATATCAGCACCCATTTTTTTTACAAATACACGCATAGCAGCTGTACATGATTTCTCCATCTTTCTTTATTGATTATTTTGGTGGTGTACCATAATGCCCATTCGGCGCCATTTTTTTTTTTTTCGTGTAATGCTTATTTATGTACTTATGAGGCAAAGTTTCTTCAAAATCACCCAGAAACGAATAAAAATAGAAAGTATAGTACTCCAGTAAATTGAACCTGTAATTGGGAAATTATCAAATCTTATGCAGCAGTTGAAGACGTAAATTAGGAAACGTTAAATTATATACCATAAATAATTTACCGGTTGCCGGTCATATACAATTTCAATTGTTTTATTCCTTTAATGCAAATTTATGGTTGTGATTGATTTAATTTAATTCAATATCTATTAATTAAATAACGGGACCATACTCTTAAAATTAGCAACGAGAATGTAACTTTTAGATATTAGGTTTTAAGGATTGGTGCCATTAATTTATCTCTTGTGTCAAAATTAAATAATTATAAAGTCAATGATAGGAAAACTTTAAAAACGTATAGGTTTTAATAAGGATTAATAACTGGAGTAATTAGTATTGGGACCGATGAAATATTTATTGGTGCAATTCGAATTCAATTTACGAAATATCCTCCAAAGGCTAAAAAAAATTATAAAAAAAAACCGTAAACAAAATTAAACCAAACCCCCAAATGAGGTCGGTGAGTCGGTCCAAACAAGGGGAAAGACTTTTTTTATCCTTGAGATCATGCATAGAAATAGAAAGCCCCAAAATCACACATTTCCTCTCAGCGACTTAATTTCTTGCACGGAGGGAAGAAGGCGATTGAGCTTCTTGCAGCGGCGGCGGAATTTACTCAACTGGTAAAATAATTTCTTTCTTTTTTTTTCGGAAATCTTTTGGATATTATACCCTAATTAATGTTCTGATTCTGTGCTGAAATTTGCTCCGATTTATTTCCCAATTTGCATCGGTGGATAGTTGCCGTAAATACTTTTCGCTTAGTCGCTGCTCAGACCTAATCCGGGCACCGATTTCGCTGGTTTTTTCTGTAATTATTACTTAATAGATGAAATGAACACGCTTCGCACATACGTAAGTCCTACTATTATATAGGAAAAAATATTCAACATAATTTAGTGTAAATATAAATAATATTTTAACTCTTGAAAAAAACACACACATACACAAAGTGAATAATAGAATACAATCAATATTTTCCATAACAAAGCCTTTCTCACCCCCTCCAGCCTCCCCTAAAAAAAAAAAAAAAGGAAGGAAAAAGAAATCGAAACTGGAAATTTCATAAAAAAAGGAGTAAAAATAATTGAGTTGGTGATTACCTTCAATGAAATTGGGATGAAAAGGTCATCGAGCGCAGAAAACAGACAAATGAAAGAAAAAAAAAAGATAAATGTGATAAAACTCTTAGTTTTAGAGTTATATATATTGACAAATTTAAAATACAAAACTCTTAGTATTTTATCTGAATTATGGAATAATCTTTCCAATTCTCATTACTAAAATCCTAAAATTTAAAGAAGAGAAGAAGAAAAGATACATGAAACTTTAAAGCTACAAAATTACTGAAACCATGGCCAATAATAATTCAACTAACAATTAGCCTTAATTTGTTTATAATATTTAAATTAAAAATAAAATAAAAATTAATTGACGGGATCAAAAGTCAGAACATTAAGGAACACCAAATGTAACCCATAAAGTCTAATTAAAGGGAGAAGTATCGATTTAATTTGAACGTTTAATCTGGTTGTCGATTTAGTTCAAATGTTTGTTCTACTTATCAATTTCATTCAAAGGTATGACTTTTGTCGTCGTTTTAGTCCCTTGGACGAAAAAATCCCTCAAACTAAATGAAATTAGGCCAAATAGTTTAGAAATTTTTTAAAAATGCCCCTTATGGTATAAAAATTTATAAAAAGTATTTTACTTTTAAATTTTCTTGTCCATTGTTTTTCTTGATATTTTTTTTGGTATGCACCAAAAAGTTATGAAAACAGATCGAGAAAAAATAAAAAAAATACAAGTTTTTAATTAACATAAAAGAAAAAAGGAATAATTATTGAAAAAAATGAAGGTGTAACATAATTTTGTATATATTTATAACACATAGGAAAAATGGTGTCATAAAAAAGAATTTGTAATATAGTTTTTTATGTATCTATAACATAGAGGAAAAACAAAAAAAAAATTGGAGTTCATATTTCACACTAAAAAAAATTTAAAATGATTTTTATTAAGAGAATATTAGATGAAAATTAATAAATAAATTTAAATATCTTTTCTATACCATAAGGGTTAAGTTTTTTTTTGAAAAATTTTATACTATTTCGCCTAATTTAAATTAGTTTGAGGGGTATTCTCATCCAAAGGACTAACTCGACTACAAAGTAATACCTTTGGATGAAATCGACAACTAAAATAAATGTATAGACTAAATCAACAACCAGAGTAAATGTTTGGACTAAATTGATACTTTTTCCCTAATTAAATAAAAAAAATAAAAGAAAAAAATTAAAGGAAGGAGATCAAAAGTTAGAACATTAAATTAAATAAACACCAAATGTAACACATAAAGTCTTTTTATTTTCTTGGTTGAAAAAGAGGGGAAAAACCTCCATAATTAATACTTCAAAAGGACTACCAAATTCAAGTTTACATTATGCAATTATAATATATGTTGATTAGTTGCTACGAATTGCTTGCCCTGATTTATTGCCTCGATTGAATCCGATTTTGTAGAATCGTCGTAGTTCTAGACTCCTAGTTTCTCCTCGCTCCGTGTGGCTTTTCATTACGGAATAAGGATGGAGGTTTTACAACCTATTCTTATCGCCTCCTCTGATAATAAAAACCAATTCTTATGGCCTTATATGGTTCTTAATGTTGATTATTCGGATTTCACTTGCGCCTGACTGCCTTATACTCATTAGAAGCAGAGTTTCAGAGTCTGAGAGATGATTTTAATGATGATTCGATTAGAATTGATACTTTTCATTTCTCCCATTGGCTGATTGTTGTGTAATTTGTTTCAGTAGCTTTGTCTGTTTCGTCATCATATCGGCGGTGACCTGGAATAGTGTCAAGCATTACGCGGTCAAGTATGATGCTATGCGGGAGGCGCTTAATGGGAAGAAAGCATATTTGTTGCATGCTGCGATAGAATTGGATGAGCTTCTTAAGCGCATCAACAGGAAACTGTGTAGAGCTGCAAAGAGGAATGACAATAGTCATGTGATCAAAGAGATCGTGAATGCTCATCCTGTCATCATGGATTATATGGTGAGACATCTTGATCTCATTTCTTCCCAGGCCTCAGAGATGTCATCATCTGCAACATTGATCCTTAAATCTCTTAGAAAAGCCAGTGCGGATGATGAGGAAGCACAGCAAAAGCTTGTCAAACTGACCTCCTTTCAGGAACTACTTGAGGATTTCGTTGAGAAGGCAAATGCTTTGGGTGTAACAAAGGCTGAGTTGGCTCATAGAGAGAAAGAGTTGGAAACTTACAAGAATGGTAGACTAAAGTCCATGTTGAAACACTTTGATATATCCGCTCCCACCAAGCATGACGTGTGAACGATGGCGACGATTTTAAGATGATCTTCCAGCTTTGTTCTCATCTTGGAGAATCAGGTTTCTTTGCTTTGGGCGCAGCGGGAATGAAGAATTGCCACCTCATTAAAGAGAAGTTTCACCATGAGTTCGAAAGGGCCGAGGTTCTTATGCCGGAGAATGCAATCATGGACGTTGGGTTGTTTCGTGTCCACAGAAATGGGGAAGGGGTAGTTGTGGTGTCTGCGGTTCCAGAAGCTTCAAGGCCTAGTCACGGGTACGAAAAGGTGAAGGTAGCACCACCGCAGCCTCGAGTTGATGCGCCTTTAGCCGTGGAGCAAGCCAGGAATGTACCTATGGAGGGAGCAGTGACTACGGGAGTTGTTGTGGCTGCAGCTTTGGAGACCAGAAGGCAGAACGTGGAGGAAGAGGGATGAAATGAGTTGCTGGAACCAGCTTTGTTTTAACTTGTAATCGACTTCGGGAGTTGTTGTGGCTGTTGTTATTTGCGGTTGGTATGGTGTCTGTGCAGAGATCATTGGCGTATTCTTTTTTTTTTTTTAACTTGTATTCGACTTAGACCTATCAAGTTTTGAACAAACAAGAACCTGGTAAAAGTATGAGTATTTTCAGGGAGGGTTCCACATTTTCGGGTGGTAAACTTGTACCTATTTGGCTCAGTTTCCAGAATTCTAGATCAAATAACCGATCAATTTGGTTGCAAAGTGGATATGAGCAGGATTACATACGAGCAAGTTGCTCATCAACTTTTATTATGTGTCAACATTTTGTTCTGCACATATGAGTTCAGTGCTTGATTGTTTACTGTCAGTTTCAAAGCCATGATTTCCTTAAAGTCTAAATGGTTTTAGACAAGCTTCTTTGTGTAGGATTAAATGTAAGGCTAAAAGTGTCGCCTTTTTTCCAACATTAGAGTGCATCTTTGAAGATTGAAAATTAGATATTTTTCAAAGATTGAAAATTATTCCAAATGTACTTAGAAAAACACATTGACATTTAAAATTACACAATTGTAACTTATGTATTTAATATTAATATTACTCCGTCGAAAATGTCATAATTCTTAAACCATTAAACTTATATATATCTTGACAACCACACAACATGTGGGGTAAACACTAGTATGTAGTAGTAGTCGACATTGAATATTGCAAACTTTCATTTCAATCTACAATCAAATTACTTTTAAAATATTTATAAGATTTCATGAATTGATTATCCGGTATTTACTATAATAAAGGATGTTGGTGTGTATAAATATAAACTACTAATAGCCCGCTTATTATTTCAAATTGAAGATTTTGTTTCTCCTTCACATAAAATAAACAAGTTCACGGCATAATCTTCTGGTAACAAAAGAGAATCTTAGATAGTGTATACTACTACTAATGAGTGTGATTAATTGGTGTATTTTATTTTATGTTTTAGTAGCTTCTTATATATACTAGTATGTACCACGTGCGTTACACGACGGAATTTAGATACTATTGTATTAAAATTTTGCATCATATAATCAGTAATTAGAATATAAAAATTATGAAACTATAAATAGTAGATATTTTGAAAATCACCGAAAAGAAAAACAAAATCAAAAGATCAAAATAAAAAAGTTATAAAAGTTTGTTGTTCATTGTATATTTTATGCTTAAAAACTGCAATAGTGGGTTGTTCATTATGCAAATCACAAGGTATTACTGTCTGGATGAGTTACTAAATGTATTAAAAAGGATCTCTTTAAGTAATCACCCATAATATATTTCTATCAATGTATTTAGTAATAGAATGTAATTATGTGAAAACATATCAAAGGAAAAAATGTAGAAAATAAAAGAAAAATCCAATTTGAGCCAGCTCCGCAAAAAAAAAATCAAGAAAAACTTTTATAATAACTTTTTATAATAAATATTGGCTGATTAATGATAGGCCAACCAAAAGACTAAAATGTCCAATTGGACTAAAGAGTCCAGGCTAGGACTAACATGTTTAGTAAAATATACAGACGGGTCATTTTCGTCATTTCGATTATATAAATTCGAAAATCAGCAATCGTATAAACTGGGTCTTCATGATTAAAAAGACACAAATATTGATTCATGTTAAAGAGTCCAGTTTGAGACTCGTGAATTAAGTAAAACATATGGATAACCCTTTTTTCGTAATTTCGATGATATGATTCCGAAAGTCAGAAATCATATAAATTGGGAGGCCAATTGATTTCATCGATGAATCATGGCCTTTTTTTGTAATATTTGACAGTCATCGTCGTCAAGCTTGGGATTTAGAATATGCCGGCCAAAAGCTCAGTAGCCGATACCCGATTTCGAATTCCGATGCATAATTTTCCGATTATAGGGTGCAGACAAATTTTCTTTTCTTATCATCATACTTCATTTTTTTAGGAGTCAAGGACACTCATCATTTTCAAACCTACGAGACCAATTTTAGTTAAAAATAAGGATTGATATCAAAAACATCCCCGAGGTTTAGTCGATTAACTAAAACACCCTTGTCTTCTAAGGAAATATCAAAAATCTCCTTTGACTGGTGAAACTTATCGATCAACCGATAAAGAACGTGAAATGATAAACAACCCACTAATAGTTCCCGTAACTTTTTCTTTTTTTTTTTCTTTAAAATAAATAAATAAGTATAGTAGAACTTTTCTGCCTTTCTTAATTTCCATCCCCAAAAAAACCTAACTCAAACATTATCATTATCACCGCCGCCTCTTATCGATTAAAGTCTCCTTCGATTCCATCCAATTTTTCCTAAAACACACTCGGCAAAAAGTGTGCTCATATGGTATGAACGCTGTTGCGCCCCTTTTCCTTCCCATACACACACAGCACATGGAAACCAACCCCGCTCTTTTTTTCTCCTCATCGCACCCGTCCGTTTCTTCCAACAATTGTTATCAACGACATTCTCAATGGCATCCTTTGTTCTGTCTGTGGTCCCGCACCCACCTGATTATTGTTGACATCAGATAGCCTTGTTGTTGGACTTTGATTAAACCCCTCAAACTCCTAGGCCCCCTTGAATTGCCTCTCCGTTGCCAAAGCCGCTGCCAGATTAATCCCTGACGGCACCTATTTCCCAGAACATCTTGACCGAGGTTCATACCCGATGTTCCCACCGCCGTGGAAACTCTTCCCTCCTCATATTATCCGACACTGCCGCCGCTGTCGCTGCCATTGTCATCCTCGTCGCCTCTCACACCCATGGTGTTGTTTGGCCTGGAAGTGTTTTTGGAGAACAGTTGTCAGTTTTGGCATTTATGGGTTGGGGTTATTTTAGTGTTTTGAGGAGAAGAGAGCAAAATTTGTTAAACCAAATTGATTCCCATTTGCTAATTTTGTACCAAGAGATTCTGTAAGAATTTTTTTTTTCTATCTTCTGTTATTATATCTTGCCCAAAATGTTAATTTGTGAACTAATTCAATGTTCTTCATGTAAAATATCAGAATGAGATCCATGACACAAGTTTGATTGAAACCGAGAAACGATACATTATTGAAAGAACAAAACATCTTACATTATTGACGGCATGAAAGATCTTTGATCGATTGTGTGATTTATATATTATAACAACAGTTTTTTTAAAAAAATTACTCACTCCGTCCCAGAAAAATAGTCCAGTTTGAAAATTTACACCTTTTTTAATTTGGTCAACACAACAAATGTACAACTCATTTTATACCCCTAACTTTCACTAATGCCCCTACTAGTTATTTCTAAAAAAGTCAACTACATATGCATTTATTTTACAACTTAAATTTGATCAAAATTTTTATCTCAAAAAATATTGACAATGGATCTTGATGGAAAGATCTCGTTATGTAGATTAATTTGATATATACCACATTTTTTAATTATTCATGTATTAAAAGATATAAGCATTTGAAAAAAAAATAGGAGAAAACTAAAAGAAAAATAAAAATCAAAGGAAGTGGACCTTATTTTCCTTATCACCACTCTTTTGGATATTTAAGTTATTTCAATTCAATTAATTTTGACTTTTGTGAAACTGGACTATTTTTTTGGGATAAGATTTTTTATTAAACTGGACTATTTTGTTGAGACGGAGAGTAAATAACAACAAGATAAATAACAAAAAGTAATCAAACAGAATAACCAAGTTACCATTTTTTTTACTGTTTAATAAGCATCCAATGAGTTAATGACATGTGTCTCTCAAAATGTTTGATGGCATGAATTGGCGACACGTGTCGATTATCTTTCTTTCCTTTAATATCTATAGTACTTAATTAAAGTATCAAACAAAAAAGACATGTGTCAGCACTACAATGAAAATTTTCCCGCCAAAAGCCATTTTCAGTACAAAATCATTTTTGACAAGTAGCACTCTAACTAATCAGAAAAAAAAGATAAAATAGATAAATACATAAATCACTTAATTATAGCTACATAAAAATCTCTTAATTATAGGTATATACTAATCTTTTAAAACAACAATATTTAATTAATAAAATCAAATGTAAGGAAATCCCCTTAAATCAAGTGAAACACAATAATGTCTTCCCAATCCCCAATTTCAAAGAATCTCTTCCATTCCGCTCCTCTCTCACACCTGGGCCTTTAAATCAATTACTTAAAATCTGATATCAATTATCAATCCATCTCTTTTTACAACAGAGACAAAATAAGCTGTCATGAAAGAAATTTGATTTTTTAAGGATGATTTTTTTTTCTTCTGTTGTAGATATTGGTTTATGATTTATGTAAACCAGGGCATAAATTAACTGTTGTAAATTAAATGTTATAAATCTGGGCATAGATTTATGTATAATAACTCACTTTCTGTCCTTTCAATCGTTTTTTTATTCTTTTATTTTTTTTTATTCTTTTAAGAATGATTCGTATTCTTTATTTAATCGATTTAAAAATACAGGCGGCACCCCGGGAATTCGCCCGAGGCAAGCATCTAGTATATAATGATTTCTCTCCAAGCTTTGAGCTCCATTCCTAGTTTGGCTCAATACGAAGATCATAAACTTTTTTTTTCTGCTAGTAAATAAGGAATATTCTAGGTATTCCCTCCAGTCCGATTTATAAGATACTCCCTCCAGTTTGATTTGTCCTACATTTCATTTAGTATACTATTTGAATCGAAAACCTTAAACAAACTCCATCATAATTGGAAGAACAAAATAAATATGAGGATACATTTTTGAGGATTTATTTTCAATTAAAAGCACATACTGCAAAAAAAGTTTAAGACAAATCAAAATACCTTATATTGACTAATAATGACATGAGGGAGTACTAGAATACATGTATCACTAGTATCAATTTGGTTACGGTTTCTTCAAAGATATCATGGTTTATAAAAAAAAAATTTTAAAAAAACCATCACCAAAAACCTGAATAATTTGGAGCAAACTTATACATAAGTAACCTAGATACAGAGCAGAGTCACTGAAAAACGCCATGCAGGAAGCCCTCTCAAAGGGGCCAAGTTGAAACCTTTTTAAGGGCCGCCAGTGGCTTCGCTAGCATCAGCAGTAATGGAGGAGAAGTAGTCTTTAACCATCAAAATGTCGCCGCAAAGCTTTTTGGGCAATTGTTCCATTGCTACACCTTCCTGCCAAGCTTGGCCAACCAGAACGCCAGGTCCAACTTGACGGATATACACTACAACCTCGTCGTTGAAAGGCCATGGATGCTTTGCGGGTTTAGGAAATCCATCAGGATATACAGAAATGTCCAACAATCCTTCTCCAAATTCGTAGGCCAAATCACATGGCTGCTCTGTGGATATCACCTCATTCAAATCTCTAGCCACAGTGAAGTACAACGGCGCAAATGAATTCGATATTCCCTCCAGAAAAGAACCCCCGATGAAACGTCCATACAGCTGATTCCTCTCCTTGCTGTAAAACAATGCCTTCTTGAAGTAATTCATCCAGGCAATCGGAGCCGGCCCTCCGTTTGTTCGGCAATTCCAAAACTCAAGTGGCATTTCATCTTTCCCATGGATCAGCACTTCATCTTTCCCATCGGAGAGCAACCCGGAGGCAGTTTTCGCGATTAACTTGGGATCATCATATCGAGTTCCTGCTATTTCCCATGCCCTTGATAGAAGCCTGGAATCTAATAACCTGAGCAACCGATGACGCCTCTCTTCAGGGATATCCTCAATCTTTTTCCAAAGATAAGAAGCAGGATTATAAGTGGAAGGGTCAAGAGGGATGAGTTCCTTAGGAGGATCAAGGAAGGTGACAACGTCCTGTTCGTCCAAGTACATTACTCTGCCATTGGGTAACACTTCAAAGGGCTTATCATCCCATGATGATGGAGAAGGAAAAGAGGAATTCGTCGTTGCGGTATTTTGTCGAACATTTACAGTGCATCTTCCATTACTCATTCTTCCGAAGCTTCTGAGGTTGATTAGAGCCAGTTTCGGGAGTGGATTTTGGTGGAACTTCTGATGGGAGGAAGAGGAGGAAGGAAAAGAAGAAAAGCTTACACAGGAACACCAGTTTTTTGTTGTTATAGCTCCATTGTTAAGGAGGCTCAAGTTCATGTTCAAGCTGCAATTCATTTTTTCAAGTTTACCGTTATTGCTTTCACTTCCTCTTAGACTCCTGGACAGATCTTAAACAAGCCCATAGAATTGGGTGGGATGTTAGGACAGATAGTTTGAGGCCCGCAACGCGTCTCAGGATTATAACCATTTAAAATATTATAATAATTATGAAATTACGAGTTTTAATTTATTAGTTCAATTCTTATTTGATTTTATAGAGAAATACAGTAGTGTCCGCATAAGTATCATCAACTCCAAATTTCAACTTTTATATTTTTTTCAAATCATTTTCCCCTTTTTTTCTATGAAATCAACAATCTGTACAACTATCAACAAAATCAATGGGATCGCTGGGTCGTAGGATTCTACGATCCGAATTGAGATTTTGAAGGATACCATAAGATCCCACTACAAAAAAGATTTCATAAGATATATGATCGATTTCCTGATTCAGGATCACTGGATCGTAAGATTCTAAGATCCGAATTGGGATTTTGAAAACTATGCCCGCAACTAATGAGCCCATATGTTATAACAATTTGTTTAATCGAATTTTAGAAATATATATATATATATATATATATATTAAGAAGAATAGAAATGATTTATTATTGATGATAATGTTTTATTTTTCTTTAGTTTTCATTTGTCGGTGTGTAAGGCCCTGTTTGATAAATCAATTAAGTGCTTAAATTTATTAATTAATTACTTAATTGATTAGCACTATTTGATAACACAATATCATAACAATTTAATTGCTTAAAAACTTAATTTATTAAGAACTTAAATTTTAAGTGTGTTTGATAATTCAAAGTAGGATGTCTTAATAAATTAAGTGGGTCTGAAATGCTAGTACAAATGTGAGCCTAAAAATAACTGATAGCCCTATCACTTATGTCTGAACTGAATTTTTGAGACGATTTTTTTTTTATTTATTTTTATGTTTATACTTTTGATATTTTATCTTGAAATATTTTTATTAATCAGAATGTCTAGTTCTAAATTAAAATTTATGTAAATTATTTTTTATTTAATAAATATTTATTTTTATATAAAAATTAAAATCCATTAAATTTCATGATCAATATATCTTTACCATAACATATGATTTTTTTTACAATGATAAAATATGACATTATTATTAACTGAAAAAATAATAATATAATAAAATTTAAATATTTTTATTACATTATTTAATAATATTATTATTATTTTTATTATCATAGTTTCATATACATCAATTTTTTTTTAGATAAAATTATAAATCGAGATACTTTAAATTTCAGTGTTCAGACTTCAGATTTCAGACATTTTATTCAGTGTTTAGATTTTGGTTTTTATCAAACACGACAAACTTAATCAATTCAGTATTTATGATTCAGTCTTCAGATTTCAGACTTCAGACTCAAATTAAGTTTTATCAAATGGGTCCTAACTTCCGAGTTCTATGGCATGCTGACGCTAGTTTATTTATTTTAAATTAAATGTAAAGTTAATTTGTGTTTTTTATAATTAAAACTAGATGGAGTATTGTTTTATTTATCTCAGTGAGTGAGACAAATGACAAAGTTGCGTCTCCAATCTCAGTTTAACATGTTGCGGCATTTTATTTTAAAATAATGCAACGGCAATATTTCTTGTTAATTCGTTGACCAAAGTGGAGATTGATATCATCATTCCAAGATCGACTTCTATGGTGTGATACTGTGATTTACTTTTTGATTATTGTAGTCTTTTATAATAAAGATAATTAGAACTCGTTCTTTTATAAGAATAGGAATAAAAAACCCCACCAAGAATAATTCATAGTATATTTTTTGTGTCAGCTAAAAGTCCCCAAGAACTTGTTTCTCACCATATGCGTCAAATTATCTATAGAAAGTCAAATTATCTATAGAAAGTTAGAAACATATCTGCTCTAAAAATATACTCCCTCTGTCCCATAATTATTGTCCAGTTTGAGATTTCATTTTTAGTACGATTTGAGCTAGAAATAAAAATTCAAACTGGATAATAATTATGCGACGGTGGGAGTTCCTAATTTGGTAGAATGAAAGAAGAAGATGTCACTGCCCATAACTCATTTATCAGTTCTTTTGTAAATAGTCACGTTTTAATAACAACCATCAACAAGGTGATCAGCTAGGTAGGATTAACCAAATCTTTTGTGCCAAAAAAAAAAAAGAAAAAAGAAAACCAAATCTTTCAATTTGTTACATTTGTTTTGTAACTAAGTACATGGGTTCGAGAGTAACTCGGGGCTGGGGAGGACTTACTTGAAGTTCCATCTTCAGCTGGGTGTTAAATTATGGACAGAACATGGTTCATCATTTGAGTATAAAATTGTACATGATTCGGAATTTAATTTTGATCTTGCCTCTTTATAAAAATGATGAAGCACACATCCATTATAACATAAGATGATAATGGTGGGCCGGCGATTAACTGGTTTAAAGGTTTGACCAGATTATCAATTAAGCTAAATAATTTCGGGAAAAGCTAGTATCCATTTCTTCACGCGACCAAAAGAAACTCTTTCGCGGCAACTCCATATATAAAGTTTGTAATTTGTAGTATATATGTTTATTAATTGAAGTGAAACTAAATAAATATAGGCCAACATGAAATGGTATAAAAATAAAACAAATGTAGTTGCATACCACTGACGTCATGTTTCCAATGATAATTACTTGTTTTTCAGCTAAGAGTTTGTGATCGAATAGATTTCATACAAGTATGGTGCATTGTCTCAAGGACAACTTTTTCCCTCGCAATGCATTTCGTTTTTCATGTTTTCTTCAAAATACTTTTTTTTTTCTTGACGGCTTCACTCATCACCACCATTAGTTGCTGCTATTGCAATTTGCCATAGCTCTCCAATGCATGCTATCGTCAGCTACCCTGCATCTAGGCACTTTTAGTTCTCAATGACTTGGGGAGGGATTAATCAAGAGAAGTTTAAACTTTATTTTTTGTATGAACAGTCTTTTGGGTATAATTTTGATCCTAATTTTTTACGTTGAAATTCTAAAACATATTGAATCAAACTTGTAAAAAAGGATCGATGGCATTCCACCAAAAAAAAAAGACAAGAAGCACTTGAAATTCTAAAACATATTGAATCAAACTTGTATAAAAGGATCGATGGCATTCCACCAAAAAAAAAAAGACAAGAAGCACATAACGAAAGACCTTCATTTTTATGCACATGCTAGTTGCTATATACTTACAATATTTCCTCAGTGGAGGGAGATAGGGATCACTTCCAAGTGAAAGTCTGAAAGTTCCAGTTTACATGCTCCACTTAGCTACACTGTCTAGTTTACTTAGGCTCCATTTGGACAAGAGTTTTAAAAAAACTTTTAAGGCTAAAAAGTCTGTTTAGAGTTTAAAATGTGTTTGGATAAAATAATTAAAATCTTTTCTAAACAACAATTTGAAAAAAAGAAGGTTTGAAATAGACTTTTTAGAAAATAGATAGAGGGTATTTTTCAATTTTTTAAAACAGTCTTTTTAGCTCCGTTCGCGGGTCATAATCCGGGTCGAAAACAGATTATAAAAAATCGGGTCGTGAATATCATTAACAATACTAAAAAAAAAAAGAGGTGCGTTACACGCGTTGCGCGGTCCCCCTTCCCCTACCCTTCCCTTCTCTTCCTCACTGCTCACTCGGTTGTCGGCCCCACTTTTCTTTTTAATTTTTATTTATTTTCAGCTTTCTCCTATTTTTTCAAATAGTTGTATCTTTTAATATATAAATAATTAGACAACGTGCTATATATCAAATTAATCTATACGACAAGATCTTTCTATTAAGATTAATTATTAGTATTTTTGGAATTAAAAATTTCATTCAAATTTATATATCAAAATCAATATATATATTGTTTAACTATTATGTATATGAAAATGTAAATTATTTTTTTTTACCAAAAAAGTACTTTTGAAAAAGACCTAATTCAAATGATTGTTTCATATTTTTAACCCGTAAAAGGGTTTTGAAAAATTCTTGTCCAAATGCATTATTTTCCAAAAATTACTTTTTCAACTTTTGTTTCAAACAGACTTTTCTGAACAATTTATCAAAACTCTTGTCCAAATGGAGCCTTAATTATTTTAATAATTTTTTCATTCTAAAATGAGTATCTAATTTAGATTTTGTACTAGAAGATAGATTAACTCTAAACATGATTTTTTCACTTAAATTTTGTACTATAAATAAAAATTTAAACTAGCTATTCATTTTTGGACAGAAAAAGTATATATGATCTATCTCAACCTTTTAATAGTCTGTTTTATATGGCAAATAGCATAACAAAATGTATCATTCTCTATGTCTCACGTGATTGTTTAATTTTCATTTCACTTTTTAATAAAATTTAAATTAAAAATAAAAATTCAAATTGAACGATTATTTTGGATGGATGAAGTATTAAAATGGAGCAAAAAAAGTATTAAGCAGAATATCTGAACGAAGACATGAGGAAGGAAATCGAACCCAATTGTTTCTTCGAAGTTGCGCTTACAACGTTTATCAGTTGCAATTGAGTTTTTGACATTTCATCACGCTGTCTATTAGTATTGTGCATGACTTGTGTTGTAATGCGGGTTGTTCAGCCAAAAAAATTTAAAAGAATTACTGTGGACAAAATTTTTTTTTTGGTGGACATAAGTAGTTGTCCCGAATTTGGCAAATCCGAGAGCTTAATTAAACGGCCTTTCGAATTAGTCAAATCCGAAACAACTACATATAATTAAAAATTATAGTTTTTTTTTTCAAAAAATACGGAAAATAGGGTCAAAAGGTGAACAGAAATCTCGGATTTGCGAAATCCGAAGACCTTTAAATATAATATTCAAATAATGCAACAAAAGTGGCAGGCAAATTCAAAAATTGGAACAGCAGTCTCGGATTTGACAAATCCGACTTCTAGGGTTTAGGGTTACCTCTCGGATTTGCCAAATCTGAGGGCATCCTTTCAGTATTGGGGTAATCCGTCCTTGTAAATAAGGTTGTTGGATGTATTAAATCGGATCGGATAAGGTGACGGACATACGGATTTGCCAAATCCGAGAGCCCCACAGAATAGTCACTCTCGGATTTGCCAAATCCAAAACAACGTGATATAAAAAGAAAAAGTTGCAGCTTCCCTTCAGATCGGATTTTTCAATTTTTGAGGGTTAGGGAAGGTTGTGGCCGGAGTTCTTCAGGATTTTGGACGCACATTACCGCTAAATGCAACAAGAATCGTTATTCTAACGAGGTTTGTCATTAAATCAATGTTTTTTTTAGTTGTTTTCTTGTGTATTTATATTGTTTTGATGATGGAAGATTGGTAGGGCTTAGGATTGATGATTATGAATGTAATATGGTAATGTAGATATTGTTGTTGAGTTTATATGTTAGGATTGTTGTTGTTTTAAGAATTGATAGATATTAATTTAATTAATTTGGATGGATTTTGTTTGTATGGATAATTGATAGGTTTTAGGGATAATTTGTATGGATAATTTTATGACAAAGGATTTGTTGTTGTTTTTGTTTTTTTAGGTGAGAATTATTTTTTTGTTAAGATGAGAATTGTTTTTTTTTTAGGTGAGAATTGTTATTTTTTTTAGGTGAGAATTGTTGTTTTTTTAGGCGAGATTACGATTAATATACTTAACGATTTTTTTGTCCCTTAATAAACATTTAAAATGTCCGCGCACGGGCGATACGTACTTAATTTGTTTCATAGAAGCAAGTATGTGATAGAGAATGGTGTAGTGAACACATTTGAGAACAAGCCGAACGACACTCTTGTTATTAATAGTAGGTTATCATATGATGAGTTGGTTGGTTTGATTTGTGTGGCGTTCGGTTGGAATCTTGAAATAGCTAGGAAACTCCACATTTCGTTAATCTTTGTGACTAACGATGTAAGGCACGCCATGAAGATGAAGAATGATTTGCATGTTGGGATCATCTACTACCGCGAGCCAATGACAAGTGTAGATTTATACATAGACACAGAGGATATCACTAATTAAGAAGATGGAAACAATCATTATGGTGGATCTTTCTTTGTACAAAATGATCACATGGATGAGGGTGAACAAGATGGTCCAAGGCAAGAACAAGAGCAAGTACTTCACGGGTTCACGAAGAAGATGGTGGAAGTTTATTTACACAAGATGATCACATGAATGATAATAATTTCGACTACTTAGCTCCAAGCGATAGCTTGGAAGCACGAGATCCTAGTGATGATGATGAAAGTGATGATGAAGAATTAGTGAATGAAGAAATGGAACTAAATCCATTTTCGCAGTGCCATGTGTATAAGAAAATTGGTGAATGGAATGCGTCGTTTGTTTACAAGGATGATCTTCATATAAAAATGTGGGACGAGACTCCCGAAGGGATGGGCATTAAAGTTTGTTTCAAGTCTCAAGGAAAAGCGAAACATGCCGTGAAGTTGTTGAACATCCACCATAAAAGGGAGTTAAAGGTTATCGCGAGTAATCCTAAGACGTGGGCGGTTCGATGTAGGACATTAGATTCCCCTCTCCCCCTCCCCCCAAGATGGCAAACCTATATGCAAATGGAGGATCCGCGTGTCACTAGGAAAGCATGGCTTGCATCATATAGTGAAATGGCGGTCCGCATACAATTGCATGAGGGTGGTTAACGATAATGACAACCGATGTGCGGACTCGGTGTTTATTGCTAGACTAATCATGAGAAAGGTTGCGAACAACGTGGATTACACAGTAAAATCGGTGCAAAAAGATGTGAAGGAGTTGGTAAAAGTTGATGTCCCCTACAAAAAGGCATGGAATGGGAGGAGGAGAGCCATAGAGGCGGTTTATGGCGATTGGTTCTCCAATTTTGAAGATCTTCCCAGGTAAATTTCAATTTTGATATATGTCAATTAATTTGTTTTAGTTTTTACTTGTATTGGCATATATTTAACTCAGGCAAACTTGATGTGTAGGTATATTGAAGCACTTGAGAGTACTAATTCTGAAACTGTAGTGGAATGAGAATGGAAGGAGGGACAAATAGGTTGAAATATGGGAAGAAGGACTTTTAAATACGTGTTTTGGTCATTTGCACCAGTGGCTGCGACTTTCCTTGAATGTCCGCCGGTGATTTCTGTTGATGGAATACACACCTACGGGGGAATATAAGGGTGAGTTGCTAGTTAATGTGGTATATACTGCAAACAAACACATTTTACCGGTTGCATTCGCCGTAGTCGATGAAGAGACCACTGAAAGTTGGGCATTTTTCATGAAACATTTGAGGTATCATATTGTGGGTGACACCAAAGTTAGTGTGATTTCCGACCGGGACGCTGGGCTTTTGCGGGAAATGTCGGGAATACCATAATGGAACAATTTGGGTGATGGAGCCCACGTGTATTGCCTCCGGCACGTTCAGAACAATCTAGTGTCAAAATATGTGAGAATCAAGCGATTATGCCAATAGACGGTTAATTTGGAAAAATTCAAGCGACTGAGGCAAGAGCTCCGCGAATTAAAACCTGAAGCATGGGAGTATCTTCGTGACATAAGGGGGTGTAATTGGACTCGTTTGAAAGCCGGACGTCGTCGTTGGGGAGGCACAACTACCAACATTTCCGAGAGTTACAACAATGCCCTAAAAAGGGATGCGGTTTTTGCCCATTCGAGCTATGATCGATCCTACATTCCACAAAACCGTGAAATTTTACCGAGAACAATTGTTATTGGCGACGAGTCATGATACGCCCATCCCCCCTGAGCTATGGAAAGTCTACGAAGAGAAGAACAACAAAGCCGCCACCTATGATGCTGAACCGTTCGATGGTGACGATGAACATTAGGAGGTGGTAACGTCGACACGGCCGAGTGGGAGGGATGGGACGGTGTATATGGTCACCTATAACGCCAAAAAGTGTTCATACAAAAAATGGCAAGAGTACTGGATGCCGTTGTACGCACACACTTATAGTCACATGTAAAAAAGGTGATCGGCATGTTTCCCTATACCATAAGTGTTGGAGGCACCAAACATGGATCAAACAAATACAATGGTTTTTCATCGGTGTCTGATAAGCGACAATGGTCTATGGTTGATTGACAACTTTATCCTAATTACGAGAAGTTCGTGCAAAATAGCGGTCTGGACTGACACCAAAGAAGGAGATGCAAGATGCAAATGGATTACAGTGCTCGGCGAACAAGTAATGCAAATGGATTACTGGCTCGAGATGCGGAGGAGATCACGATACTAATTCGTGTCCTCACTCGCATCCCCAAGTAGATAGAACACCTATGGTGGACGAATGGGAGCATCAAAGTGATTAGTTTGTTGTTGTATTTTGAATTGTAATCTTTTGGATTGAATTCGTATCTTGTTTGATGTTTGGATTGAACTATTTATGTACTAGTATAATGCATAGTGTGGTGCGTTGAGTGTGGTGGAAATTGTTGGATGTTTACAGGTTTTGAGATTTGATAATACTAAAGTAAACATTTTAACAATTGGGTAACCTTCGGATTTGCCAAATCCAAAATTTACCATTTTCTACAAGAATTGGATTTGGCAAATCCGAGACTGCTTTGCTTCTGTACGTCTCTGAGATTTGGTTAATCCAAGACTGCCCTGCTTTTTTTCGATTGCAAGAAGGCTCGGATTTGTCAAATCCGAAAGCGTCTATTACATAAGCTTTCGGTAATCCGACTCTTCTCATTTTCTGCATGTCTCTCGGATTTGGCAAATCCGATAGTATCCTAAAGGAGAAGTCTCGGATTTGTCAAATCTGAGTGTCGTGGGGTATAAAAAGCGTTGACCTTCTTTCCCCAATTCATTTCCTTCCTCCCCCAATCCCAAAGCCCTAATTCTCCTCCTCCACCACTCCCTCCGCCCCCGTCGGACATCCATCGCCGTTCCCCCATCTCCGCGGGCATTCCCCCATCTCCGCCGCCTCCCCTGTGCCTTCCTCCACCACCGTGCCGGCCACCCCTATGGCCTCCACCACCGGAGCCTCCACCATTGAATCCTCCACGACCGAATCCTCCCTGCCGCCGCGATTCCTCCACCACCGAATCTTCTACTAAGGTAACAACCTAATTTAATTATTATTAATTTTTTTGTAATTGTTGCTCTCTAATTTTTTCCCCAATTAGTGAATTTTTTAGTGAATTGTTTGAGCTATGTTAATTATATGGATCTGTTGTTCGAGCTGTGATTTATGAAATCCAAAAAAAAAAAAATTCTATTTGCTTTTAACCCTTACCACATGGGAGGTTATGCAAAGATGAACTTTAGTTGTGTTTTTTTTTCCCTTTTGATTTAGTTGTGTCTAGGGTAGTTGTTTTGGAATAATATATCAGCAGAAAATATTTATGTAATCCTCAATGCACTTCAATCATGTTTAATTGGTTTTTTTGTTTTTTTGATGGGATTGTTTAAATTATTGGAATTGTTGAATTGTTAATAGTTATAATGGTGTTTGTTGAGTTTAGGATGTAATTGGTTTGTTTATATAGTGTTGTTAAACAAATATAGTCTATTTAGTGTTGTTTAAGTGGTTTTTTTGTTTTTGTTTTTTTTTGTTGTTGTGTAGTCTTTGATGGAGGAATTACCCAGTCCACCACAATATAATGAGTGGTTTCTTCAACCCGGTCCCTTACGAGGGGAACTTTTGTATCTTCAAACCGAACATCAGAGTTTAGCAATCTACATGGCTCTGATTCAACGATCAAAACCGAACTTTTAAAAAATAGTCGGTTTGATTAAAAAATTTGGGAGTGCTACTATAGTGATAAAATCCCTCCACAGGTACAAGCGCTCATGGCAAGCGCCGGGTTCGAGGGGGTATTGAAAATAGGTTGCAAAAAGTGTGATAATTGTCTCATCACTGCATTGGTGGAACGATGGAGACCTGAGACACAAACTTTCCATGTTTCATTCGGTGAGGCAATCGTGACGTTGCAAGATATGAAAGTCCTATTTGGTCTCCCGGTTGATGCGGACATGGTTTGTGGTGTGGTGCCAAACCGTGATGTGGTGCAATGCCAATCAATTTGCCAAGAAATGTTAGGATTCACCCCTGCCGAGGGTCGAAAAAGTGGAAATACTCTTAAGATTTCGCTTGTAGAGGAAGCGGCAAAACGTGCAATCCCTGAAGGTAATATTTAAATTTATTTATATTTTTAATATAATTTGTATTAATTACTTTTTGGCCCAAACAAATATTAAGGTTTGAAGTGTTGTTTTTGTAGGTTCTCCGGAGGTCGTGTATCAACAAAGGGCCCGATTAATGCTCCTGTGGTTTATGGGTTCTTTTATGTTTCCGGACAAAAGCTAAAACAGTGTTGGTTTATATTTATTGAACCATTTGAGGGATTTTAATCATTGTGCAAAACTTAGTTGGCGATCGGTTCTCCTTGCATACTTGTATTCTAGCCTGTGCAAGGCTAGTAATCATGAAAAACGTGATGTAACCGGAAGTGTGTATCTTATACAGGTATTTATATATTCTATATGTGGCAATTCAATTTGGAAAATATTTTTTATATTGTGAAGTATTATTATTTATTGTTATTGTTATTGATTTAGGTTTGGGCATACGAGCGGATCCCGAAGAATCATGCCCCGAGAATCATTATTATGTTTATTGGATAAATAATACCTTTGATTTTTTTGTATTGAAAGGTGGAATTGCTCGTACTCCTACAAAGACGTCCCAAGGTCTAGTCTCTCGGGTTTTAGAGATCAATTGACCGCCTTAAAAGCCACTGATGTAAGCATGAATCACATCTTATTTTATTATTATTATTTTTTCTGCCACCATTCTTATATAAATTAATTCGTTAATTCTCAATTTCTTTTCACAGTTTGTTTGGCAACCGTACGAGGATCTCCTCCCTAGTCTCCCTGATTGTTGTAAACAGGGAAGTACCATTTGGATGGCAAGGACGTGGATGTTCTACTGGGCTATCCGAGAATCCCATGAAATTGACAGGGTCGTGAGACAGTTTGGCTACATTCAAGTTGTTCTACGATGGCCTATGATAAAGAACATCGAAGACAATAATTTTGCTCACTCACACAACATGTGTGGCCTTACTTCGAAAAAGGTGGCTCACCATAATGAAGTACATCCCCATTGGAATAGGAAACACCAAAACATTCCCCAAGATTTGGAGGAAGGATAGCCCGGTCAAGTTAATGAGAATTACAAAGAGTGGTTCAACAAATTTTCGGTGAAATTGATAAGCGATCCGAGCCACTACACATCTGCCAGATATGAGGCTTCCTCGAGCCGGGTGAAAGTCTATGTAAGTGTTAATTTGCAAATAATCTACGTATGGAAGTGTATTTTACTATATTCATATAAATTTTGAATTATACTCCTTTAGTTAACGCGTCATTTGATTTCCAGGGTGAAGTGTTGAACAATGTCCGTATGAGGGTCATATCATTACGAGAAGAACGTCGTAGAGCCCATGACCTAGACGACGAGCTCGAAAAGGTGCTCGACTATTTTGCGGACGTAACCCATACTGCTTTAACTCTCAGAAAGCACGATGAGATGGAAATTGAGGATTCCTAAATCCTTTTGAATTATGAACCGTGTCGCCCCAAACAAGGTCCACGCGGTGAAACAGTGAAGCCGTAGAGACAAAATTGGTGGGGAGAAGAAAGTGAAGGAATCCTTTCAGGCCATCACAGGATCACGCAAAAGGTTCAGGCCAACACGAGCAAAAGAATCTGGGAGGAGGAAATGGGAGGAGACAATGTGAGAAGGGAGGACGATGTTGGTTTTTTTAGAGGATCTTACACCCCACATGAAGAAAAGGTACCTCTCACTATTACTCTCGGAGGAGAATCGCAAGTTCTAAACGTGTAGCCAATTCTTATACAATCCGTCCAGAGCCGCAGGAACAAGGGGCTCGAAAATCCGACAGGCTGCGCAATCCAGCGGTTAAATTTACCCCGCCCACTATTCCTAGGAGAGGGAAAAAATGATTGTTCATTACTCTTTTTTTGGGTTTTTTGAATGATTTTGGATTGTTAGTTGAGAATTTTACATTATTTTGTTATGAAAATGTGATCGTTTTGTTGGTAAATTAGTTTGTTATGAATTGGTTGTTGGTGCTGTTTAAACAGGATAAACCAGTCCTAAAGATACCATTATTTTTTTTTCAAGTTTCTGGTATGTCTCGAATTTGCCAAATCCGAAAGATACCATTTGGAGTTCTTTCGGATTCGACAAATCCGAAAGGTCCCCAGAATCTGCGCAACTTTCGGATTTGCCAAATCCGAGAGTTCCGCAGATTCGGCAGACCTTTCGGATTTGCCAAATCCGAGACCCCTCCTATCTATTTTTACACTTAGATTTTTTTTTTTGAAATTTAAAATAATATTTTATTCGACAAATCGGATTTCGGAAATTCGAAAGACCCTGTCTAGGATTTGGCTTATCCGTTTCTAGTCAAATTTTATTTTTGAACACTTAGATTTTTGTTTGCAAAATATAAATTTTTTTTATTAAAACCATTCGGATTTGCCAAATCTGGAACTTGATTAATTTTAATTAATCATTCAGTTATATTTAATTAATTCAGGTTGGACAGCTTTTAGATTAGCCAAATCCGAGTTATCTTTCTCTCAGATTTGTGAAATTTGAGTCTTTGTTGCACTCGGCAAATCCGGGACATTTATTTTTGTCCATCTTTTTTCTCTTCAAATTATTTTTGTCTAGGTTCTTTCTTTGATAATTTTTTCGGTAAAAAACTCGTTGTAATGCACTATATGAATGAGATTTTTTTTTTTAGAATGTGAATGAGACTAGTAATACCTCATTTCCCACCACTCAGAAATTAATTTATGTATTTTACACGCACGCTTCACCACTATACCATGAGGTTATGTCCACTATTTGTTTTCTGCTCTATTATTTTATCACGATATTTAAGAATAATAACAATGATACAACAAGACAAATTCTTAATCCAGTGAAGTCTATAACTCACATGCAGTGTTTATGTGTTTTTCTTCCTCAACATTCATAGTAAGTTTCATTTATTATTACTTTTTATTATTGAATCATATCACTAAACCCTTTTTTTTTTAATTCACTAAAAAAAAAAATTAAATGGTGGCAGCGTACCAAACTTGATGAGTTGAAAGTTGAAACTCGGATAATGACATTTCACTTGAGTGATAGCCTTTGGCCACTGTGTAATGCACTGAAATACTACTAGTTAATTAATTAAGATGAATCTTCATCGAATGCTTGGATGTTCGTCGCTTATAAATTGCCATGCATTTTCTCCCATTCATCTGCACAGCCAAAACACTTGAATTTCCTCGCTTAGTAATAATTAAGTAGTATTCCTTGAGGATCAAGATGAATATTCCAAGTGCCAAAAAACGTTTCACTTCTTGCTTCTTCTTCTTCTTCCTGTTATTCCTTTCCTCTTTTGTTCATGGTCAACTTGATTACAGGTTTTACGACAATTCCTGTCCCAACTTAACCAGGATTGTTAGATACGTTGTGTGGTCTGCCATCTCCAATGACACTCGAATGGCCGCCTCTCTCCTTCGCCTTCACTTCCACGACTGCTTTGTTGATGTAAATGAAATTCCTCGTACACGCACCTTATTTTTCCGTCCTTAATCCCTTAAAAAAGCTTTCAATTAGCGTGACTGATCAATTTATCACAGTAAATATGACTCATTCTTTCTAGACACCGAAGGAATAGATATATAAGTCACGCACTATAGGAGAACATGCTTGTGAAATATTTTATTTATCTTTTTTACTATAACCCTTGCACAAATTAATTTCACCTTTTTCTTTTTTTTTCAATTGGTGAAAAAAGGGGTGCGAGGGATCGGTGCTACTGGACGATACCAGCACAATGACTGGGGAAAAAACTGCGTTTCCCAATAAAAATTCAGTGAGAGGGTTCGAGGTCATTGATGCAATCAAGGCTAATGTGGAGAAGTACTGCCCCGGCACTGTTTCTTGCACTGATATTCTAGCTCTGGCTGCTAGAGAAGCCGTATACATGGTAACAAATTCACTTATACTCTGTTCCCGTCTCGTGAAAATAATGTGTTTTTTTCTCTATCTAAAGAAAGGGTCTTTTGAACTTTTTATAAGTTCAATTTCAATACATTTGAGGGTGGTTCTATTTTTAGAACCAAGATGTATGAATCGAAGTGAAAAAGTAGTCAACGAACAATATTATTTTGTGTGGTATACCACAAAATTCAAAATAAGTAATACTCTTATTTCAGAATGTAACTAGATAATATCGTGGTTGTTGTATATGGTTTATGACTACATAATTCATTCATAATGTATAATGTTTTCGTAGTGATTATAGTAGACTACTTTATTTAATTTAAGTTACTAATTGGTATTACATGTTTTCCTTAATTAATTATGTGTATATATAGGTAGGAGGTCCGTATTGGCCAGTATACTTGGGCAGGCGAGACGGGTTGACTGCAAAACAAAACTCCGCCAACACGCAGCTTCCTTCACCATTCGAGCCATTACAAAACATCACGGCCAAGTTCACATCCAAAGGACTCGACGTCAAAGACGTCGTGGTCCTTTCCGGCGGGCACACCATCGGCTTCGCACAATGTTTCACCTTCAAACCGAGGCTCTTCAATTTCGACGGAGCTGGAAACCCCGACCCGACACTGGACGCGACGTTCCTAACCAACTTGCGGACCTTGTGCCCGAATCAAGACGGGTCGGACACCAAATTGGCTCCCCTGGATGCCAACTCAATCAACCGGTTCGACAACTTTTATTACAAGAATCTGGTTAACAACACCGGGTTGTTGATGTCGGATCAAGCTCTCATGGGTGACGATACGACGGCGTCCATGGTGTATTACTACAGCAAGCAGCCGTACTTGTTCTACAAGGATTTTTCAGCCTCCATGGTGAAGATGGGGAATATTGGAGTTTTGACCGGAAACGATGGAGAAATTAGGAAGAATTGTAGGGTCAGGAACTCCTACAACTACTAAAAAGGCTAGTTTTTACATTACGTGTGTGTTAACTGTTAATTGTTGCATTGCATGTTGTTCGTGTGTGTGTGTGTGTGAATTAAGCATATCATCGTGGCGTGTCCATTATAGTTATATTATTATTATGTATCGGTAGTTCCTAGTTATCTGCTAGCATAAAAAATAATGCATCATGTAGAATTGGGATCCAAGAATGAATGTTGTTGTATTTTGCGTATTATGTGTATCGGTTGCAGTGATATATCATAATGTGTCAGATCAAGCTGCAATGGAAAGAGTATCAACAAACACTAGTGAGCGTTAGTTATTACACATACTGCGTAATAGACTATTAAATTATACTCTTTTGTCTCAAAATTATTATCACAAACTGCACAATAATTATGGAACGGAGGGAGTATTTCTATTTTTATAAGTAATAGTGCAGAATTCAAATACAAAATATCATGATGGTTGGATGGACAAAAATCAAAAACACCTTTGTTGTTTTGCTATGATAATTGACACGTATTGAAAATCCAGAAGGTGAAATTAAAAGGACCAAAATAATAAAAAATAAAAATAAAAATCACATTACCTGAAAACTAGTGTGAATGAATAGTAGTGGTATAATGATGGTCTTTTTCCTTTTGAGGAAATTTGTCATTGTTGAATAACAAAATACACACAAATGAGTTTGGAGGAGGGGGGTCCAAATTACCAAAAAAAGGAGAACAAGTGAATTAAGGGGGGAGAGCACTATGGACCGTAGGTTTCCTAAATAGATAATAAAAAAAAAAAAATGTAGTACAATGGCACCTCCTCACGTTGAGAAGTGAGACGCAGCAGAGGGGGAGGGGAGACAACTCAGGTGAAAGGTCCACTGGCAAACCTCCTGCACCACCAGCAGCACCAGCACCAGCACCAGCACCACTCTTCTTTCTCTTTATCTGCGACACTGTGCATTTCACGACAAAACTACGGACTACTTGAAAGTGTCTAGTAAATCATAGACCTCACTCCCCTATATCCTCTTTTATATTCTTTCATTTTCTTCCTTGTAGTAAAAAAAGAATTCTACTTTTAGTGGTCAATTTCCTATGAAAACACAAAATCGTGTAAACCCCCCCCCCCAAAAAAAAAAGAAAGATCTTTAACATTGAATTTTAGAGCTTTTATTTATTAAAACTGGAGCTAATATAAAATTTATTTTAACCAAACCGTGGAACAGGACGATATGATCAATGATGTACCAAATCATACCCACTCATGGGATGGGGATAAAGCCCAAACAACACAATTGGAACTTGGAACTCCGGTAACACTAACTTAACCATGGATTCAGTGATAGATAACGGCGCAGAGGTATTTTTTTTTATTCATATATTAGAGGTGAATGTTATATTATTTTGTTACCAATCACTCTAAAATATGATTTTTTGTTGGAGTTTTTTTTTTGGGGGTCACAAAATAATTGCTTACTTTATCATATACTACTACTATTTTTCGAACGGAAGATATACATTATCTATTAAAATGAATGATCATAAAAGCCACCTAGATTTTCAGCAGTGACAACAGGTAAGTAAATTGACACATGAGGGTGGTGAAATACCAAAAGTAAAAATCACAGACACTACCATCAAGGACTACTTTGTCATTCTAGAAATGGCACGTTATTCTCCATCCCAATTTCACGTTACGTATCCATATCCTTACCATTTTATCGCAAAATCATTCATTCATACCTACAGTTATGGTAGTAATGTAGTAAACAATTTGTTCCATACATATATATTATGGTTATGTTATGCTAAAAAATCATTATCAAAGAGACCCGGGGGGGGAGACAAATGTTCAACCAATTTTCCAAACCCATAGGACTAGCTCTGGTTCTATATAGCCCTTATAGGGGGGGCCCATCAGGGGCCTGTCTCGGTGAAGTACAATAGTCCAGGCGTCAATATTGGGTAATGCCTCAATTCCTTCACAATTAGTATATTTTAGCAATTCCGAAGGGCCCCTCCTCCTCCCACAAGCATCTTACTCACCGTCAAAATAACCCACCCCCGGAAAGAATGTCTGTCGCCCATGGCATATTAGTACTAGTATATAAGTAGTAGTAGTAAACTCCTCACTCTCCGTCTCCGTCACCGTCACCGTCACCGTCAGTCACATATAAATTCAGCGGTTTCTTCGCTGCACGATTCTTTCCCTACACCTCAACCGCACCCAATCCGTCTTCCCCTTCCCCTGAACCCCCACGTTCCTGTAACTCTACAACTACCATTAAACATAAAACCCAAACTCTTTCTCTTCTCCTTCCTTCTTCCTCTTCACTCCACAACCACAACAAACACACAGTCGCACAGTAGCCTCTTTTTTAATTTTTTTTTCCTGTTTAGCTATAGAAAAAAAAAATGGGGAGGCCAAGGTGTTTCTTGGACATAAGCATTGGGGGTGAGTTGGAAGGGAGGTTGGTGGTGGAGCTCTACGACGACGTCGTCCCTAAAACCGCCGAGAACTTCCGTGCTCTTTGTACCGGCGAGAAAGGCGTTGGTCCCAATACCGGTGCTCCCCTACATTACAAGGTTCTCTTTTCTTGTTTTATCGCTTTATGATACTACTAGCATGTGTTTGTGTGCCTCTTTTATTTTATTTTTTTTGCTCATTTCTGCAACGTTTTCGTCTTGGGCTCTGTGATAAATTAAAGGCTGTCGTCTTGCATTTTTTGGTTTTCATTACCTTTTCTTTCTTTTATCTCTATTTCGGAAGTTCTTCTTTTTTTTTTTTTTGGATGATAAGGGAAAAAGGATTGAGTTGAAAATGTTTCTATTTAGTTGACTCGGATCATGTTTACTGTTTGATGATGTTGTCGCGCATATTCACATTCTGATTCTGCAACCATTTTACCCAGAAAATATAAAAAAAAATAAAAATTAAAAATAAAAATGGAATCCTGTAGTTGTTGTTGGACAGCCCAAGCATAAAAAGTTGTTACCACCGTACTTGACTTTTTTTTCTCTCTCTTGAATGAAGATTCAATGGTTCAATTTTCTGTACCCAATGTTTACGGCAATTAAATATCTCCTTTGCACCTATCCAGTCCAGTAATGTGTCCTGCTTTTTCCTGTTTTGTCCATTGTAGCTGTAGTAATGATTCCATTGTTTGGATTGAATATACCCTTGTTACCATTTCTCCTAAGGTGTCTGCACTTTTTTTGGTTTGAAGAAATTTACAGTTACCGTTACTGTTTATAGTATTACCAGGTGGTTGGAGGTAGAAAAACTAGGTAGATACAGTGATAGCAAGACATTCGCGACTTGAGGATTTTGTTTGTTTAATCCATTGATTGCCATGTGAAGACATTTATAGCTGACTGTCCCATTCCTAATTTTTCACATTCCTGCTGCAGCATGTTATCCCTGTTTTCTCATTCCAATGCTACTTTTTTCGGTCTTTTCTCTTAAAAAAAATTACACCTTTGTAAATGATTGATAGTTATATTTAAAATTTGCATGCAGGGCTCTTGTTTCCATCGTGTTATCAGAGGTTTATTGGTACAAGGTGGTGATAATTCTGCTGGAGACGGAACCGGTGGAGAATCTATCTACGGTTTGAAATTTGAAGATGAAAATTTTGATCTCAAACACGAGAGGAAAGGAATGCTATCAATGGCTAACACTGGCCCCAATACCAACGGCTCTCAGTTTTTCATCACTACAACTCAATCCTCTCAAATGGATGGAAAACATGTTGTATTTGGTAGGGTAATCAAAGGATTGCAGGTGATTCGATCAATTGAACATGTCAAGACGAGCGAAAATGAATGTCCAACCGTCGATGTTCTAATTGCTGATTGTGGGGAAATACCTGAAGGGGCAGATGATGGAACATCCAACTTCTTTAAAGACGGTGATATTTTCCCTGATTTGCCAGCTGAGCTTGATACTAAACCCGATGATCTTTCCTGGTGGATGAATGCTGTTGACTCGATCAAAGCTTTTGGGAATGAAAGATATAAGGTAGTTATCTGATAAATTGACGGTTCTTTGTACCATCCTTGTATAAGCACCAGCACTCTGCTCTTTCAACATTTACTTGGCTGATAGCTCTTCATGTCTCATTAAAAGCATGAGGAATGCAGTACTTCTATACTCTATTTACTTTTTTCTTTTTTTTTTCCTGGATTTATCGATGTGCTGTTCTAGATATCGTAATTGATATGAATTAAGGCCCCTGCTGTTGCTCGTCTGCTCAAGATTTTTGTTTATCTGTATCTTGATGGCTCTAACTGATTTTGTGCAGAATTCTGACTACAAGATGGCAATGAGAAAGTATTGCAAGGCTCTCCGTTACATGGATAAGTGCTGGGAAATGGAGGAACTGGATATAGGTGAACAAGTTTATCGACTGCAATATATATGGTTAAAGGAAATATTGTTAACAGAAATGACATTCTGTTATGACATTCTAACTGTGTTGATGGTTATGACATTCTAACTGTGTTTATTGTATTGGACAGTGAGGAGTGACTCATTGAGGAAGATTAAGTCTCAGATATTTACAAATTGTTCGGTAAGTTTCTATACGGCATTCAGAAGTGTTCATGAGAATGCCTCTTTCGAAAGTTGTTTTCCTGTTTCCTGTTGTTTTCTATCTTTGGAAAATATCTCAAGTGAATTTAAGCATCTTATTTTTCTTTCCGTCTTGCCAATTTTGTGCTTTTCTCCACCAGGCCTGTAAACTGAAGTTAGGAGATCTCAAAGGAGCATTACTAGATGCAGAATCTGCTATTAGAGACGTTGAAGACAATGTTAAAGCTTTCTATCGTCAAGGCCAGGTTGACATTTCAGTTTCATTGACAAAAGTGCAGTCTAATTCTATTTTATATTCTTCATATGGATTTCTTGTTTGGTTTCGAAATATGTTGCTTCAGTTTCTCTTACTCCAGTATAAATTACAATCCTGGTTTGATTGCCACTTGTTGCTTATCATTGGTTAAGAATATAACCCCCACACCTCTCTCTCTGTGGTTTTACAAACTTCAATTTGGTAGATACTTGTAGTAACTCATTTGTGATTTTGATCATTTTATTCTTATTATTTTAAATCTTCCTTTGTAATCTTCCCCATGTTTAGCAAAACAGATTTGCAAATTGAACAAGTTTCAAATTTTCGCCTGTTATCTTTTTCTTCATCTCAAAGGTCCTCTTCGTTCATCTGACTCGATTTGGTGCTAATGGCTTAGGCTGTCAATATATTTGCGATTATAAGCTATATATAAATAAGTCGTTTATCTGTTTTATGTTTCTGTAGCTCTACTTTTTACATCGCTTAACTCTTTACAAAGTATCTGCTTGACCTTCTTTTAGAAATCTTTTATATCTCCTGCTGTAACTTTTCAGGCATACATGGCACTCAATGAGATCGATAATGCAGTTGAAAGTTTCAAGAACGCATTGGATTTGGAGCCCAATGATGGTGAATATTATACTTCTCATTAGTAATGAGCATGGATAATACCTATTACCATTAATATGGAGGAAATAAAGAATTACTTTTGGTATTTTACGATGCAGGTGGTATAAAGAAGGAGCTTGCTGCTGCGAGGAAAAAGGTAGAACTTTTAACCTTTCTACCATCAGTTTCACAAACATATAAGGCTCTCTTTTTCGTATCAAACTACGTGAGTATGAAAATAGAGACAGTCTGGAGAGCTTACTAATTGTTACTCACATTTGCAGCTAGCTGATAGACGAAACAAGGAGAAAAAGGCGTATTCAAGAATGTTCCTTTGAGTCAGAGCACGTGGGTAAGTCAAAAGAATTTCATTAGTTTCATTTTATCTATGAAAGGCTGAGCATTTTGTTTATGATGTCAATTACAGTCTTATAAGTCTATTTGCAACAAGTCTTTGGTTATCTTGTCCGTGCGATGAATTAAATGTACTTAACCAGATTCTCATCATGATATGAATTTTAGCATAAAAGTTTACCTTCTGCTGTAATCCGTCAGAAATAAATTGTTTCGTGATCTCTTCTGTCTCATCCCTGCATGTAAATAATTATTTATAAGTGACTAGTTTTTCACAAAACAGTTGTAACAGTAATTTGTCTTCCATGATACTGTGCAGGCACCTTTCTCCGGATTGCAGATAACTTTTGCTAGTCTAAAATGATATTCAAACATCAAATAGAAAACTGTTTGTATAGAATTGAATTTGAATCAATTTCATGGGCATGTGGACTTGTAAGCAGATCCATACATGTGGAATTATTAGAAGAAGTTTTTGATCTTCTGTACAATTATAATCCTTATCCTGGTAAAGCATGATGGGTTTTTCCTCTTGGAGAGCCTTTTGTTTTTGCGTCTTGTTTTCTTGGACTGTTGCTTTGAGTTTCTTTGGGCGGGGTTGGAGTTTGAGGTGGCCTTATTTTCCTGAAGACCAATCTGTGCATCTGTAGGATGTGATCTGACCTTGACATATGGATGTGACTTTTCTACTTTTGGTGGAATACGATCTTCTACCCCATCAGCTTCGTCTTCCCTTTTCCTTGACCCACTCAGAGAATGCATGTTCTGCAGTCTTTTGGCAGCAGATTCTTTACTTTCTTTGGCAGCCTGTTTTTGTTCCAAGGATACTGAAATCCTCCATTCTGCCATTGAAGTTTCTTGTCTAGCTTTTTTTGTTAACTCATGGTACTCTTCTTGAGTAAGCTTGACTACCTTGTCATCCATCTCTGAGTGGTGGATGTAACGATTTGCTTCAGCAGTTGAGGTTCCATAAGCTTCTGATTCCAAACGAACTGCTCTCAGCGTGTGTTGCAAAGTCCTAAGAGTCTGCCTCCTGAGCCGAAGGACTTTCTTAAGTTTCAATCTAGCGCGATGCTTTTCATCTCTTTCGATTTTGATTAGCTCCATCTCTGCCTGCGTCCTTTGTAAAATCTGATTTATCTTGTTGATCATTGTTCGAATCTTTAGTTCTTCATCTTTCTTATCCCTGATAGCGGCATCCAAAGTTTCTAGCTGAGCCTCAAGCTCCGGAATAGCAGTATTTGACAAGGCTGTACGGCTCTTTGCATCTGCAAGTTCTGATCGTAGCTTTTCAAGGTCATCAATGACGGGTTTTGAATCTAACCATGATTGCACCGCCTCATCTTTAGCTTTGGTGAGTTTCCCCTTGAGCTTGGCGAGTTCCACCATTCTGTCACTCAATAAGGTTTCTGGAGTTTCTTCTGGTCCGGTCCGTGTCTTCTGTTCTCCAGGCTCCTCATCTAATTCACCATAGCTGTCCATTTCTGCTTTTCACCCGATGGAGTTTGTTCTCTCCCCTACTTTCAGCAGCTAAATGTTTGTTATTTATTTGCCTGTCCCATAAATCCACATAAGTTTCCTAGGTATTTGGCTCTTTCCTTATCAGCACTTTTGGACTTTGAGAATGTCACTAAGGGTTTTTTTCTAATATTTATTGGATTCTTCTGCTCGCCTTATTCTAAATGCTGATGTGACATCCAAATACTTGAATTATAGATCCTTTTCTACTTTATTCGGCAATCGGCATGGCTGAATCTTTCAACTTTGTATGTTATTTCTTGTCTTAATTTCCCAAAAGTATCATCAGCGTATGCTCTCCCGTCCTGGGTCTTTAGGCCGGCTGGCTATTCTTGTCACAGAGGATTGTTGATTAGATTAGGAAAATGTTAGACGTTAAGGTGAAAATCATTTTCTACGTCTCTTCATCTTCACGTATCAACGGTGTGCTGTCCTGTAGGTGGGTTTAAACTTTTATGCAATCGGCCTCTCAAAATGGGGGGATTTTCAGAGGTTTAGCATAGTCTGGACTAGGTTGTGGCTTAGGCCAGATGTGAGTTACTGAACTAACAAAACAAGTAAACAAGATGTTTTGTCTGACTACCTGTTAACGTTAAATTTGTCTTAAAAAAATTAGTAGTAGTGTTATGCATATTTTGGTTAATATATTCTCGTATTCAGCACGTTGAAACAAACATAAAACGAGGTAATCTGATGATGTTTCATTAGCTGGATTGCCGAAGCTTCCGCTCATCTGAAAGCAGCTTGGCAAACTGAGTAAGCGCTTGTTCATTGGTACCTTCTCCTGGAACTACCTCATATTTTCCTGTCTCCAAATTCACTCTCGAAACCGGCTTCTTCAGCAGATCGTTACCGACTTTGGCGAGTGCTTGCAGATTACTTGTGGTTGCCATATCCATGGATGATGTATCCCCCGTCAACGAATCATCCTGTGAGTCGTAATAACATTCATTAATAGTTTGATGCAAATCTGAAGGAACACCAAAAAAGGCCTGATGGGATACCTGAATTCGTAGGTAGTTTTGGTCACAATGAAGTGATTGAAAGAGGGTGGAGACATGAATATCCACCATGTCAGAGCTTGCACTGCTGTAAGCATCCAGGATTGGAGTGTTACCATTGTTATATACCCAACCAAGAGAACCCCATCTAGAGGCCTCTGCAGCGCTGTATTTTTCAGCGTATTTCGCAGTTCCAGTGCCCAATGACAAAACTAACATCTTACTGCTTTCCATCGGCCTCATATCCACAGGTTGAAACTCACCCGCCAGGATTCTTTTGTTTATGTGGGTTATGGCTATCAGAGTCTTTGCAAAAAATGAAAAACACAATTAACATGGAAGAGTAAAAAAGGGTTGATAAAAACTCTGGTTCTAACTGAGAAATTTTGTTGCTCATGTGTTTCGTTTTACTCACTGGATTGTTAGCGGCGATTCCTCCGTCGATGAGGTTGAAAGCCCGAGTGTTGCCTTGTGCGTCTTTGGTCTGGAAGTAATGTGGTGGAAAATAGGTTGGAGCTGCTGTTGTCCCCAGGCATACATCCGACAACAGAGCATTCTTTGTGGCATTAGCTTTCGCCTGTTAAAAAACAGTTTCAGGAAGTTTAAAAAAAAAAAAAACGTCGAAATCAGCAACGACAAGATTGTGGACCAACGATTTTAATTCGTTAGTGAGTTACATACATCATTGGTGGAGAAGAAAATGGGTTGAAGGCTCTTGATGTCAAAAGTTGGTATGACCACATTGGTTAAGGTCTGACTCATGGTTCGATTTCTCAGAGCCGACCTTATTATTGATTTCATGTACCTTCCGTCGTACTTTGGCCCGCCAAACAAATTCGTGACTGACTTTACGATGTTGTTCCGGCTAGATTTCATTCAAACAACATCAAACGATCCATCATCAAAAAATTTGGAAAGAAAATGCGAGAAAGAAAAATGCCACATTTTGTTAGTTTGTGGTTGTTGTACCTGCTCTCAGGAAAGATGAGGGGAGAATTTTTCAAATAGAAGTTGGGAATATCTTTGGCAGCATATAAAGGGCGGTTGTCCTGATTTGGAGCTGTCAACATGATGGTTACGATCCCTCCTGTGCTCGTTCCTGCAACTACATCAAAATAATCTGCAATTCTTGCATTTGGTCCATCAAGCTCCTATACCATTTTACCAATTCAAAACCAACCACCTAAGGTTTATAAGTATTATGATTCTGATCTTAATTTTGATAGTATTATACAGATAATAGTAATGGAGCAATTGATGCTTAATTACCTGAAGCTTGGATTCCAGGAAAGCCAGAATGGTGCTCGGAATGATACCTCTGATCCCACCTCCGTCAATGCTCAAAACAGTCGCAACTCTGCCTTTTGTCAAAGCTTCGGTTACCGGAGGATGTAAGAGATAGAAGATGGATAATAGTGAAAATGCTCGCAAAAACTGGTTCATCCTCATGGTGATTTTGCATCAATTTCCAAAAGGGTCTACATCGAAACAGGAGTTTTTGAATTTATCCTCCAGATTGAATGCACAGAAGAAAATGATGCTAGCGAATGGTGCAGATTGTTTTCCGTAAACGAAAGCTATAATTTTGCTTACTTTTCCTCTCATCTTAATGCTGGTTGTCATTGTTGGGGAGTATACTTTACCATCGTCTAGATTTAAGCCCTTATGATGGAAGATCCTATAGTTTTGCCTGTTACGTAAAAGTCGCAATATTGAAAGTCCTGTCTCCCCTGCTTTTATGGATTTGGTAAGAAAACTTTTCTTTATGAGAAAAGTAACTCAAGCTCTTTATTTCATAATGCAATAAATATATCCACGGTTACTAGTTTGGTTAGGCATCACCAAAATCCCTTATTTATGGACTTTATGGTACACCGATGTGACACAATTAATACGCAATCGCACATAATATATAATTTGAAATAAAATGAAATAAACCGTACATTGAGGTGCTAAAAGTATGCGCCTCATGATTTATTGCACATACATCACAAGGGTCATTCAAGATCTAGCATGATGTTGGTCCCTCACAATTCAGAGAAAAACATTACTAGGAGCTGTCAATAGGAGACAACCTGAATTTCCTCTCCTCTGAAAGTCTCATGGCAAATCTGGTCAGAGCTTCTTCATTTGTGCCCTCACCTTGAGTTGGCTCAAATTTTCCATCATCCAATTTCACCCTCGAAACCGGTTTCTTCAGCCGACTCCTCCCGATTTCCGCCAGCGTATGCAGATTCCTCGAAGTCGCCACGTCCATAGACGCTGCATCCCCAGTTAACTCATCTTCCTATCAATATATGTATTGATCAGACCTATCCCGTTACAATATGATATTTAAAGACACAACTATTATACATCTACTACCTGAATTCGGAGGTAATTTTCCTGCATTCGGAGCGCTTGGAAGAGTGTGGAAACATGAATATCCACCATATCTGAACTAGCATCAGCGAAGATATCCAAAATCGGAGTGTCGCCATTTTGGAGTATCCAACCAAGCTGACCCCATTTACGGGCCTTAGCGACGGTGTATTTTTCCTCATGTTTGGGAATTCCGGTGCCAAGTGACAACACTAGCATTCTACTGCCTTCCATTGGATTCAGATCCACCATTTGAAACTCCCCATCGTAGATGTGTCTTGTAATGTCCGTCATAGCCATTAAAGTCTGCCAGCAAATGCTTAAGCTTTAAGAAGTCATAAACTAGTACTCTCTCTGTACCATTTTGATATTGATAAATTGGACTAATTAAAATAGGCAACAACAACACATAGCTAATACCATAATCACTGCTCTAACTATAGGTAGGAAGTAAAAGAAAATGTTTCTTCTATGTGTCTAATTATTTCAACTCACGGGATTATTAGCCGCGACTCCACCATCAACCATATCATAAGTGTAGGGCTTTCCTTCTGCAGTCTTGGTCTCGAAATAGTGTGGTGGAAGATAAGTTGGAGCTGCAGAAGTACTGAGGCACACATCTGACAGCAGAACATTTTTGCACACATTCATTTTGGCCTGTTTGTATTGCAACATTCATTTGAGATTTTTTGAATCAGATGTTTGATTTACTCAAAATGTAGTTCTCAATTGAATTTAAGAAATGCTAAACGAGCATATATACATCTGTGGTAGAGAAAATAACAGGTTGAAGATGCCTGATATCGAAGGCCGGGATGACTAGATTTGTTAATGTCTGAGATATAGTCAGATTGCCCAACAATTTGCTTATCACTTCTCTCAAATGCTTCCCGTCGTACTTCGGCCCTCCAAAAACGTTGTAAGTCAACGATTTCAAAATGTTGTCCCGACTGCAATATTCAAACTTGAAGACTCATTTAGTATAGTAGCCAGAATTTCTATAATAAGAGCTTTTATAAGTTAGTCCCCTGCATATTGAGATGTTTCATTAGTTTGAATATACCTGCTCTTAGGAAATATCAGGGAACAATTATCCAAGTAGAATTTCACGATGTCTTTCGCCTCGAAAAGTGGCCGGTTTTCCCCATTCGGGGCAGCGAGCATTGTGGCTATTAGCCCACCGGTGCTAGTCCCGGCGATGACATCAAAATAATCCGCAATTCTTGCATCTGGTCCATCCAATTCCTACCAAAACGACAGATACTATATGTTACTCTGAATTTTACCTTCAATCAAAAGCACAAAGGAAGTTTAATTATAAGTCCTGACAACGCATTATCGGACAGCAACATATTTACCTGAAGTTTGGCTTCGAGAAAAGCGAGTATTTGTGCGGGAATGATGCCTCTGATTCCCCCTCCATCTATGCTGAGTACAGTTGCAAACTTTCCTTTCTTTTTCGCTGGCGTGCTCATGGTGTGTAGTGTTAGGTTTAATAACCCAATAATACAGTTCGGTTGCAGAAGGTTTTGTGGTGGTTTCTATTTAAAGTTGTCGGTAACGCTGAGGTTGGCATTCATCTTCTATCCAAAAAATGCACGATTAAAATGCGATTGGATAATTTCGATGATTGAATGCCCCTTGAAACTGACAGAATGATAGTAGCTCTACAATTATTTCTCTTGTTGCGCACATCAAAAATTGAAAATGGTCCATTTATATAATGACAAGCTTACAAAATCTCAACCCTGATCCAAGGATTGATCGTACGTAGGTACTAGGAGAAACAATCATAAACGTGAAATGCGTGTTGCGAAAAAGAAATTTCAAGGGAGCTGATTCGAGGATAAGAAATTTCATTCCACATTATGGCTAAACATAGTTTGGTACATGAAAGTGGTGTCTCCAAAACTGTCCTTTCCCCGGCCATGTTCCAATAAGTGCTACTGTTCTCAAATCACGTTTTAAATTTTAATATTATTTCTGTCCCACCAATTTGTCCATATTGTGAATTATTGTTTAATTTAATTTATAAATTTACCGTGCGAGTTATTTCTATTTTTAATCGGACTACTGGTTATTTAGTGGGAAATTGGAAGAATAAATTTCCACCAAAACAAGGAAGAAAGAAAAAGAAAAAATTGGTTGATCTACCCAAAATTTAAATGCGTTGTAAATTTTACCCTATTTTTTTTCGGTTAGCCAATATTACACTAAGCTATCAAAACATTAGCCGATTGTGTCCAATTTACCGAAATTCCATTAAACTAACGAAATTATGTTAGTTTTAATTAAAAAAATACCCTAATAGTTCTAAAAATTATTAAAGTGGCCCTAAAAATTTATAAAAATAACAAAATAGTCTCTTTTTATTTTTTATTTAATTTTTTTTTGTTTTCTATTTTTTTATTATTTTCCCTAACTATAAAAATATACGATATGATCTTTTAAAGAAAATATTTATTTTTAAACTCTACTGTAAAAATTTAGTTACTTATTCGTAACTCATTGTTGATTTACTTAAATATACTAATTTTTTAATAATATGGTTATTTTAAGAAATAGAAAATAGAAAAATTAAATAAAAAGTGAAAAGGAGACTATTTTATTATTTTACAAATTTTTTGGGTCATTTTTATAAAGTTTGAAACTATTAAGGTTTTTTTAATTAAAACTAACATAATTCCATCAGTTTTAACGGAATTTTGGCAAATTGAACACAATTGGCTAACGTTTTGATAACTTAAGGTAATATTGGCTAATAAAAAAAGAATAAGATAAAATTGACAATACATATGAAACTTTAGGTAAATCGGCCAATTTTTTGAAAGAAAAACGTTTGCCAAGGTGAAGGACAGAACCAGACCCCATCCTATGAAGGGATAATTGCGGATATTAGAGACATAATGGACAAAAATTGGACTGTTCAGCTCTGGCATGAATTCTAGGAAGCTAACTTTGTGACAGATATTATGGCAGCAGCCAGCAGCGGCACCGTCAGATTGACGGGGATTCAACAATATAGTGAAACACCGTCCTTTGTGAAGAATTTGCTTAATGCCTTAATCAGAGTGTCGTATATCCGAGGAATGTAATTATTAACTAGGCTATGCCTACCTTGCTTACGAAAGAAAACATATGCCAAGCACACATTAGAGAGTGAATATTGTTAGGATTACGAATATAATAATAAATGGGTCCAAAAAGTACGTGTTCTCAAATCAGAATTAAAATATGAAAAATAATATGTACAGTGAAAAAAAAATAGTGACTAACGTGGAGTGTTATTACCCTTTATTTTTTTGCCACTTTCTTATTAAAATTTTATTTATCTCATAAAATTTTATTTTTACCTTTTATTAATAAGTATACATGTTTATGAGACTAATGGGTTTGTCTTTTTATAAGTCAATATCTCAATTCATTATGAATTGTCAGTGTCTCTCATTGCTGTTAAAATCTACTCCTACATTAATGCACTAATGTAGTATGAATATTTTTATTTTATACACTGGAACATCTGCTTTTTTATTGGAGCTAGCTAGGCAGTTACAAAATAAACCAGTAAAAACTAAAAAGAATAATTTCGGACTGAAAATAGCATGCAGAGTGTAAATCACTGGAAATATTAATGTAAAAAAAAATTTCTCAGTTGGCCAGCCGGAACTTCCTTTCATCGGAAAGGATCTTTGCAATTTGAGTAATAGCTTCTGCATTAGTACCCTCTCCTGGAACTACCTCAGATTTTGCCGTCTCCAAATTCACCCTCGACACCGGCTTGTTCAATTGATCGTTTCCCATTTGGACCAATGTTTGCTTTCCAAAAAAAAAAAAAAAAAAAAACACCAATGTTTGCATAAACACTGTAGTTTGCTATTTCAAGAGAGCAGCATCCCCAGTCAATGTATCATCCTGTCACATTGAAAAATTAATGAGGAAAAAAAATATTAACCTCAAAATTCATATGATTTTGACACAATAATATTTGTAATATGTTTGCTTATGAGTGGTCAATACAAGGATAATCAACGTGCCATAACGTAATTATTGATACACAATCGCACATAATATACAATTTAAAATGAAACAAACAGTACATTGAGGTGCTAAAGCATGCACCTCGTAATTTATTGCACATAGATCACAAGGGTCAGTCATGGTCTAACAAGACATTGGTCCCTCACAATCCAATGAAAATTTCTTCCTTGGACATTCCCACATGCACAAATATTCATCTGGAGAAACATTACTAGGAGCTCTCAATAGGAGACAACCTGAATTTCCTCTCCTCTGAAAGTCTCATGGCAAATTTGGTCAGAGCTTCTTCATTTGTTCCCTCACCTTGAGTAGGCTCGTATCTTCCATTATCCAAATTCACCCTCGACACCGGTTTCTTCAACCTACTCTTCCCGATTTCAACCAGCGTATCCAGATTCTTCGAAGTCGCCACGTCCAATGACGCAGCTTCCCCAGCCAACTCATCTTCCTATCAACAACATATATATTTATGTTCAGACCAAGCTAGTTAATGATATTTAAAGACACTAAGCATTATTATTATTATTATGGGACACAACGGAGTACATATACTACCTGAATCCGGAGGTAATTATCCTGCCTTCGGAGGGCTTGGAAGAGTGTGGAAACATGAACATCCACCATATCTGAACTAGCATCAGAAAAGATATCCAGAATCGGAGTGGCACCATTGTTTAGTATCCAACCAAGCTGACCCCATTTGGAGGCCTTAGCGACGGTGTATCTTTCCTCGTGTTTGGGAATTCCCGTGCCCAGTGACAACACTAGCATTCGACTGCCTTCCATGGGATTCAGATCCACCGCTTGAAACTCGCCATCATAAATGTGTCTTGTAATGTTAGTTATAGCCATTAAGCTCTGCGACCAAAGATTCACATGTAACACCAATACCTTGAACTTTAAGAAGTCATGAAAAAGTAGTACTCTTTCCGTCCCATTTGAGGATACGATAAATTGGACTTGTAAAATAAAGGCGAGGAGTATAAAAATTCGTAACTAATTAACTACTCTAACCAGGTAGAAGTAAAACAAGATTTTTTTTTTTATCAAATAAAAAAAAAAGTGTTTATGTGACTAATTAACTACTCTTTCCATTCCGAAATTATTGTTTAGTTTGCATTTTCATTTTTAATTCAATTTATACAAAAAGTAAAATTTCAGGTTGGACAATAATTTTGGGACAGAGGAACTATTTCACTCACGGGATTATTAGCCGCGACTCCACCATCAACCATATCATAAGTGTAGGGCTTCCCTTCTGCAGTCTTGGTCTCGAAATAGTGTGGTGGGAGATAAGTTGGAGCTGCAGAAGTACTGAGGCACACATCTGACAACAGAGCATTCTTGTATGCATTCAATTTGGCCTGTTTGTATTGCAACATTTCATTTGATCTGGAATTAAATTAATGTTTGATTACCCAAAATGGTGTTTCTAAAGAAATAAGAGAGATTAACATACATCTGTGGTAGAGAAAACAACAGGTTGAAGATGCCGGATATCGAATGCCGGAATGACTAGATTTGTTAATGTCTGAGATATAGTCAGATTGCCCAACAATTGCCTTATCACTGCTCTCAAATGCTTCCCGTCGTATTTCGGCCCTCCAAAAACATTGTAAGTGAAGGATTTCAAAATGTTGTCCCGACTGCAAATATGTCAAACTTCAAAACTCATTTAGTATAATTCATCAAATTAAGAAGTTCCCAGAATTGCTATAATAAGCTTTTATGAGTTATTAGTCCCCTGTATTGACGTGTTTCATTATTTTGGATGTACCTGTTCTTCGGAAATATCAGGGAACTGTTATCCAAGTAGAATTTCACGATGTCTTTCGCCTCGAAAAGTGGCCGGTTTTCGGCATTCGGGGCAGCAAGCATTGTGGCTATTAGCCCACCGGTGCTAGTTCCGGCGATGACATCAAAATAATCCGCAATCCTTGCATCTGGTCCGTCCAATTCCTACCAAAAACAGCAGATACAATAATTACGCTGAATTTGACGTACATTCAAAAGCCTCAATGAAGTTTAAATAAAGTTCAACAACGTTTACCCGAAGTTTGGCTTCGAGAAAAGCGAGTATTTGTGCGGGAATGATGCCCCTGATTCCACCTCCATCTATGCTGAGTACAGTGGCAAACTTCCCTTTCTTTTTCACTGGCGTGCTCATGGTGTAGTGTTAGGTTTAATAACCCAATGATAATACAGTTCCGGTTGCATAAGGTTTTGTGGTTGTTTCTATTTAATGTGGTCGGTAACGTTGAGACTTGAGAGGTTGTGGTTCATCTTTTTTTTTTTCAGAAAAATACACCATTAAAATGAAATTGGATAATTTGTATGATTGAATACCCCTTGGAATTGACTATTCCTCTCTGCTCCAAAAAGATAATTATAACAACTTGACAGTAGATAGAGTATTAGTTGTCTAGTTGCCCACATCGAACTTGAAAATGGTCCACATGTATAATGACAAATTTACAAAATCCCAACTGTGTTCTAAGAACTGGTGGTACGTACAGGAGGATCAAAACATTATAACAAACATCATCGTGATATTCATGTTGTTAATTGTGGTGTTCTTTTCTTTCTTTTTTTTGGCATTAGTACTATGGAACAATTTCCAGTAACTTCATGAAATATGGTATAAAAAAAAATAAATAAAATGAACAGAACAAATTTTGTGATTAAAGCTCTAACCACAATAAAACATACTCCCTTAATTGTTACAAAGAAGAAGGCAAAATCCTAATTGTTACAATGGATGTTTCGGGTATAAGAAATTTCATTTGCATGATGGCTAAGCGGAAGTTTGATATCGTAGAATGTCAGAAAATTAATAACTTATAGCAATTAATGAATTTTTCCGGTCTTAACTTAGAATCATTACAAAAAGTGAAAAAAAAATTTTTTTGATAAAATGACAAGATAATAATGTTTCAGCAAATTTTCTATAACTATAAATACAATATTTAATAAAATATGAATTATTGATGTTTGTTTTTTCTCTTTGGAGATGATATGAACTATGAGTTTTTATTATTTAGAAGAGTTTTAATATTTTGATTGATTCGGATGAAAAGACAATTTACAAATAAAAAGATCTAGTGACGGTTTATTTTTTTTATAGAAATTCTGTATAATATTATCGATTATTTCATAATTTTCTAAATTAATAAATTTTGGTGATATCAACACAATTAATTTATAGAAATTCCACCGTACATGAAAGTTGTGTCTCCAAAAATGTCATCCCCCCAACTATGTTCCACTAAGTGCTTCTGTTATTAAATCATATTTTAAATTTCAATATCACTTACTTTGTGAAGTACTCCCTCCATTCCAAAATATATGTCGTTGGAGGGAAACCAATTTTTTTCAAAATAGATGTCGTTTTCGTAGATCTAGGCATATTTTGTCAATTTCTTCCAACATTGCCCCTACATGTGAAATTGTAATTGTATTTAAAATATCAGTGTATTAGTACTAAATGATATTAGAAATAGAATTGTATTTTGATTAAATAAAGATAATTTAGTATTTTAACTAAATATTTATTGTCTTTTTAAATTTTATGAAACTCCTCCAGCGACATATATTTTAGAATGGATGGAGTATTATTTAACTTGACTTATAGTGTATAATATCGATTATTTTTGTAGGATAAAGAAAAATACTATTATAGGACAACCACATATTTAGTGGGAAAAAAATGGAAGAATTAATTTCCACCAAAACAAGGAAGACGAAAAAAAGCATATACTACTTCCGTCCTAGAAAAAATAGTCCACATTGAGTTTTCAAATTTGTACTAAAAATAGTACAAAACTTAAAAATTTAATGTGGATTATTTTTGTGGGACAAGAGTATATGCCAAGCACATTAGAGAGTGAAACAACGTTTCTAGTTGGGATTTGTAACTATAATAATGATTGGATCCCCAAAAGTGTATAAAGGTGTTCAAAAATCTGAATTAAAATAAACTCCTACAATGTACTAATGTATTATGAATATTTTTACATTGTACACTGGAACATCTGCTTATTGATTGGAGCTAGCTAGGCACTTACAAAATAAACCAGTAAAAAGAATAATTTCGGATCTCATCATAACAAGCAAAGTGTAAATTACTACAAGATAATGTGTTAAAAAAAAATTTCTCAGTTGGCCAGCCGGAACTTCCTTTCATCGGAAAGGATCTTTGCAATTTGAGTAATAGCTTCCGCATTAGTACCCTCTCCTGGAACTACCTCAGATTTTCCCGTCTCCAAATTCACCCTCGACACCGGCTTGTTCAATAGATCGTTTCCGATTTGGACCAACGTTTGCATATTCACTGAAGTTGCGACATCAAGAGAGGCAGCATCCCCGGCCAACGAATCATCCTGTCACATTAAAATCAATGAGAAAAAAAAATGAAATTAGATTGAAAATTCATATCATATTGACACAATAACGTAGCATATGTATTGTTTGCTAATGAGTGGTCAGAATACGATAATAATAGACGTTTCATGATATAAAACAATAGACAACGTATCATCAAATTGTTATTAATATCATTATACGATAAAGAATATATACCTGAATCCGAAGGTAATTTTTGTCGCTGTGAAGTGATTGGAAGAGGGTGGAAACGTGAATATCCACCATATCATAGCTTGCGTAGCTGAACATATCAATCAACGGAGTGGCACCATTGTTGAACATCCAACCAAGTAAACCCCATTTGGAAGCCTTAGAGGCTGTGTATTTTTCTTCGTTCTTAGCCATCCCTGTGCCCAGTGACAAAACGAGCAATTTGCTGCTCTCCATGGGCTTCATGTCCACCAATTGGAATTCCCCAGTCAATAAATGTTTTGAAATGTGAGTTATGGCCACCAGGGTCTGTTGACATTTTTGGCATATAAACAAACAAACGAAGCAACACGTTAGTTTACTTTACAATAATACGCTTATATGGGCCTGCCTAGTTCCCGGTCCATAGAAATAGTTATAAGATTTAGCAGCCATTGACTTTGTAATAAGGACTTCAGTTGTGACATTAATTAAGTAAATCCGTCATTGTCATTTGTAAGACAAACTATTAAAATGAGACGGATGGAATGTTGATATTTCAAGATTCCCTAAACGCATTAATACCACTTTTGAAAGAAAGATGTAATGAATGCAATCCATACCAATGGTTAGTTAATTTGTAGTGGGCATCACACATATAACCAAACTTTGTGGCATCATTGTGATTATAACTGCCTTACTGTAAAGCAATATTCAAAGCAGCCTGCTTTGCCAAAGTTGATCGACATTAACCAAAAAAAAAAAAGCAGAAAGAGACTAATGAAGTGATGGCATCGTCGGCCTTTTCGACTCACCGGATTATTAGCGGCAACTCCACCGTCGACCATGTCGAAAGTGCGGACCCCACCTTGTGCATCTCTGGTCTCAAAATAGTGAGGCGGAAGGAAGGTAGGAGCTGCTGTGGTGCTCAGGCAAACGTCCGAAAGCAGAGCATTTTTGGTAACATTTGCTTTGGCCTGCAAGATAAACGCATTTTTTGGGGGGGGTTGGGGGGTGTCAAATTAAAACCTTGGGAATTGGAACGAATTAGAACAAAAAAAATTCACATGTTAAATGACGAGAATGAGTAGGATTATTACGTCGGTTTTGGAGAAGATGACTGGTTGAAGACGTTTGATGTCAAAAGCCGGAATGACAACATCCGTTAACGTCCGGTCGATTGTCACGTTACCCAACAGCCTTTTAACTAAAGATGCAAGATACTTGCCGTCGTATTTCGGACCTCCGAACACGTTATTAAGCGATTTTGCAAGGTTGTTCCTGCTGCGGATTTTGCCAAAAAAAAAAAAAAAAACCAATTAAACATCAACTACATATGCGTAAGTCATCAATAAATTTTCAGTCACTACTATAAGAGAAGAAAAACCCAATAAAAAGCGTACTTACTCGCTGGCGGGAAAGACTTTGGGGCTATTATCCAAGTAGAAGTTTGGGATGTCCTTGGCGGCGTAAAGGGGGCGGTTGTCCTTATTTGGGGCGGTGATCATGGCGGTTATTAGCCCACCGGTGCTAGTTCCGGCTACCACGTCGAAATAATCTGCAATCCTAGCATCCGGTCCGTCCAGTTCCTAATAATTAACAAAAAAAAAAAACATAAACCCATTACGTTAAAAATTCGACTTAATCATGAAGCAATCATCCTCGATCAAAAAATAAAATTCTAGTACCTGAAGTTTGGATTCGAGGAAAGCAAGAATGGTGCCCGGAATGATTCCCCTGACCCCACCTCCATCTATGCTTAAGACTGTGGCAAGCCTTCCTTTAGTGAATGCAACGGTGGTCGGAGGTTTTAAAAGGGTTAAGGTTGTTAGTAATGTAAGAGTTAGCAGAATCCGATGATTCATTTTCATGGCGAGTCAGCCCTGGAAATAATCTGACAGTGTCTTTGTGCTCTGTTCTTATCGATGAAAACAGAGGAATATTAGAAATTTGAAAGTATGGATCGAGTTGTTAGAATATCGGAAATGAAAGGAAGGGAATGGCACAGCATACCGTTATTCACAGAGAATGTGCTGTATTTATAACTGCTGCTACCTTTATTTTATTTTATCTTAAATTTTGAGGGGAGTTAGATTATATTATACTACTAAGAAGTTACTTTAGTTAAACAAAGTTGATCACTGTCTCATTTATGATGTAAATTCGGTTTAAGGAAAATAAAACAATAAACAAAAACGAACAACGAAAAGTCTTAGTCTTGATCTTGTTCCACGAGGTCGTGGGTTGTTTTCAAAAGATTCAATAATGAGAACGAAATTGAGTTGAGAAACAAGAGGCAAACGGGTAGGAATACATCAATCTTACATATGCTAGTAACTATTCCAAGCCATCTTTATTAATCATTCTCCAGTTTTTATCGAGTTGTTATATTTTTTCGATACATAAAAAGCGTATGTTTAAACATTACATGTTAAATAATCTCGATAATGTTATATTCTGATAATGCTAAACAGCTCACTGTAAAATTGGGTTTTCAAGTTTGGACAACACATGTTTCAGCTGAATTTGCACGCCCCTATTCAACTACCTTCCCAATAAAGCCAATTAGGCCATCGTATTTTTGAGATATATTTCAATCTTCATCCGTTAAAATTAGGATGCGCAACGAAACAGAGGAGATTAGGTCAGTAGAAACACTACTATTTTTAGAACTAATATTTATAGCTCGCGACTCGCGTTAGTACTAAAGAAATTGAAAACAGCTTTGGTATGTATTCAGTGTATGCAGTTAAACTACTCTATTAAGTAAATAATTTAACTGATGGACACCAAAAATACAAGAATAAAAAATTATTCCGTCCATCGAAATATAGATCGATAAAGATAACTCTTTTATTGGGACCAAATTAATATAATATCTCTTAGTCATTTCTCTTTTAGAAATGCACAAATTTTAATTTTCTTGGTCTTAAATCTTTAGTCTTTACTACTCTTCTTCCCTTTTCTTTTCCAGCAGTGAACATCATGGGAAACGCGGATCACAGCCTTACCACTTTCATGGTGGCTAAAAAGTGCGATGTGGTACGTGGAGTTTCCAATATTGAAATTAGATCTTTCTAGTCTAAGATAGTAGCAAGTATTATTAATAATATTTTCAACAATGATTTTGGAAGGTTTTTTGGCCTTCCATTTGAGCAAGGTGGTGACATTTCTTTGGTCGAAGTTCATGGTTGAAACTTGTGAAAAAAAAAAAAAGAACAAATAAATAGTTGACCATAAACGTTAGAATTTTCACTTTTTTCAAACTAAAAGTAGGTGTTATACTGGTTTAGTGATATCATATCATATCAGATCAGTTAATTTACAGTATGTCAACCATAGTTTGTGTGGTTAAATACCTATCAATTCATCCCTCCTTTTCTTTAATCAATCATTCCTTCATGGGAATGAATCATCTTTATCCACCATTTCACCAACCCAAATAATGGGAAACAGAAAAACGGGTAGCTTGGTGGTCATTTTCCATTTCCTCGTGGTCGGTATTTAGGACCAAACTATAGGGCGCCAAGTCGATCCTTGATTCATTATTTTTAGTTTCTTTTTTTTTTTGCGTATAATGATGAACACCATTTATGGTTAATGATTCAATTATCTGATCATATTAAGTTTCCCACCTTAAAACTAAAATAAACCGTTCACTAAAATTATAATTATTTTAAGACAGAAATAGTTTATTTTCCGAACATAATGTAATAAACGAATTTAGATCATGAACATCCTCATTTCTTTTTCTCTGTAGTTTGAGTTGGATTTCAAGCTAATCACTTTAAAAATTATATCAGTTGCAATAAGTGGATAACGAGCAACTTGATCATTCATTTCTTGACTGTTATTAGTTTGACAATTGTCAATTTGGAGTGGATATTAATGAGGAATGTTCATTTGCCAAAAAGACTTGAGCAGACTGTGAGATTAGATGAGAACAGTGTCGTATAAGCTACAAAAGTTTTCCCAAGGACCAAGTCTAAGATGATTAATTGGTCAAAAAATACGTGTTTCCACATGCACCACGAGCAGACCCTCCATTTTGGTCCATTTGATCGTCCCATCACGATTCACACTTTCTGGTTTGGTTCATATCAGGCTAGCTATTCGAAATTGGTGCCAAAAATTCTACATCTCGTCTACTAAATTTGCTATGGATCCAATAATTAGTATTCTTTCATTTCAAAAAAAAAAAAAATCACTACAAATACAATTTTATTTTGAAATGGAATGGATATTCAAAAGATATCTAACATTGTTACATTCATACTATACAATGTGTATATATCCCCTGATCTGACTATAAAAGTGGTAATTTATTAATTTTGACCACGAAAAGAAATAATGATAGGTAGCTCACGTAAATAATTCACCTTATCATCTCATCTTACATGATATTTACTGATTAGACAATGTATTTGTTATTTAAATCTAAATAAATTAAATTAAAATATTACTCTCTCCATCCCACAAAAATAGTCCATATTGAGTTTTGAATTTTGTACTGTTTTTAGTATAAATTTAAAAACTCAATGTAGACTATTTTTTTGGGACGGAGGTAGTATTATATTTCTTATCAACATTTGGCCTACTGATTGTATTTTATTTAGTTATAATTGCATGATCAAAACTAACTTTGATGAAAAGATGTTACTCCTTCGTCCCAAAAAAATAGTTCACATTAAGTTTTAAGTTTTGTACTATTTTTAGTACAAATTTGAAAAATTAATGTGAATTATTTTTTTAAGACGGAGGTAGTACTATTTACTAGTTAGCATGCTCTAAAAAAACATTAAATAGAAATGTAGCATAAAATGAATAATTGGTTCGTTTTACCGCAACTGAATCAAACTTGTTGATGTGAAGGAGTTCTCTTCATAGAAACCTCAAAGGTCCAGACTTAGGCCCATAAACTAAAGCTTTTGTTTCCAAAATAACAAGATAGGCCCAAACCAATTTTTGTAGCCACTAGCCCGTGATCTCTCAGCTGCTTTTCCAGTGAGCCACTGTGATATTCCCGGCCAGTGTTTCTTCAACTTCTCCGTCGGGTTTCGCAAGGCTGAGCTCCGCCTCACTTGTCTGCCTTTATGGCCACCGGTAGCGAATCCAGGTTCTCATTTCTGGTTGACATGATCTCTTTTACTTTTTTCGTGTCTAGATGTTTACCTAGCATCATCCTTTTCTCATTTATCTTTACTATTTTTTTTTTTTGTTTTATTGAAATGAATCAATCAGCGATTTTCAACAGTCTGGGAGTGACGGAGAAATCATCGAAGCTGGTAAAAGTAATAATTTTGCAGAAATCGTTGTGATCCGTCACGGTGAAACGGAATGGAATGCTGACGGTAGACTCCAGGTTTCTTTTTGTCTCTCAGAATTGGGAATTAATTGTTGCATCAAGTAGATGATGAAAGACCTAGGATTTTAAATTCTTTGTTTCTGATCATATACAGAACGCTAGATATAGAATCAGTAAATGGATTATTGATCAATGATAAGGAAATTATTCTAATGCAGGGGCATATGGATGTTGAATTAAACGATGAAGGAAGAAAGCAAGCCATTGCGGTAACTAATGAACCCTAGCATCATAGTATTCTATTTTCTGAATTTTCATTGCATTGCTTATCTAGGTTGTGCTTCTCTTGTTTAAGGTGGCACAACGGATGGCAAGTGAGCCCAATATATCGGCCATTTATTCATCCGACTTGAAGAGAGCATTTGAGACAGCTCAAGAAATAGCGAAATTCTGCAGGGGGCTTGAGGTATGCGCTCCTTACTTCGTTTTACTGATTGCAAAGGCCTAGATATAGGTGCTTGGGAAAAACTGATATGCATTGTTTAGCACCAAGAAAGTTGGAAAGTTGCCTCTATGACAATGAAAATTTGATAAAGTTCTGAAGTTAGCTGGGATTTTCATTTGCAAATTTATAACTTCCATCTTTTATTGAGTGTACATGTGCTAGTGAAATGGGAAACTTTGTTTTCATTTGATGGGCAAAAACGTAGAATATATTTGTATTAGGCATCCATGTGTGGCTGTCTAGACAGGATTAGTTTCTATCTTGGTGTTGATTCTTATTGGTCGCGAAATGATGGGCTTTTTGATTGATGATTATGGAAGCTGAAACTAAAATCTGTTCACATGTGCTTATTCTGTCGCTCAGGTTGTCAAAGATCCAGACCTTCGGGAAAGACACTTGGGGGACCTTCAAGGTCTGGTGCTGCAAGAAGCAGGAAAAAGCTGCCCTAAAGCTTATAAAGCACTTCTATCTAACAGGCGGGATAAAGAAATTCCTGTGAGTTTCTGGTATTTCCACATTTCCAGTAAAGAATCTTAACTAAATACTACTACCTCCATCCCAAAATGAGTGCCATTTGGGACGATAGGCGTACTCAAGTTTGTCTCTGTGCTAAAAGTGAATGCATTTTACTAATGGTCTGTATATACGACAGTGATTTTGTCATTTTGGGCCGATAGGAGCGCTAAACTTTGTCTCTGTGTTAAAATAAAAGCATTTTACGACTGGTCCTTGTCGATGTACAATGTGATAATTGACTGCTATTTTAACTGCAATGAGAGGCAAAGTAGAAATTTTTATTGCTTTAGATTGAAACCTTAGCAAACAGCAAAGAAAAGCGGAAAGCTGTTCTTTTCACTTGTTAGATAATTAAGTCTTTTTCTACTACTCCTCTATTCGGTTTCTTTTAGCTTGAAACAAATGCATTTTACTAATGATACTTGTAGATGTAGTGATAATGTTATAATTGACTCCTACTTTTACTGAAATGAGAGGTAAACTAGAAAATTTGATTGCTTTAGTCTGAAACAACATAGCAAACAGCAAAGAATAGTGGAAAGCTATGCTTTTCACTTTTTAGATTATCCAGTCTTTTCTTTTCCTCTCTCTTTCTTTTTGATCTTATCTTTAGTATTTGAGTTTAACCAACTAAAACGAAGGGGACCTTCGGCAAGGAGTTAAGAGCTGCTGCCATGTGTGATGTGACTGAAGGTTCAAGTTGCTGAAATTTTAACGTATAACTTAAGTAATACATTCATGCAGTACATTAAGAAAAAAAAAAGAAAAAAGGAAGAAGAAGGACAATGGGCTTCAGGCCCGTCTGTTTAATGGATCCGTTCATGCAGGAACTTCTCTGCGTCGTTCTACATTTTCTTTATAACCTCTTAACTATTATGTTACATCGTTAGTTACATTCATGGTCCATGTCATTGACTTCTGTAATTTGTGATTCTCAATTACGAAATATGCATTCGTTGATATCTTGGCGAACTGCTTGCAAGGAATTTGTGTCCTTTTTTCCTGGCAATCTGCAACTTTTTGACTTAATTTGTTGATTCTTGACTTGTGCAGGGTGGTGGGGAAAGTCTCGATCAGCTTTATGAGCGCTGCACATCCGCACTGCAGAGAATTGCAAATAACCACATAGGTAATAGCAGACTCAAAATCCTGGATGGATTAAATGAGTAAAACTTGTAATGTGATCGTAATATATTGATAGGAACATCTCAATGACATCTGATAGCTTGCTTCATCTGCAGGGGAGCGAATAGTTGTGGTTACTCACGGTGGAGTTATCCGTTCACTTCATCGGCGGGCTCGTCCACATGGCCAGTCTGCTGGGAGGATCACCAATACATCTGTCAATGTGTTTCAATTGTCCAAAGAAGAAAAGTGGACCATTAAGATATGGAATGATGTGAGTCATCTTAACCAGACTGGATATTTGAAGTCTGGTTTTGGTGGGGACAAATCTTCGGGTTAGTTCTACCATTTAGATGTCATACTCAGACATTTAAAAACACAGAACTTTGCAGGGGACATGCCCCTTTCACCTTATGTAATGTCTCTTAAACACTCAAATCTGTTCAACTACCATGATTTATTCTGAGACACTGAAAGTTTGGTGTTAACTTTATTGTGGCATAAACTATGATATGCATGGGTTTAGTGGCCAACAGTTTGTTTAGCCTTTTAAGATCTTGTGATTTTTATGTTCAACTTGACTTTTAAAGCCTGAACATGCGATGCTAACTTAAGACTAAAAAGAAACTCCCGCAGGCTTCCTAAAATGAATTTTGAAACCACATATTACCAGTTTGTCTGGTCTGCGATATTATTTTTGTCTCAGCTATATAATTCCTAGGACCAAATTGGCGGATGGTGTTCAAATTGAAATATCTAATAATAAAACAAATGGTATTAATTATTTCGGAACGGAGAGAATATTAAATTAATGGCACATGCCATGTGTGTGGAAGTGTGTATTGTTTGGCAACAACGTTAGTTAGCACGAAATGTTTACTGGGAAGCTTCTTACATGTCACTTGCTGGTCCACCTTTGTTGTACTTGATAGATGGGGATAGTTTTTTTAGTTGCTCTCTATTAGGTTGACGCTGATCAATCTTGAATGACATAAATTTTTAATCGTGTGTTTAATAAAAACTTAGTAAGGGTTGTGGAAGAATTAGCGCCATCTAACTTCATTAGCCCGGCTCTAACAGTAGTCAGGCAAATTAATTAGCAAGTAGTATTAGAATCGGATAATCGAGAATTAGGTCATGCATGATGACAAAACTTCGTAGACACTTGCATTAGTGTTCGTCATCCTTTTTACTTTAGCATTGGCCTTTTTCCATCTCCAGGACTCTGACCAGGATTACGGATAGATTTTTAAGAGAATATTCTGTTTTGTGAAGTCATCGCTGAAAAATCAGCAGGCCTTGAAGTTGAAGTTGTAAAAGTTGAAAACTTAGGATCAATGTTTCCAATGAAATCTTGAGAAGATGATCGTAACTAGGTGGACTGATACATCGTGAAAGAAGGCAGAATCTGCATCTTAAATCTTAAGCAAATTACAAAAGTTTTAAGTGGTCATTATCGTTTAACAGTGCATTTAATATCGGCCATATCTGGGGATATTATGTAAACTTAGGTTAGGTGGGTTCACCTTTTTTTTTCCCCCCTCAAAAAGTGACGCGCGAGAATGGTGGCCGGAGCGGTGACAGAAATTGAATTCAAGTGGTTTGCCACTTCCGACAGGTTTATGGCAAACAGCTTTTGACATTATACGCGTAAAACATTATTAACTCTCCAAACCACAAAAAAAAAAAAAAAAAAAAACTTGACTATGCCACCCACCCCCACCCACTTCTAAAAGGAGGAGATCCCAGATTGCATAATGTAAGGAAAATATGAACTATTTATTTCTTTGTTTAAATACTGTGGCGTGATTTGTATTGAGGTAATCTTGTGGAATATTTTAAGACGAAAGTCTTCTTTGTTTAAATACGATTATGTGATTCTATTAAGATAATTTCGTAACAGAAAAATTATTTTAAGACGAAAATAATGGGCACACAATGCAATGGATGAGAAGGAAGACTACTAAGAACAATTCTTATGATGAACAATTATTAGTTTCACTTGTATTTTATGACAATTTCAAAGCTAAGGCAATAGGGGTCCTTTAGCCTAGTACAGAATAGTAGGAGAAATGATCCATTAAATTAACAAGCAGTGAGTGGGAGAAAGGGGGTGGCAGTGAAACATCATCCCTCACGTGATATTTATAAAGTTTGTTTCCAGTTTTCCTTGTGTAACCATTACCACGGGGTTGACTTTCTTTTTTATTATTTTTATTTCAAATTGAGTTTTTCTTTTAAAGTCTGAATAATTTTTGTTAGTACAAACAATATAGTATCAAATTGAGCAATCCGAGGGATTTGGCTGTCGATTTAGTTCTGATTTTGGGGATTGATTCATGATTGCGTGCATATGCATCTGCTGCAGGTGTGTTGAGAGTTTAGGATTTTTGGACTCCCAGTCCACCCTTTTTATTTAAAAAAAAAAGTTATCTGCTAAATCAAATCCTTGTTTTTTTTTCATTTCAAATTTGGATTTTGAAGCTGCACGTTTCTGCACCCTGTTATTATTGCACAACATTGGAAAGAATTTTCTGCTCTTTCTTTTTTTTTTTCCTCTGTAATAAGTACAGTTTTCTGACAACGAATGAAGGTAATCATGTTTGTATTTATTTTTTTATGATGTCATAATTAAATTTTCTGTAATATACAATAATCATTTTAGAACAGAAAATTTTAAACAGTGTGTGAATTTGTTTAAACAACAAGTTACTTGTTTTTTCTTCGTGTTGATTTTTCCAGTCATTACATGAAGAAAGGTAAGATGATGAATAATCATTAACAATTTGCTTTTTTGTCGGGTATTAGACTTAAGTATTCTTTTCAAAGAATAAACACGGGCATGATTTGATGATGAGACGACTACTTTTATTCATCTACCTAAAAACTGGTGATTTTCCGATGCATTTCCTTCCTACCAAATCTTGCATGAATTTCAGTCTGCCAGTTGGAATTACCAAAAACAAGAAGACTCGACCCATTGCCTTAATTTATAAAACAGTCGGGTTGTATTCATTTCAAGTTCTAAGTTTTCAAATGATGGTCCAATTTAAATTTTTATTTTTAGTAAAATAAAAAAAATTTTGAATAGAGAAAATATTCGTTTTTCGAAGAGGATTCATTTAAACCAAATAAATACTTTGAATATGATACTAGTTTAAAATTAATTTATGGTTTATATACCAAAAAGGAAAGGTAGAATTACGATTTTGTTGGTTTTACCGGAGGTAAATTTGCATATGCTTCATTTCAAAGTTTTCTTTTGTTCCTATTACACTATTCTAGAGAAGAAAGATAATAGTACGTGACAACAGTATTAGTAATCAACTTTAATTGGTGAGCGGGTTGAGCTGAGTTCAACACATGATATTTATTGACCAATGCAAAATAGACGTTTTCTATCCACTGGAGAATCTGAGTAATAAAGGTCAACTAAATAGAATCAAACTACTGAATTTAGTACTGTCTAGAGGATGAATGTAGCCTTAGCACTAGAGAGATTCTTGATTTGTTAATTAAATTTGGTTAGTACTATAATAATTGAATTAGATTAGATGTACGTAGTCAACCAGGAATAATGGTCATTTCTAACCAAAGGACATGCCTGCAAGTTTTTAGTGTTGGTCATGTCGATGCACTTTATAAAAGGAAAGAGAAATCAGTGTTAGTAACATATAGCAAATTATCTTATCAGAAATACAAAAAGGAGAGAAATATTACCTCGTGGACAGTTTCTGGTCTATTCAAGAAATATTTACCCAATGAAGATAAAAAGTTAAAATAACCCTATCTACATTGGAATAAACTAAAGAATTGATTTGCCAAAAAGTAGTCACTATGGTTATTTCAAACTGAGCTTAAGATAAGTAAAATATTGACTTTGTCCCAAAGTAATTATCATTATTTAAATATAACAACAATATTACTATTTTAATGACCAAAAAAAAAAGTAGGAGTACATACTATTGCAAATTAAAATGTACGTTCTATTCACTGACTAATTACACCCTTCATAAATTATTTTAGACTTCCGTCACTGTTGAGATAATGACACAATAGACATTTCACGAGGAGTTGGTCTTTTATGTGCATTTTCATGATCTCATCTCCATACCTTAAGAGGTCAGGCATAAAACAAGGGAGGAAATTGTCAACCAAGTATTACGACATTTTATTGAGTGTTCAACAACAGCAAATGCTCAATAAATAATCCATCATTTTTGATTGTGTAGTCTTCTTTCTTATCGTCTCTAATCCGTTAAATTATTATACTTTACAATATCGTCTTATATAGTAAGCGCACATAAATATTCGATGGTGTAACACTTTGAAATTAGTTTGGAAACGAAACCAATTTGATGTTATTGTCGAATTCAATTAGTAAACACCCTCAATCACGCAAGAGAAACAAGTGCTCAAATCTCAACTGCTCAAGGCATTTGAGTCACTTTGAAACCATATCTGAAATGTCACAATAAAATTGCGCACCATAGAACATGTTAGTAGATCGCAAGTGCATATATCATATACTCCCTCCGTCCCATAATTATTGTCCAGTTTGATTTTTCATTTCTAGTTTAAATTGTACTAAAAGTGAAATCTAAAACTGAACAATAATTTTGGGATAGAGGGAGTACTTTGTTAAAGTAACTTCAACGATTGTTTTTGTTTAAGATGTCTTAAATGTAATCTGGATGTAAGATTTTTTATTTTTTATTTTTTTTAAAAAAGGCCTATATGCTGATGAACAATTCGAAAATCACTTTTGCCGAAAGAGTTAATAATGGTATAAACTCACAACTAATTTCATCAATCAATCAACTGACCAATCAAATAATCCCATGTCCCATCCCTTGCATTACCAGCCAGTTACTCTAATCTACTACCTGAACAATTAAGGAATTCTAAGTGAATCAAAACCAGTATCTTCCCGCCACGTGTACACATTACTGTACTAAATCTGTCCCGTACGTTAGCATTTTTCCGGGGTTGTATATTTAAAGTTTTGTTTTACACTCGCCGCATTAATCCCCTTTTGGTTTTTCTGACTTTCTCCTTCCGTTTCGGACAATTAAAATTTCTTTAGTTTCTATAAGTATTTTTGGACAAAGGTGAACGGCACCGTCCACCGTCGTTTCCTATTTATCAACTCTCCAGTTCAACTCCCACTTGTTTGCCAGATCTCTCTCTCTCTCTCTCTCTGTGTTAACCGGAGGAAAAAAACGCTACCCATTCTTTCCTAACTCCGAGAACCACCGGAAACAATGCTTCAATTCCGATCTTGAAATGCGATAGCTTCAGCCTCGAGAGTGGAGACTGGGTTTTCTATAGATTTTGTTTGGGGGTTAGGAATTACAAGAAAAAAGTGCAATAGGAAAAAATCATGGGTGTCTGCACCTCCAAGCCTGTTCCGGAGCGAACTATTGATGATTTCAGCAATGGTAGCAATTCGAAACAGAATCCAAGCGGCCCCAGCCAGGTGAAGGATAGAGATGTTGTGAGCTCCGGGAATCAGCAAGAAGCCAAGAAATCAGATGTCGAAGCTGGTAAGAAGTCTCCCTTTTTCCCCTTTTACAGCCCAAGTCCGGCGCATTACCTGTTCTCCAAGAAGTCTCCGGCGAGATCTTCCGGCAATTCGACGCCTATGAAGTTTTTCAAGCGGCCGTTCCCTCCGCCGTCTCCGGCGAAGCACATTAAGGCTGTGCTGCGGAGGAGGCAGGGCGCGGTGAAGCCTAATGAAGCTTCAATACCGGAGGGAAATGAATCGGAGGTTGTGACGTCGTTGGATAAGAGCTTTGGGTTTTCAAAGCATTTTGTTAGTAAGTATGAGCTGGGGGAGGAGGTTGGAAGAGGTCATTTTGGGTATACTTGTAAAGCTAAATTCAAGAAAGGAGAGCTCAAGGGACAAGAAGTTGCTGTTAAAGTCATTCCCAAAGCCAAGGTTTGCAAATTCTTCATCGGTTGTTGAAGCTCTCATCTCCTTTTTTTTTCCGATAATTCCTCTGTTATGTATGAATTCCGCCGCTGTGTTATCCTCCCTTTTTCTGGTTACAATGGTCAGATCTATGTCTGTTGACTCGGTTGATTTTCAGTGGGATCACATTTGACTAAGAAAGGAAACTTTTAATTGCATAATTTGGAATTATCCTGTCCAATTTGACGTTGATTCCATTTGATTTTACCTGTAAAATTAGTACTCGTAATCCGGGACTGCAGTAGTGATTGACAGGGGAAAGTCAAAAGTTGTGTCTCTTTGTTCTGAGTTATTTCTCGCTCTGGTACTTGGAATGAATACGTTTTTATTAGACGTGGTACACGAAAGAGTTTTTTGGTATTTGTTTTCGTTTACTGAGTACCGGATGGTTTTACACCATATTCATAGTTTTCTCTCCTGCTGCATCTGTTTTTTGTTTGCAGTCAAAAGAAGATTTTTTTCACTTCTGCTATTATGTTGTTTTGATGGATTTTGATGCTGTAACTTATTGTTGTTAGAAGCCTTATAGTCTGTTTTGAAGGCTTGTAGCTTTGTGCATCAAATGTGATGTTAAGATATAGTGTCAGTATGAAGTTTTCTGCTGTATATTGTTTTGGGTGAATTGAGAGCATTGTTTTGGCTACCATCTTCCACTTATGCAACACTTAATTCAATTTTGTGCATAATGCTATCTCACTGTGTGTATGCATATTGCTAGTAACCTTATCCTCGATCAAGCACTTCTCTCACACGCACAAAATTGTCCTGTTTTGGGAAAATGCTGAGGATTGGCTTCTTAAGTGTTGCAAAATTTATATGTTTTTATTGTATTAATTTGATATGTATTGCCCCTGTGAAAGTGTACGTTTATCAACAAAGTGAGATTATTATTTATTTCTTGTATTTGAATGCTTTTATTTTCTTGACCCAGATGACCACTGCCATAGCCATTGAAGATGTAAGAAGGGAAGTAAAGATTTTGAGAGCTTTGACAGGGCATAGCAATCTCGTACAGTTTTATGATGCCTATGAAGATAATGAGAACGTTTTCATTGTCATGGAGTAAGATATGAAACTTTTGTTGTCACTTTAGCTGTTCCTTTTTTTTTTTTTTTTTTCAATTCTTTGAATCTAGAGAGATTCTGATTTAGAGTTTTGTTTCATGTTTTGGTCACATGAATGATTTATATATACTGTTCACAAACTGAGTTATCTCAATGCTCTTTTCAGGCTATGTGAAGGAGGGGAACTTCTGGATAGAATACTTTCAAGGCGAGTCTTTTTTTTTTTATTTTTGGATAAAAATGTACTGTTTTCTAAGTCAGGAGGCTCTACATTTTACATCACTGTATTAAGGTAGTAGGGACGTTCGTCCTCTAAAGTTTGCTCTTGTTCATACAGGGGCGGGAAATACACTGAAGAAGATGCCAAGGCTGTCATGACCCAGATATTGAATGTTGTTGCTTTTTGTCATCTTCAGGGTGTTGTACACCGGGATCTTAAACCAGAGGTCAGAATTTTGATAAATATGAGTTTCTTGTTTCACTCCTTCCATATTATCCCTGTCTTGATCTTTCTTCTGGGAAAATAATAGAATAGCTTCCATAACATAGAATGCAACACGTTGGATAAGGGCCAAATTGATTATTCAAGGGTTTGGTGATGTAGTAATTTTTACTGCAGATACAACTTGTGAATGAAAAATTTTAATTTGATGTTCATTTCATCCATATATTTTTAGACAAAATTTGTGTCTAACTGTAGCTTGTTGCTGGACCAGAACTTCTTGTTCACTTCCAAGGATGAAAATTCAGAACTGAAAGCAATAGATTTTGGATTGTCAGATTTTGTGAAGCCAGGTTTGTTCTTCTCCTTCTATTTACATTATTAGTTTTATTTTTCTTTGGTGGATTTCTCAAGGTTAATTCAATTTCTATGAATCAACTGCTTTACAGATGAAAGGCTGAATGACATCGTTGGCAGTGCATATTATGTTGCTCCTGAAGTTCTACATAGGTCATATGGCACAGAGGCTGATGTGTGGAGTATTGGCGTTATTGCTTACATACTTCTGTGTGGCAGCCGTCCCTTCTGGGCTCGAACTGAATCAGGAATCTTTAGGACGGTTTTAAAAGCCGATCCAAGTTTCGACGAACAGCCTTGGCCTACCCTATCTTTGGAGGCAAAAGAATTTGTGAAACGTCTGTTAAATAAGGATCCACGTAAAAGAATGACTGCAGCTCAAGCTTTGAGTGAGTCTCAAGATTAAATACTTTTCTCCATCTCCACCCCACAAAACCCCCACAAAACGCCCTGATTCGTCAAACCCATCTTTTTATAGATTTTTCATGAAAATTTGTTTACTTTCAGGTCATCCATGGATTAAAAATGGCAACAATGTAAAGGTTCCCCTTGATATACTAATTTTCAAACTCATGAAAGCTTATATGCGGTCATCTGCACTTCGTAAAGCCGCCTTGCGGGTATGTAGCCTTTCATGTTTTACTGTCTTATGAATAGTGTTTTATGTTGCCATCTGATGGCATTCTGCTCCAAGGCTGACCATTGGTTTTCCGTGTCATATATACTTAGTCATGCATGACTGTTCTTCTGGTTTTGTTGACCTTCTTACTCTGACTTTCGCAGGCCTTATCTAAGACACTAACTGTTGATGAATTATATTATTTGAAAGAGCAATTTGCTTTGCTAGAACCAAGCAAAAATGGCACCATAAGTTTGGAGAACATTAAAGCGGTAGGTTACTTGTACAGTTTCCTCGTTTCAACTTATTCATAATGGAAACTCAATTTACATAAGGTGTTGAAGGGCTTGTTTTTCATTTGTGGCAGGTGTTGATGAAAAATGCAACAGAAGCAATGAAGGAATCTCGTGTCCATGATTTTCTTGGATCGGTATGTATCTCAGTCCAAAGAGAGGAATTTTTTATTGTTTGTAACGTGCTGTTGTGCAACTGATTATAATTTCTTTCTTCAGCTTAATGCACTTCAATATAGAAGGATGGATTTTGAGGAATTCTGTGCTGCTGTGTTAAGCGTCCATCAGCTCGAAGCTCTCGATCGATGGGAGCAACATGCTCGTTGTGCATATGAACTCTTTGAAAAGGATGGCAACAGGGCCATTATGATTGAGGAGTTGGCTTCGGTAATTTCCTCGTGTCCTATTTGTATAATATGCACATCGGATTACTTTCTGTGTTTGTGTTTTGTTGTTACTTAGAGAGAGAAAATTTCTTATTATTCCAAGTATAACAAGCTGGGCTGGTCTCTGTTTCAGGAACTTGGCCTGAGCCCTTCAGTTCCTGTCCATGCTGTTCTCCATGATTGGATCAGACACACTGATGGGAAACTAAGTTTCCTTGGATTTGTAAAGTTGTTGCATGGTGTGTCGAGCCGCTCACTTCCTAAAGCTCAGTGATAGTAAATTATAGTTAACCAAATGCAGCTAATGACCTCATAGTCGGTAATCTGTTGGCCAAATGAAAGAGCGGAGAAGCTTGTGATTATAGTGTAATCACACACCATACATATAGGTTTGGAACAAGATTGGATAATGTGATTGGTATTGATGAAGTCCATTCTTGAAAATTTTTTCGGAGGATCAGAATTGTAATTACGTTGTTGTTGTAGAAAATATGACTCCTGGGCGTCCTGGCGATTAGTTTTCCCACTGTAAAGTTGTACGTAGCTGACCTGAATCTCAATATTCTTCTATAAGTGAGGATTCTTCTGAGCTCGTTTGGGAATGCAAAACCTCATGTGTTTAACCTAATAATAGATTAGAGTCACTGACATCTTTGATTTGCCTTGTATTCTTCTTTCTTTCTAATGTCAAAGTGATTGATGGGTTCTCTCTGGCTCATCTTTTTTCACCTCACTCCAGTCTGTAATTTTCCTCTCAACTTCAAGATTCTACTACAACATTCTTTTCTCAGCTAAGATTAAAAATAACTTCAGACTTGGCTGACTCAAATTCAAACCCCAATCTCCCTTTTATTCTCTCGGAAAAAAGTTTGAGAGTATATTAAGACACAATCTGTGTTTGTCACTTAGTAATATTCTTTTCGATTCCATTCAAATTACAAATCTTTTCAACAGGAACAAACATATTATGACCACAACTCAGACAGGTCGGATTTTGTACTCACAGAAATGACACATAATGTATTATTTTCCTCGTCATAAAATTATTGTTCAGTTTAGGATTTGAACTAAAAGTGAATATCAAAATTAGATAATAATTTTGGGACGGGACATATTTTATCTGCCTCCCTAGACAAGAGAGCATTACAATTTTTTTTTTTTTAATTTTTTTTGGGGTTAGCAATATTACATAGGTTCTGAGTTCTGACACAGAAGAATGAGAGAGGGGGAAAAAAAATTAAAAAAAAAAAAAAACAAAAAGAATTTTCAGGCTCGCCTTCTTTTACCACGCTTACCTTGTTTTCAATTTTCATGACTTAAAAGCGTGACGCTTACTTGTCCATCTTACTAGCGAGTCTAGCATGGTCGTCCTCATCGAATGAAATCCGAAAGATGGGGAAGAGTGAAACCGCCGAAAACCGCGATGTTATTCAAATTTCCTCTTCTTCATCGTCGGCGTTGTCGTCTTCTTCCGGAGAGGAGTTTCTCGAAGAATCAGATTCGCAATCAGATGATTCCTCCGACTGCAGCGTAGAGGAGATTAGCTCTGGCTCTTGGTAGGTGACTTACCGCCACCCATTTTCATTCTCCTGTTTGCAGTAGCTATTATGATTCTATCAGAAATATGGTATAATACAATTACAGGAGAGGGAGCTATTGATTTCTGCTCTCCGTTTGGGTTCATTTCTCCCTTGCTTTTTGAACTTGCTTTGTTAATTTAGCAGCGATGACGCCGAAAACGACGACGACGATGCTGATGGTGGTGGAGAAATTGAAGGAGATGATGAGGAATGTTTGTCCAACCGAGTTTCGAACCTTCTGCGTGGTTAGTGTTCTTAATTCGTATTAATCGAGTTATGAGTCTTTGTTCTTTGGCAGTATGCTCTTTGTTCATTCAGTCGTATTAATATCTTAGGCAATGCTGGTTTAGGTAAATGTTTTTCTTAGTTTTTTGTAGAAAGAAGTGATATTGGAGGATTAACTCTAGTGGAATGTAAAGCATATCTTCGGAGGCATGGATTGAGGTTATCGGGGACTAGGGTGGAGTGTTTACAAAGGATCAAGGAGCATTGGAGGTTAGTTGTGGCATTCAAGTCTTACACTGATCATTATCTTATTTGTGTTGTGGAGTTCCTCCACAAAGTGACAAGCAGATTTCATACATGTTCACCGTTACTGAGGCTTATTTACCAAATTTTTTTCTCTGGCTCCCTTCCAGCGATCAGAAATGAAAACTTATAGTAGTAGAATGTTTGGGCAGTTATTGTTAGTTCTATACTAGAATGTTTGGGCCGTTATTGTTAGTTCTATCTTTGTAATTTAACAATTTCTATTGCCAACACCTCTAGTAGTTTAAATCTTAGAACCAATCTTAATCTTCCCACATTGACATCGACAGTGGCAGCCCAATGATGTTAATGATATTGCTTGATCATAAAACTTGAGTCTTACTTATCCTTGTTTTCTCTACTGATTCTTGGAATAATCTCTATTGTGCCGAGTTGAAAATAATGCTGTTTGTCTGCCGGCATTGTGTATGAAACGTTTCAAGCTGCTCAGAGCTCACATTTGTTTCTCCACCTTGTTATGCAGAATGAAATAATGTTTTCTGATTTGTTCACCACAGAATCAGAGATGGAAGAGGAGTAATACTATATCCTAGATCCTCATTCAACATTGACTGCACTGGTATACCTTCTTTTCAAAGAAGAGCAGTAGCTGTAACCTTGTATCTCTACAGGCCATTGAGGAGTGTATTACTTGTTTACATATGCAGGTGATGTATGTAGGGGAGATGTGGTGTTATTCACCCAGAAAGTGTACAGAAATATCCCCTCATCTTAGTTTCCTTGTGCATTTGATTTTTGAATCTTCTTCTCTTCTTATGGTCATTTACGGTACCTTGTTTGATGTTCTGCAATTATTTGTTAAGCAGATTTGATAAAGTAACCAGGAGTGGGAGAGTCTTGGGGAGGAGAACTGTTGCTGGGAGGATTATTAAGGAAAGTTATGGAGCCGCTAAGCAGCAACATACTTTCACAGTAAGGCTATTATATTCATAATTTGTTTGAATACATTAAAAATTATTCTCAAGTCACTGAAGTGGTTTTTGGTTCACGCTGGTCATTGCTATTTTGAAATTTTTATGTACAAGTTGTCACCCATTTCACGTTATGTTTGGGTTGTTTGATCTCTTTGCTACAGGTTGAAGTTTTATGGAGTAAGGGTATCAAGGAGTTACCTCCACTGGTTCCTTTACTTGTAAAAGGCCGTAACCTCTATAGAATGAAAACTTTCAGACAGGTGAACTATTATTTAGTTTGTCAAAGAAAATTTTATTGCCTTCCATTTTAGGGAATTTTGTTTCATGTTTCTATCTTGTGTTTCTCTAGAGCTGGAAGAATGAGAAAGAAAGACGAGAAGTTCTTGCTGAGAAGCATCAACGTGGAGCAGCGGCTAGACAGATAAGAGAAATGCGGAAGACAACAGGTGTAAAGAGGAAAAGAGAGAAATCCTCCTCTAAAGAAGGTATCAGAAAATTGGAACATACTTAATACTTTATCTTTTGCTAAGGAACATCAGAGCGGGAATGCCTTTCATTTCAGCACTGTAGTGTCTACCACGTATCATCTCTTTAATCATGTAGTTACAACTTACACATCTTATTTGGAAAATCAGTTTTCAAATATCAGAAGCATTCTCGACGTTCACATGTATCTGAAACAAGTAGGAGAGCAACATCGAAGCTAGGGAATCATCATGATGGTCGTGTGAAGGCCCCAATTGGTAAACAGAGATCATTCAGACAGTCAAATGTCGGAGGAAATAGAAAGTTTCTTGCCCCGCTATCCCGGAGTAAGCATCAGAATCATGATCATCGGTCTAATACTGTAGAGTCTTCTGTTCAATCGTATGATTACCCCCGAAACTTCCACCTCTTTCGCTTAGAGCGATATCATCAGGAACCGCCATCTTTTGTTCCTTAAGGGTGCTTTTCTGCATGTGAGGAGAATTATAGGCCATTTGCGTCTCATTCTCAAGAGCGTGCTAACTGGGATGCACGCCCCAACTATGGATCCCAGACTGATGTATCTCGAGAAAGAGAAGTTAATCGTTTTACTGGATCAAGTGGAACATTTCAGCAATGCGCATGCACAAACAGACGTAGAAGATAAGACATGGCGGCTGCCTTTAGTTTTGTATAGCGGTATAGGCATGATCACCGCTAAAGAAGCAAGTATATGAAGAATTACTGAATTTGACCATATATGGTGCTCCTTATAGAACCGTACATACCTTTCTGACTTGTCGTTCATATCTTAAGATGTTATCTCTCTATCTCAAAATAAGATTAGTGTTTGATAAATAAAAATAATTGCTCATCTAGCAAAATTCTTATTTCGGGCGGAAGGACTAATTCGAAGTACTAATAATAATGTCTTTGTTTTGTCTAATTAAGATGTTTGAAATGATAGTATGATACTACGAGTGGTTTGAGAATTGAGACTATGATTGGTGTTCAGTACGGTGGCTGTTGGGCCTATCTGTACGTCGCGAATTGGTGGGAACTCAGCCCAAGTTCCAAATTTTCTGAGTCTGTGATTCTTTAACGCTTCAACTTGAGAAAAGAATTACTCCATGTTAAGGCTTTTACAAGGTCTGTCTGTATAACGGCTAAGATGTACTTTTTAAAAAAACGGTTAAGCTGTATTCCCTCCCTCCGTGCCTTAAAACTTAAAATCTAAATTAGACAATAATTTTAGATCGGAGTAAGTAATATTATGTTTGCATTCTTGTTTCGGCTTTGCCAACGTAACCTCTAAAGATATGATGTGACAGTTACTCCCTCCGTCCTATAATTATTGTCCAGTTTGGATTTTCATTTCTAGTTTAAATTGTACTAAAAGTGAAATTTCAAACTGGACAATAATTTTGGGACAAAAGGAGTATGTTTTAGTCCCATCATAATTTGGAGACCGAGACTTTAATCCCTTAATTTCAGAAATAGAGCATTTCATCTTTTATCCCCAACATGATCTCGTTAAAATAATTAGAGCAACATAGTCCTATTTGTTTTCGTATAGAGCCATGATAACTGTATCCTTTTTTAACCAACAAAACATGTGAGGACACTTAGGCTGCTGAAAATATCAAAGATCTAAAATGTATTCCACATGTCTTAAAATTATTGTGCAGTTTGAAAATAAAACTTCAAATTGCACAATTATTTGGGAGGAAGAGAATATTTTCTCCCTCTCCAAATAAAAGCCACAATTGTAGGATTATTTTAGTTCAAGAATTAAAACTCTCTCTGGAACAAAAGAAGTAAGCACAAAGATACTGAAAACCCATGGTTTTGTACTTCCCAGCACGGGAGTGAGGGAGCACACATTTATCTCGTATCTTAATCTCAGTTCTGAAGATATGAACGACAGCACATTGCACAAGGAGACAGTATCCAGCAATATATATTAATATAAGTCCAAATAATAAATATATTTGCCAAACTTAATTATGGGTTATAGTTTTAATTTTTACTATGAATTTGGATTAGTTTGAACAATAATCTCGAACAGATAAATGAAAAAAAAAGAAGGAAGTAAGAGTAGATGAAGTGTAAGGTGAACATGTTGACCGTAGGACACACAGTAACATTCTTTTTGCATATTGCGTGTACAGTGTCGTAAGTGTATTGCACTCAAACTAATCCATATCGAGCTCGGTCAATTTTTTTTCGGAGGGAAAATTCTCCAACATTGCTCTTTTCATTCACGAAACTCGAACCCAAGATAAGAAAACCAAAGTATCTTACCACTTTAGCCAAGCAAGTGTTGGTACACACTAACATTCTTTAGTTGCTCACATCAGGGAGTGAGTGTAGGATAAGAGAACACGACGCAGACTGATGTCCACCCAAGATTATTCCTAAACGGAATTGCTTTTCTTTCTGGGGCCTTTTTGTTCCTTCAACCCAATCATTAGAACATATCTTTCCAATAAAACAGTGATCATCAGGAGAGTGAGGGACCATTCTCATCAACTATAGTTATACTATCAAACACACACACAATTGAGGAAGGAAAACAGTAGTACTGGGAAAAGATATTTTTCTCTACTACATATTACTGTTTACCAGAAAGTGATATGAAAACGACCCATCCATCATTAACTAATTTAACAACATACTACATTAATGCAAGAATATAGCAAAAGTTCAAGATCTGTTCCACATTTACACAATCAAACTGAATTTGAATTTCAAGAAAACAAAAAGAGAGAAAATCACTTTCCACTTTCCACTTTCCAGCGAAGAAGCCAGCGGCAACTAACTGGCAGATGGGAAAGTACTAAAAAAGTTGCAGGCGAGGAATCATTAATCTTTGCAACTTGAATGTTGTACACAACTTACTTTGGTAGTATGATGACGGTGATTAAGCTCGATGGAGACGGATGACATTTGGTGAAAATTCTGGTAGGGGACCCTAGATAGATCGGTCGATATACCCTTTTTTTTTTTAGGTCATTCATTTTTCAGAAAAGTCGGGACGAATTGGAGGGACGAAGGTCGATTTCTTGGGTCCAAGCTGATCGGTCTTGAATGTGCAATTGCCAGTAAGTTTGTGCCAGCACGTCTGGGTCCAAAGTCCCTTCTCCTCCAGCTCCATATATGTGACGCTGCTTTTGTTGTTGTTGTTGCTGTTCTTGCTCCCCAACCGACGATGATGATGTCGATCTCGACTGTGCAACTGATGCACTACTTGCTGACCTGCATTCCAATCATTTCCAATTTGATTGTTTCTCAGTATGCTTTCTATATCAATCACACATAATAATAACATGATCAAATTCGTACGTTTTTTAACATCCAAGTAAGGAAGGGGCTCTTTAAAGTCTTCACATATGAAATTGGAAATCTCTAACTTAGTGTTTTACTCATTCATTATCATAAAACATTAATTAGTCGATGATTGAATCATAAATCCCTCATTTAGGATTGATAAATGTAATAAGAAAAACTGATTCCAGTGATCCAAGTACTCCACTAAACTTCTAGAAATAGTGTTATAGTTTCATTCAAAACAAATCAGTTTTATCATTTATGACCTCCCTATTGTAGAAATATGTGGTACGTTACGTAACCTTGCTCTTACATTTCACTTTCCGATTTCAAACCTATGACTAACTAGTCAAAAAAGTAACCATATAGATTATGATTGGCCAAAAGTTCGCTCTCAATCAATATATATATATATATATATATATATATATTAATATTGGTCATTAATTTCACAAAATTTATAAGTTCGACAACAATTTTAAAGTGATATTCGATGTACATTAAGTTCATTAACCACAAAATAGTTTATGGGCTCGCTAATATTTTATGATCTTTATCACTAAAAATGCTTCTTAACTATAAGAACAGTAGAAGAATGCGAATTGAGCCGAAGGAAGTATACCTTCACTAAAAAAGAAAATAATAATAATAATGAACATGCATGCATGGTTATCTGAAAACAGCCACATTAATATAAAATTTCTAAATCATCCATCTATAGAAAAAAGAAAGGCAGTGGAAGGATGAGATAGTCTACTACAGTAGAATCTTGAAGGGGTGAGGATCCTATGTGTTAGCGTGGCAGAAGGCAGGACCCTAGAATCTCAAAAGGGATGAGGCATTCTAAATATCTGGGTGTGTTGGCGTGGCAGAAGGCAGCCCTCTTGAAGGGTGACGATGCTCTAAAGTTATGAGTACCTAGTAGTAATCCCCTGACATTTCGACAAAAACCTTTTTCAGATGGAATCATATAGCAAACCCATTTGGACTCGGGATTTTTTTTTTTGGGTTGGATTCAAGTGATCGATGATGACAATTGAGAAGTGGATAAGCCGTTAGGAAAACAAATGTAATAACACCATATGATTAATACTATAATAAGAAACTTAAACCAATCATCATAACTAATATAGTTGCATCCATTTTCATAAGTAAAGTATATATACTAATATAATTAGAATACAAACCTAGGAGGAGGTGGTGGAGCGACGATGCCGTCGATGATTACATGCGCCACGTGGACTCCTTGCGGTTGGAACTCTCTCGCAAGACATTGAGATAAGGCTCTCAAAGCAAACTTTCCACAACCTAATTGTTGCATCAAATAATATGACACACAATTACTTTATTATAATATACTTTTTCGTGATCTAATTTGATAAATATGATGATTTTATGAATCTTTAACTGATATTTTTTACAGTGTTAAAAATAGACAAATCTTTTATTTCTTTTGTTCCAAAATTAATGTTCACTAGTATATTTTCACTTTTAATTTAATTTGTAAAGAGAAATAAAAACTGAAAAATAATTTCAGAACGGCGAATTATAAACTCAACGAACAAAAGAAAACATGGATTTATACAACTTACATAAATCGGAGTAACCAGCCATGCCATTCAAAGAAGCATAACAACCCGTGAAGAGAATAGTTCCTCTACCTCTTTCCACCATGCCTGGAAGTACCTAATGATCAAATAACACATTATAGAGAAAATTTTCAGTTTTTCACACAATTATAAAGACCAATCAAAAAAAAGGAAGAAGAACGTTTCTGTCATGGATTCGTTCTTACACAAGTGGGATGTATAAAGTGATCCAACAAGTTGCAGTGTACAACTTGCTTCTTACAGCTAGCTATAGCTAGCGCTATATATCTAGATATTTGTTCATCCTACTAGTACTACTTCTACTGAGTCGATCTAATATTACTAGTTTTGATGGAATCTTTGTTTTGTAGGTGAAGACCTGTTGGGCACAGTGGAAGGCGCCTACGGAGGAAACGACGACGGACTTCTCGAAATCAGGGAGGCGGATGTCGGTGAAGTGGGAGGGAGAAGCCGGATGGTACGCATTGTAGACCAAAACCTCAACGAATCCTAAAGAAAGAACTCCTTCAAATGCCTCTCTAATACTCTTGGTGTCCGAACAATCGATTCGGATGGCAAACACTTGGGCTTTCTCTTCCCTCGCTATCTCATCCGCAAATCTCGACAATCTACCTGCAATACCCAATGTATTTATAAATATGTCTTCACACACACACACACACACACACACACACACACAAAAAGAAGATACAATATAATACTATATGGAGAGGTAGTTGTAAGTAGTAACAGGCCTAAATCACGAGAGAGGATGGCGAGGATGTAGCCTTCGTGGGCGAACTTGCGGGCAATGGAGCGGCCCAGGTTAGGTCCGACACCCACTATGGCGGCGATGCCTTTGGGCGACTGCGAACTCCCCATGTTTCGCATCATCCTTCCGGCCGCTTAAATCTTGCTTGCTAGTTGCTACCGCCTACAAAGAAGCAGCCAAAAAAAAAAAATTGAAGTAGCTAGCTAGAAACAATCTAGTACTTCTTTGATAATTTCTGTCAATCTAAAATATTAGTAGTAGTAGTAGTAGTAGTAGTATAAAAGGAAACTTAGGATTGAAGCGAGTTAATTAAAAGCGAAGAAATCAAAATACACACCTGTCTTTCCCAGATTTGTGGAGTACGGTGGTGATGGGAGAGTACGTTCTGAGATTTGATCACTACAAGGAAAGAGGCGGTGCTTTTTTAAAGAGAAGGATTGTATGTATAGAGGGAGTAACGGAAGAGGAGGGATGGAAGGAAGAGAAGAGAAGGAAGCCAGTCGTTGTCCCAACCGGAAATGGCTGCTTCCTATAGGAGAGGCAAAAAATAAAATACACCCTCCCCCCCTAAATGGACATCTAGGACCCCACCCCCATATACTACAGTTTTGACTCTACTAATAATAATAATCTTCATTCCCCGACATCATTTTACCGTCACGAATCGTTTTATTTGCTGATTCATGAGTAATAATATTATGTGAATTATATATACTACGTACATACTCGTTAATTAATTAGCTTCTTCGTTTGCTTCTGCGGATCATGTTTGGCGTTTTTTTCACTCTTGCTTAGTTTTATTACCATTGGCTCCTTGTTCGGTTCAACCACGTACGGCTCGTGATCATCTAGTTTTCAGTTGTTTTCTAGTACTAGTTTTTATTTTTTTATCCCCCTTCGCCGGATAACTCCATTAAATCCATCCCATGGCGCCCACGTTTCTAACACTTGCCTCATCTTATTCTGAAAAATGGTTTTTGTTTTCGTGCAGTGTGTAATCCCGGAGGCTCGTCGTCGGTGGTTAAAAGAGTCACTCTTTGATCTCAATCTTATCTTTTTTTCTTTTTCTTTTTTTAATCAAGTTTTAACTGGAATTAATTATTAATAATATAATAACATAATGACATGAATAAAATCTGTAAAGACTCACTAACCATGGTTCCTAATTTAGTTGCAACCCTCGAACCAATACTCTTTCAGGCTTTTCGTCCTATTTTCATACACAGTTTATGTTGCCAACAAGGTGCAACCTAGTGGTAAGATGCCTTACCTTTAACCAATAAATCACGAGTTCGAATCATATTGAAAATAAGTGAGAAATCACTATTAATTCTCTTTAAAAAAACCAGAAAGATACAAATTACGTTAAGATGTGATTTAATTAATCCAAGTGCAAACTTAATAAGAAACCGAGGGAATATGTCTAAGTTTATAAATTCTGAAAGTACAAATTTAAAATTATACCATCCCGTCATATATATGCTTATTCATATATATAATCATTTAATCATCATTTATCTACGCACGATCAAATGTATATAGCTTTAGTCACTCACTATGCGATTACCTTATATTTGTATAGATCTTACTAATCATGGCAAAATAGCCTAGAGAAAAAAAAAAGTTTTTTTAGTACAATAAAAGAGACGAAACGTAAAAGATTAAATTAATACATTAGCAAAATATATTATCTCCCAATACTGTTCCAATTAGGATTTAATGTCCGTTGATAGTGTTTCAAATTATTGCTATTCTTGTGCCCTTGTGCAGTCAATGAAATCAAATAATCTATTACGAAATTAATCTCGTGAAACACATGCTTAAATCTTAATTACTCAATCTCTTTTCAACGTCTCCCGAATCTCATTGTATATCCTTGCATTCACCCCCAACAATGTAATTTTCCACCTTGTACCATGAAAATAATACATGATGAGCAGAGTTATGAGAACTTTTTTTGGATCATGTCACTTTGTGTGAGGATTTGGAGGTGGACGAGTGAATTCCGAAGTGGATAATATGAGAAAAAGAACCATTCTTGAAATAAGCTAGGGGTTAGTTTGTCTTGTAATGTATGTTGAGGCGAAAGACAAAAATGAAATATTTGTACACTAGTATATAGTTTATCTGTACAATGTACACAGCCATATCTTACCTGTATTTCCTTAAATAGTATAATTTCCTTCACAGAACATACTTTAATTAGGCACATGTAACTGTAGATATGGCGGAGGCAATGTACCATCATTGTCACATATGCTGTTCGTATCTTTATACGTGTAGCCGTCAAAATCACAGGACTCACAATACCCAGTTCTTGTGATCCATATATAACTTGGGTTTAAAAAAAAAAAAAGAAAAAAAAAAGTAGCCAATTGGAACAATCAATATTCCACGGAACCAAAAAAAAAAAAAAAGCTATTGAAAAGTTATAAAATATATTCTGATCATTCACTCCCAACCGAAAAAAGTCCAACATTCAAAAATGTAATCGAGGAACAACTCATCTACATACCCTCAATTAATAGATTTTTATTAAATAAATAAATAAAATAAATCGAATTCTGTTTACGTGTATATCTTTAAAAATAGATGTACGAAACTCCTCTCCTGCCTGAACTCAGATACGTGAAGCCAGTGGCGAAGGTAGGGGAGACAAGAATGCGGTTGTGCTTGCTTAATTTTTTGTGATTAGTAGAAGTATTCTAAAGTTTTAAGAGAGTCATGCATTGTATAATTTTTTACGCTTTTATATTGATTTCCTGATATTAGTATTAATATTTTTCTAAATTTCGTATTATTACATTAATTTTCTAGCTCAGTCACTGCATGGAGCAAACCTTTTCTTTTGCTGATGTTTGTAGTCACGGAAGGATTATAAAAATACTTCTTTCGTTTCGGCTTTAATTATAAAATATACAAAAATGTTTCCATTTCTTATTTTTTTAGGAGAATGGCTTGTATCATTTTTCATTTTGGGATGAGGATGTATATTCAAGTGATAATTAAATTTTATTTTATTTTTTTTGTAACTTTAATGCTGTAAGGTCGTTACATACAAAAAATAAAAGGTCACTACAATCAATTTCAAGATTTAAACTGATCAGGACAAAAAGTTATGGCTTCCTAACAAGCAACGTGTTAGCTTTCTGCATATGATGATAATTTTTTCCCGGCCCCGACTCTGACTCTCATGTATAGCTAGTTACAAGTACTAAATTAAGGTATTTTGATTTCTCATAAAATTTCATTTAGTATGTTTTTTAATTAAAAATAAAATTTTTAGAAAAGTATTTTTATATTTATTGTGTTTGTAATTATCCCTTTTACCCTATTAAAGCAGAATACAGGATATTGATGTGGCAACTTCTTATTAAAAATTTTTGGCTCCAAATGCACCATATTGCATTAACCATTCTGCCACGTGTCATCTCTTTTTAAAAGAAAAAAAAAATTCTTATCCAGAAAAACAAAAACTACTTTACAAAAATAGCTACACAATTTTAACTCCTAACATTTATCATTTATCAATCAAATTAAAATAGCATTTAAATTTGTCCATAAACTTATCCCCTTTATTACTCCATATTCTTTCGTATGATTTCTGAATTGTTGTACTTTTCAATATTTTTTCTCCTTTGGCAGATAATTTTTTTATTTTTATAATTATTTTTTGCTAAAAAGAAAAAAAAAACAAATGTGTAGCTATTTTATTTTTTCCAGATCAAGAATTCATTTATTTATTAACATAAAATTAAAGTAGAGGGGCGCCCGGGCATCTGCCTGGGCCAAGCATCTAGTTATAAATTATCTTTAAAGTCTACTTTTAAATTGAAAAAATATAATAATTAAAATTTAGGATAAATCAATTGTCTTTAATAAGGAGCGAAAAGAGTACTATGGAAAAAGAAATTAAATTTTTTAGTACAAACTGTAGATTATTTTTAATGATTGATTAATCTTTTCTTTGTTCTTTGTTCTTTGTTCTTTTTTTTTTTTTTTTTGTGTGTGTGTGTGTGACATGTATGGATCGGTCCTTTTCTGGGGAGTAAATGAAATGATTGGATTGGTGCGCCTAATAAAACATTGAAAACGCTGTTTTACGATGAAGACGTAGTATATATATGGATCATCAGTAGATAAAAATAAATAGGTAGAGATACCAATAGGACCATACTTGATTTTATTTGAATTACTACGTGTCATTGAAATATTCACTTCCATATTTCGCAAATTGGGAGGATACTGAACGCCTTAATTTTTTTTATTTAAACACCTTAAAAAATCTTAAAAAGACTATTTTACCCTCATATATTTTTTTTTTAAAAAAAGGGAGGGGGCGAGAAACACGCCACCCTTTCACGGGTGGCGTGCACTTTTCTCGCCACCCTTCTTGGGGTGACGAGCAAATTTTGTGCCCCTGAAAAGGGGGTGGTGTACAATTCATACGCCACCCTTTTTTTAATTTATTTTTTTTAAATTTATTTATTTATTTGATTCTTTAATTTATTTATTCAAGTATATTTATTTATTTGTTTGGCGGTTAAATAAATAATTTTTAACTTAAATATTTAGAGAATGCTGCTTAATTTTGCATAGTAAATTTATTATTTAATTATAAAAAATTTTAAACTTAAATAAAAAAATTAACATTTAATAACAACTAAAACTTATGAATTTACTAACAAAAAAATTATTTATAAATAACTAATAAAAATACACTAATTATTTATATATTAATAAAAAATTATCATTTACTACCAACTAAAAAATTATCATTATTTAAATATTTAAATTAACAAAATATTTATTTATTATCGGTGCATCTAGCCGTCCTGAGAATTTTTTTTGAAAAAATTTGAAATAAAAAATAAAAAATATGTTGAAATTTCATATTTTTATAAATTTATCATAAAATAAATATAAAATACGTTGAAATTTCTCAAAACAATGACTCGTTAAAACCTTTACTAGAAAAAACCCAGTGGAAGCCATGTCATCCAGAATTGGAAACTCCTCCTTATGCAATTTACTTTATGTAGTTGTAGACTTGTTTGGAGGTAACATTTTCATCACAAAATTGTGTCCATATCGCCCGTAAAATGTGAATTGTCTTAGTCCCAACTTTAGAATACTCCTCAATGAGCTCTCTCACTTATGTGATCAGTCCGCTCCTAACCCGAGGAGGATCTGTCAAAAAATGGTTGTGCATTCCCCACGGACCGGGATATACAGGAATCGTCCATCTATCACATATTTTATAGACAGTAATATGAAACTGGCATCCGGTCATCTGTGTATTCGTATTGGGTCGGGCGCGCATGATTTCGTCCACCTATTGACCTTGGTATCGGCCTCCTTTATGACAAAGAAGTATAGTATGATTATCCTTATGCGAGGATATACTTAATTCCATGTTGTACATATTTGTAATACCCTTTGCATATGCAATAGCGTCAGGCTTTTCGGCAAAAGTCTCGTTTGTAGCAAAAGTCGAACTATAATCAGTGTCATTCCTCTAATCAAACCTATCATGCACACATTAAAAATGAATTATCATAACTTAAATTAATTATAATAATATTAAACCACAAATAATTCATTATAAACAAAAACATAATATATAATCCGATATAATGATGTTATACTTTAACGATAATTAATTAACATAATATATACTAATAACAAACTAAATACATTATTAACAAAAACTTACCATTTTAATATAACAACTATAACTAAACATACTACCTAATTAACCAATTTTTTCTAAACTAACAACAAATTAAACACATAACAAAAAAAAAAATTATTTCATACGAACATATTACGTAATTAACATAATTTAAACATATAACAAACTAAACACATAATTAACCAAAAATTTACCTATTTAATATAACAACTATAACTTATGAACATAATACGTAATTAAACAATATTCTCTAAATATTTAAATTAAACATTATTCATTTACCAATACCATAAACCCTAAATTTTAAGATAAATTATCCATTTAGCTACCAATTAACATATATTTTCTAAACAAACATTAAACTAACAAACAAATACGCAAATAAAGTAAATAAATAAATTAAATTAAATACATGAATTAAATAAATTTATTAAACTAATAATTTAAATAAATAAATGAAAATAATTAAATACAT